GGAGGATCTGGAGTTGAAAGCCAGCCTAATCAATTTAGTGAGGCACTAAGCAACTCAGTGAGACTCTAAATAAAATACAAAATAGGGCTGGGGATATGGCTCAATGGTCAAGTGCTCCTGAGTTTAAGTCCTCAATACAAAAAAAAAATAAAATAAATTACACTGGGGCTTGGGGACATAGCTCAGTGGTAAAACACCTGCCTAGCATGCATGAGGCCGTGGGTTCAGTTCCCATCACCGAATTAAAAATGAAAAGATGAAACAATAACCATAAAATTATTTTTTTTAAAAATTTAAAAAGGCTGGGAGTATAGCTCAGAGGTAGAGAGCACTTACATAAAATGTGTGAGGCTCTGGGATCAATTCCCAGTCTCACACACACTCTCTCTCTCTCTCTCACACACACACACACACACATGGTAGGAAAGAAGGGAGGAAGGAAGGGAAATCTACTTTCATATTAAGAAATGTTAGCATAGTAAGAAAGAAAATAACAAGGGCTGAGGATGTGGCTTAGGGTTAAGGGCCCCTAGGTTCAATACGCCCCCCACAAAAGAAACAATTTCATATCCCAGTAACTGATAGAACCAAGAAGACAGCAAATCAGAAAGAATAGTAATGATTTGTCTAATACAATTAACTCACTTGACCTAATTGGTATATTTAGAACACTACACCCAACAACTGCACAGTACACTTCTTCATTAGTACACATGGAACATAATATAAATCTGGAAAAATAATTTTTTTGTTCATTTGAACTGTCTTGAGACTAGAAACACCAGAAAGACCTCACAAATTCCTCTGTAGGAATACTTTGCTGAGTAGGAAACTCTATAGTATGTCATAATTTTCACATTTGTTTTTCTTCAACAAAGAAGCATGATGTCTCCTTTTGTATCTTTTAACATGTATGAGATTTCCTAATAATAATCTAGGATTGGATTAACAAACCTGGTTTACCATAAGTATCACTTGGAGATACCAGGTTCAGTGGTACACTCCTATAATCCCAGTGATTCAGGAAGCAAGGGAATCACAAGTTCAAGACCACCCCTGCAACTTAGCAAAGCCTTTAACAATTTTTAGAACCTGTCTCCAAAATATATATGTAGAGGGGCGGGGGATGCGAGAGCCTGCGGGAGCTAGTTGCAGTGGCACAAGCCTGTCTGTAATCCCAGTAACTTGGGAGGTTGAGGCAGGAGTATCACAAGTTCAGTAATTTAGCAAGGCCTTAAGCAATTTATCAAGACCCTGTTTCAGAATAAAAAAAAAATAAAAGGGCTGGGGATGGAGCTCAGTGGTAGAATACCCCTAGGTTCAATCCCCAATACCTAAAAAAATTTTATAAAAAATCACCTGTAAGGGCTGGGGATGTGGCTCAAGCGGTAGCGCGCTCGCCTGGTGTGCCTGCGGCCGGGGTTCGATCCTCAGCACCACATACAAACAAAGATGTTGTGTCCGCCGAAAAATAAATAAATAAATATTTTTAAAAAATAAAAAATAAAAATCACCTGTAAGATTCCCCTACCTGCTTATATTGGAGATGAGACCCAGAACCTGGTGTATACTAGGCAAGTGCTCTACCATTAAACTATGTCCCTAGCCCCTGGTGAGATTTTTAAAAACAGATTCCTAGGTCCTAACTCCTGGAGATTCTCTGTGTTGACAAGGTAGTTGGGCTGATTCCAAATATTTGGATAGATATGGGAGTCACTGAAACAATTTTCTGTTTGTTGTGGAGAGAGTATGGAGGGAGGAAGAATATAAAAATATGAATAGAATGAGTTGGGGATAATAACTGTGGAAAGACTAGGTGTGGTTGAACCCCACTGCATGAGACAAGAGTTTTATAAACATGAAAATTAAGCACATTTGTATACAAAAGCAAAGAAAAAACTGTTTTTTTTTTTTTTTTTTTTTTTTTTTTTTTTTTTTGTTTGTTTGTATTCAGTAATGTGTTCAATGACTTCCTTTTTACATAAAGAGGTGAGTTATTGTTGCCTGGCGACATGGTACAGGCCTGTAATCCCAGCAGCTCAGGAGGCTGAGACAGGAGGATCTCAAGTTCAGAGCCAGCCTCAGCAAAAACGAGGCTCTAAGCAACTCAGTGAGACCCTGTCTCTAAATAAAATACAAAATAGAGGTGTGGATGTGGCTCAGTGGTTGAGTACCCCTGAGTTCAGTAACCAGGGGCGGGAAAAAAGGAGAGCTATTCTTAGTGATAGATGTGACTAAACTCATCCTCAGATACATTGGACATTTGCTTTTTCTTTTGTTTATTTATTGTGGTACTAAGAATTGAACACAGTGCTGAGGATACAGCTTAGTTGGTAGAGTGCTTGCCTTGCATGTACAAGGCCCTGGGTTCAACCCCCAGCACCACCAAAAAAAAGAAAGAAAAGAAACACAGGTACTCTACTACTGAGCAACATCTCCCAGCTCTTTTTTTTTTTTTTTTGGTACCGGGGATTTTTGAGCTCAAAGGTGCTTAACCACTAAGCCACATACCTAGCCCTATTTTGTACTTTTATATTTTACTTAGAGACAGGGTCTCTCTGAGTTGCTCAGTGCCTAGCTTTTGCTGAGGCTGGATTTGAACTCATGATCCTCCTGCCTCAGCCTCCCTAGCTGCTGGGATTAGAGGCATGTGCCGTCATGCCTGGCTAATTTTTGTTTACTAAAATGGGATCTAGCTAAATTGTCAAGGCTGGCTCAAACTTGAAATTCCTGTACCTTAACCTCCCAAATCACCGGAATTACTGGCAATGTGCCACTGTGCCTGACTGACTCTACAATGGACTTTTTAATACAAACTAAATTTGTTTCCAGTTTATGCTGAAAGACATAAATAGATTTAAAAGGATTTCATGATTTCATTCTGCATTTTTGTTTGTGGCACTGGGGATCAAGCCAAGGGTTATGCCTGCTAGGCTGGCACTCCCCCACTGAGCCACATCCCCAGCCCTTTTTCTCATTTTAAATTTATGAGAAAAATATGATTACAGGTGTGCACCACTGTGTTCTCTGGGCACAGTGGTACACACCTGTAATTGTAGCAACTTGGGTGACTGAGGCCAGAGGATCAAAGCCATCCTCAGCTACTTGGTGAAACTTCATCAAAATTAAAAATAAAAAGGGAGAGGAATGTAGTAGTAAAGCACTCTTTGATTCAATCCCAGTACTTAAAAAAAAATTATGAATGCCTTGAAATGTCTTCAGTTCTCATTGACATTTCATATTTGACAAAATACTGTCTTAATTAAAATACCAACTTTTTTTTTGATGGAGGGGTACTGGGGATTGAACTCAGGGGCATTTGGTCACTTAGCCACATCCCCAGCTCTAGAGACAGGGTCTCACTGAATTGCTTAGTACCTTACTTTTGCTGAGGCTAGCTTTGAACTCGTGATCCTCCTGTCTCAGCCTCCCGAGCCACTGGGATTACAGGCATGGGCCATAATATTTGACTAAAATACCAACTCTCAAAAGCAATACCAAGTGTTCACCCTACTTCCACTCTTGGGGTCTGTTCCAAGGTACCACTGAGGGGAAATATCAGAAATTCTCCTAATATTTCTGGGGATGGAACTCAGCTCACTCTACCTTTTTAAAATATGGTCCAGTGTTACCATCAGATTCTAGTGCATTTTGTGTAAAAAATTAATGCAATTAAGACCTGTGTTAACCTTGAATAAATCATGCATCTAGGAAGAAAAGAGTTACTGTCCTGTGTCATGTCCTTCTGTTGCACTTTAGTAATCAGAATCTGGAAGTCTTCTGACAGCACACTAATGCATGAGCAGTCATCACTGCAGTTACCGATAATTGTGTAAATCTGACCTTTATCATTTTCCCTAGACTTCTATTTATCAACTGAAAAAAGATCAAATTTGGCAACTATTTCTAAAAAAGCATTAATACTTACCTGTTGTATATTTCCTCTTACGAAAAAAATCTTCATTGTTAAAAGAAGATAATTTTTATAGTATATGTGTTACACCTCACCTTCCCTAAAAGGTGTTATTTCCCTTCACTATATAGGAAATACATCATGTGTTTCTTGATGCATTTTTATAAAATAGTTCCACTTTGATTCCAGGACCCTTATTCCACATGATTTTTTTCCCCCTCTAGAATTCTCCAGAGAAACTTGGGACAGTAGGTGGAGTGCAAAGTTGTATTGTGTTGTTTTCCTGCTTTTTTTGTTGCCTTCCTGCTTTAAAAAAAAAAAAAAGTTCATGGCCCTGCCTTGGCTGCTTCTTTTTCTACCATAAAGCTAACTATTTCTAAATCTTGCATGTTTTATTTTAAGAGGGACTCACGGCCTTTCATTTTGATCCTGCACATATATCTTCATAAAGCGTTTCATGTTAGCTCCTTAACAACAGGACAGTCCCTAAAGTGATACCATGATAGGCAGACTGGAATCTCACTCTACTCTTTGAAAAATTTCCTTCCATTTTAAAACACCCTTTCTAGTATACCCTTCTCTCATCTCAAGCACCTTCCAATTCTCCAAAACTACCTTGAGTCTTTTGTAAAGAAAAAAAGCCTGCTAAACATACACAAGTAAGGTGTTAACACTTGATGGGTTACCTTATACACTAAAAAGGACATAGAGAGGACAGTGTTTAACAAAATAATTACTCACTAACCAAGGAGTTTCCTGCTCGGTGACATGATGTGTCATACATACTGGGAAGACATCCACATTTTGTGTGTGTGTGCCTTTAAAAGATTTTGACCTGGTTCTGATTATTTTGCTGAATTTTTACCCTAAAAAGATGTCAGTTTAGTTTGATTCCTTTAGTAATTTATCTTATATGTATTTTGATGTTTGGTGTCCATGTGATGTCAGGAGTCTGACTGCATGATTGTTTATTTTTGCTCCAATCCTTTCCAGTTACCACAGGAAGAGAGGGAAGGAACATTTTAGAGAGATGCTGAAATAATCAATTGGCTATTCTCTTCCTTCTCTCTCTCTTCTTCATGTAACAGAAGAAGCAGGCCAGCCCACTGCAGACCCAGGCATGGTCATGGACAGTGTGGAAGCTGGAGACACAACACCTCCCACCAAAAGAAAAAGCAAGTTCTCTGGCTTCGGCAAAATCTTCAAGCCCTGGAAATGGAGGAAAAAAAAAAGTAGTGATAAATTTAAAGAGACATCAGAAGGTGAGATATTAAGATTTATGTTCTGAGTTAAAGAGTTCCCTATTTTACAAATACCCAACTTTTTTTTTTATCTCTTCCCAAGGTCCTGTAGTGCCCTAATTGAAAGCAAGATTTAAATCTTTTAGAATTTAAACAGCTCATGGCCACTCACTAAGCCTTATATTCTTATTTCCAGGTTTATATTTTGATGGGATTAGAATCTATTGAGTGGTAATAGAGTTCTAAGGTGCTACTGCTTTTTTACTTTGCCTACTTCCCTTCAACACAAAGTGCATCCATAAATGCCTTACTATTATAATTCATTTAAGCTACAATTATGTAAGAGTACTTCCTTTTGGAAATGATACTTTCCCAGTAGGACAGGATGTGAAAGAAATTAATGTGGTTTCATTGTTGGATTTGGTTTGGTTTGGTTTTTGGCATTGCTAAGGATTGAACCCTGGGCCTGGCATGTGCTAGGCAAGTGCTCTACCACTGAGTTACACACCCCCAGTAAGAACAGCAAGTGTTAACAGTCTTTTTCCAAGAGGACCCAGCCCCAGAAATAAGTTTTAAAAACTGAAGTTAGTTTCCCTGTGCTTTTCTTTCTTAAAAATAGAAGAAATTTAGCCAGGTGCATTATCAGTAGCATATACCTGTAATCCAAGCTACTCAGAAAGCCGAGGCAAAGGGTTTATAAATTCAAGACCAGCCTCAGCAACTTAGCAAGATCCTGAGTATAAAAATTAAAAAGCCTGGGGCCATAGCTCAGTGTTAGAGTACATCTCAATTAAATTCCAAGTACCACAAAAACATAAAAATATATAATTTTTAAAAAGTAGAAATTTGAACCACTTTATTCTTTTACCTGTAGATTAAGAATAAGAGTAATGTTGACTTTCCAACTGCCACATTTCTGAGTGCCGTTTTCCAATTCAATGTTAGTTTTAGAGCGAAAAATATCTATGCGAAAACCAAGAGAAGAGCTGGTTAAAAGAGGGGTACTGTTGGAAGACCCTGAGCAGGGTGAGTTTCAAATTAATAGCATATGCCTATCTCTGCACTTCCATCTTTGATTGGGTCTAACTAGGTATTTGAATTTTCTTTCTTCATTTTGTGATTGCTGTATTTGTGGTGGAGTGGGAGTTTTTAAACAAATTCACTCTTCCTTTTAAGTGTCTTTTAACTCTTGAGTGGTTGGCGAAGGATCCTTGGGCAAGCATTCCTTGTCTCTGTATACTTCAACTTTTTGCCAACTGCCACAGTAGTTGTTACTTCCTTTTCTTGATCAAGCTTGTCTCCATGCCCATGTTTCTGCCCTAATTTTCTGTCATATTTCAACACTCATTGCTAGTTTAATAATGTCAGAGCTTTCTTATGAAGCAATGTAAAACTATAGTATCATATATAGGTAGTATTTTATTTCTCTTCTTTTTACATATGCAATAACTTACTATAGTAGTTATCTTGCTCTCTCCCTTTTTTATTTTGTAGTACTGGAGTTAGAACTCAGCTCACTCTGCCATTTAGCTACAACCCCAGTCCTTTTTATTTTTTATTTTGAGACAGGGTCTTACTAAGTTGCTCAATCTAGCCTCAAATTTGTGATCCTCCTGCTTCAGCACCCCCAAGTTCCAAGGACTACAGGCATGGGTCACTGTATCCAGCTACCTTTATCTTTAGAAGCACATTTTCGCTTATTACTTATTTGCTTTAGACTCTTCCACGTTCATTCTAAACCCCCACCTCTTATAGGGCCTGCCTGAAAAATGACAGTTTAATCTCCTAGTATTAGTTTGTTATCCTTCGTAGCCTTGCTTATGTTGGCCATCCAGTCCTACCCATAACCATTTCTTATATACAGAAATATCACTTACCAGTCCTTCAAATATGTCCAATAATTTCTAACCTTTATACATTTCCTTCCTCCTAGATAGACTGTCTTTCATCAGTGTGGTAGACTTCTCCTCTTTCAGAGTCTCGGGTTAGACACTGTTTTCTGTCAAGCTTTCCCAAACCCATTCCCACCCCAATAGCCCTTCACATAATATAGCTCTTGACAGCACTGTAATCACTTACATTTATTCATATAGAAAGGTACTTCACATATAATAGGCAAAAAGATATTTATTATAAAGAAATCACTTCCAGTATTACTAGAAGGATACAGGTAATCTAGGTCTACATAATATGCTAAAACAGGAAGAGGGACACAAGAAGATAAGAGAAGGTAGAAACCACCAGCTGTTCTCACAGTCTGACCATGCCACTTTTGCCACTTGGCTCTTTCCTCCTTGCAGGTGGTGAGGATCCAGGAAAGTTAAGTCATGCTGTATTAAAGAATGGCCATACCACCCCCATAGGGAGTGCCAGATCATCTAGTCCAGTCCTAGTAGAGGAAGAACCAGTAAGAACAGCAAGTGTTAACAGTCTTTTTCCAGAAGAGGACCCAAAGAAACGACTGGGTAAGATACCGGATTTTTCATTTATGAGCCATGGATCATTCTCTTTTAACACAAATTTGTGAGAAAATAAGAACGAAGCTGGGTGTGGTAGCGCACGCCTGTAATCCCAGTAGCTCGGGAGGCTGAGTTAGGAGGATCGTGAGGTGCAGCCTCAACTCAGTGTGACACAACTCACTGTGACACAACTCAGTGTGACCCTGTCTCTAAATGAAATACAAAAAAGGGCTGGAGATGTGTCTCAGTGGTCAAGTGGCCCTGAGTTCAATTCCCAGTAAAAAAAAAAAAGAACTAAAATTCAGAGAGAATTATGTTCTTCTTTATGAATTTGTTAACTACTTACAACATTTATTGGAACCCTCTACCCCCAATTCTTCACAAAATTCCTAAATTTGTAACACTCTCTTTTTTTCTCTCTCTCTTTTTTATGGTACTGGGGTTTGAACCAAGGGGCACTGTATCACTGAGCTACATCCCCAGCCCTTTTATAAATTTTGAGATAAGAGTCTCAATAGTTGCAGGGGCTGGCCTCTAAGTTGCAATTCTCCAGCCCCAACCCTGTTTGTTTTTATGTGGTGCTGAGGCTCGAACCTAGTGCCTCACATGTACTAGGCAAGCGCTCCGCCACTGAGCTACAACCCCAGCCCCAAATGTGTGATTCTTAAGGAGAGAAAAGATTTTATATATTAGATTTCAATGGGACTTTTTCAAGCTACGTGCTTCTCTTCTTCTACTGAAGGAATTTTTTTGTGCCTCCTCTCGTAGTCTGGTCCTTTGTGTAAAGAGTCCCTATCATAATGAGCCTCTCACTGAGACTAACTTAGTGTTGAGGGTTACTGGGCACGGTGGCACATACCTATAATCCCAGCTATTTGGGAGGCTTATGCTGGAATGTTGTGAATTCAAGACCAGCCAGGGCAACTTACCCAGCCCCTGTCCAAAGTAAAAAAAATTCAAAAAGAGCTGGATATGTAACTCAGTGCTAGAGCACCCCTGGCTTCAATTTTCAGTATGAGGGGAAAAGTGTTGTAGAAAACAGAGAACTATAGTCTGTAAACAGATCTATAAATGGAAGAATTGATGAAGCTGACTGTAAATTCATAGATATATTTGCCTCTTCAGTTTTTCTCTTGTTATTTTCTCCCTGTAATCACATCTTTTATTATACAGGCTCAATTGGAAGCCAGTCTAATTCTGAAGCAGAGTCTGTATCTGAGAATGTACCAAAACAGCCTTTACTTCCCCCTAAAAGGCCATTGTCCTCATCTCATGAAGCAAGTGAAGGGTCAGCAAAGGATGTCACTTCTTCTGGCAGCATGGCAAGGTCCATCTCCTCCGCCTCTTCTACCAACATAGCACCTGCTGCCACCACTGCTGCCACAAACCTAGCAAAGACTGTTAATTCCTTTGTCACCCTTTCCCCAGCACCCAGGACTCTGCCTGCTGCTCCTACCAGCACTAACACTACTGCTACCCCAAGCCTTTCTCATATGGTCCCTGCCAAGCAGCCCCCTATCCCTCCCCCTAAACCAGCTCACAGAAATAGCAACCCTGTTATTGGTAAGTAAGTCTTCAGGCCTTTCATATTTTTGGTTTGGTTTTTGATGGTTATTTTATTGGATAGTTGGTATAATATTGATCCATACCAAAAGTGTTTATTACCTTGTATATTATCGTGAATGTCTTCAGCATAGGGAAAAGTTCTTAAAATGAGGCAGATGAAAATATCACTAAAACTGAGTTCAGGGCTGGGGTTATGGCTCAGTGGTGTTGTACTTGCACTGGGTTCCATCTTCAGCCCTTAAAAAAAATTAAGTTCATATATGGAAAGACTAATATCTATTTCCTATAATAGTATTTTAAAGCAATATATGTAGTTGAAGGACCATATATGTGAAGATCATAACAGGTTTAACCTGCATTAAATTATCTGTAGCACTTAGTGAAAAAAGTTAGGATAATTCCACAGCTTACAAGAAGCAAGGCATACTTGTCAGTTAAAAACTTGGGATCTGATAGGCATGGTCACACACCTGTAAGCAACTTGGGGACTGAGGCAGAAGGGATTGCAAGTTTGAGGCCAGCCCGGGCAACTTAGTGACAGCCTGTCTCCAAAAGAAAAAGGGTTAGGGATGTAGCTCAGTGGTAGATTGTCCCTGGGTTCAATCCCCATTACCACCACCACGCACGCACACACACAAAAAAAACAAAACACTGGGACCAGGCATTGCATGTTTGAGACCATCCTTGGCAACTTAGCAAAACCTTGGCTCAAAGTAAAATTAAAAAGGGCTGGGGATGTAGCTTACTCAGTGGAAGAGCAAGTCCAGTAGATAAAAACAATGATTTTGTAGATGCCTATGTAACTTGTGATTCAGCGCCTGGCAGAGTATCTTCATGGGAACTGCAAAAGGTATTATTTACATTGTTGTGATAAAATCATGTTTTATCTTGGGAAAGTTAAGAATGCCACTCTTGCTGGGTGCGGTGGCGCAAACCTATAATCCCAGCGGCCCAGGAGGCTGAGGCAGGAGGATCACAAGTCCAAACCCCACCTCAGCAAAAGCAAAGTGCTAAGCAACTCAGTGAGAACCTATGTCTAAATGAAATACAAAAAAGGGCTGGAGATGTGGTTCAGTGGTCAAGTGCCAGTTTAATCACCAGTACCAAAATAAAAAATGCTACTCTTATGTTAAAATAAGTCAAGAAAGCAGGGAAGGTAATCAGTAAATTTTTATGGGGTTAGTAAATTTTTGCATTTATCTACAGTATTATTTAGGTCTATTTTCTTTACATAAATGTATATCTTTAGTGAACTTTCAAGAAAGGAAGGAGTAACATAAGTGCTTCAGACCTAATGCAAATACAGTTTTTCAGGAAAAATGATAATAGGCTTATTTCTGCTTAAAGTTACTGAGTGAATTGATGAATAAAAAGTATGCTCATTGACTGTCTAATATTACCAAGTTGGGTGGAGTGACTGTAATCCTGAAAGGCAGGTTTGGATATATTATGAGTATGACAGGTTGGAGTGGCCAGATAAAAACAGGATGAAGATTATTATTGTATCATTACTCAGATGGGTAATGCCACATTGACTTATCTTTGAGGAACTTGAAGAGCTTTCTCATACTATTTTCAAAACCACTTTGTACCATAGTAAACTGATTTTATCTGTTCTAGAGATAGGGCAATTAGAACAGGAAGACTTTGTAACTCACCACGGTTGTAGTTAGTGAGAGACAAAAACTCAACTCTCAAATCCAGACCTCTTCTCTACATTGGTGTTCTCAAACCATTGTCTAGACTTATGCTCTCAACAGGATCACCTACAAGTCTTATTAAAACAGATTGCTAGCTGGACATGGTGGCACAAACCTATAATCCCAGCTACTCAATAGACTAGGCTGGAGTATTACAAGTTTGAGGCTAGCTTAATTAATGAGACCCTACCTCAAAATAAAAAATAAAAAAGGCCTAGGGATGTAGCTCAGTTGTAGAGCACCCCTGGGTCCAGTTCACAGTAGCATCAAATAAACAAACAAAAAAATAGAATTTTAACTAGCCTTTTACTTTGAATGTCCCCAGTGGAATGAGATTTAGGACAGTAAAATTTTATTTCAGGAAAACTTATGAAACCATTTGAGAAACAATAGATATGATTAGAGATTGATGATAAAAGAGAGTTATTCTTTAATTATTTTGCAAGGTTAATTTGTTTTTTATGTGATGATCCACTTGTTACATGGAGCCCTCCCAAGGGAGTCAGTGGGCTGGATCAGTGCCTGAGTCATTGTGGGCTTTGGGAGGATACATAGGGATATATACTATCATGATACAGAGTAAGGGCATCTCATATAATAAACATACTGAAGACCCACTTGAACCAAACTCTGTGCACAGCCCTGTGGATATGCTGGTGGATATAAGGGTTCCCCTCCCATCAAGGATTCCACTGTGTAAGGGGAAGTGAACATGGGAGACAAGGGACAACAAGAAGTGCTAACACAAATAAAGATCAGAGACAATAGGAGTCTAGTAACCACAGACTGGATACTAGCTAAGTCCATGCCAGCTTGTAGTTACCCAACATCTGTGACCTCAGGTATCATCTCAAGTGATACAAGGAGAATATGACATTAAAGATAGAAAAGCACATTTCTTTAAAGAGCTTTGCATTTGCTATAAAAATTCAAGATGTCATCTGAGCATGTGTCGCATACCTATAATTCCAGCGACTCCAAAGGCCCACACAGTAGAATCACAAGTTTGAGGTATGCCTCAGCAAGTTATCAGTGCCCTCAGCAACTTAATGAAACCAAACCCTGTCTCAAAAAAAAAAAAAAATTCAAGATGTCTTTATTGATAATTTCATAATACAGAGTTGAAGAATCATTATTGTGTTTTTTAAACAAATATTAATATTGAATATTGAAATTTCTTAATTAAGTACTCTTGTACTAAAGAGCTTTTGATTGGCCTTTTTTGTCTCTATTCATATTAACTGTATACCAACATCAAGTTATAAAGTTGTCATATCATGGCAACAAAATGAGATACTTAGCCGAGTTTTACTATATCTATATTCATTAGGCCCTCTACCTAAATAAACACAGATTTTGTTTCAGAATAAGATATATAGGGAATGACAAAGCCATCAAATTATATAATTTGCTTGAAAGATTTAAGACTGAGCTCAGCTCTAATTTTAGACCTGGGCTGGCCCCTCAAAGCTTTGTAAAGCGATGTTAAATTGAAGTGTTGCTTTCTCTTTTCCAGCTGAACTGTCCCAAGCAATAAACAGTGGTACATTATTATCAAAACCATCCCCACCCTTACCACCTAAGAGAGGCATTCTGTCAACCTTGGTATCCACCTCGGAGTTGGCTGCTGGCATCAACACAAAAACACCAAGCGATCAAAAAGAGATGAATACATGCTCTGTGGGCTCTGAACCAATGCTGATGATCCCACCTCCTTCTCCATCTCCCCCGCTGCCTACTCATACACCTCCAGAGCCCCCACGGTCTCCACCATTCCCTCCTAAGACTTTTCAACTTGTGCCAGAAGTTGAGATTCCACCTTCCTTAGATCTTGCCCAGGAGGATCCCCAGCAGGAAGATCAGAAAAAGGAAGTCCCCAAGAGGATATTGGACCAAAGCTTTGGGGAGCCCCATGTACCCTGTAGGCTGCCCCCACTCCCCCTACATATTCGAATTCAACAGGCCCTGACCAGTCCCCTTCCCATGACTCCTTTAGAGGGTTCTCACAGAGCTCATTCATTGCTCTTTGAGAACAGTGACAACTTTTCTGAGGACAGCAGTACCTTGGGTCGGACCAGATCACTTCCCATCACTATTGAAATGCTGAAAGTGTGAGTGCCTTTAAAGCTTTCTTCTTGTTTTTCCTTCTTTACTCTTAGCCCTGCTTGGAAAAAATTACTTTAAAAAGAGGAGATATAGCTCGGTTGGTACAGTGCTTGCCTTGCACGTGCAAGGCCCTGGGTGCAATCCTTAGCACCACACACAAAAAAAAACCATACAAAATTACTTAAAAAAGAAAATTTGAATAAATTTAAGGTACAAAGAGTATTCTGCCAAAAGGTCTTTTTTTTACCCCGTGATTTCTGTAACTTTTTTTTTCATAGAGATTTCCATGATGACATAAAAATTATATGTTTATATATAGGAAAATTAAAATCACTACTTTTATGAGATACAAAGGTGAAGTATATTACATGGTACTTAAGAGCCTTGCCTTATATAGTGAGATAACTCTGGATTCAAATCCCAGCTCTACCACTCCTAGTGTGTTGAAGTGTAAGTTACTTGATCTTTCTGTTTCTTAGTTATCTATAAGTGGGAATGATATCTTCTCTGTAGGCCTGTGAGAATAAATTTAAACAAATTCTAGAAAGCGCCAATATCTAATAAGTGGTAGAGCTGGGATTTGAACCCAGAGTCCTTTAGATTATAGGTGTTTAAAAGTTTCTTAGCATCGTTGTTAAAGCTAAAGGAGGGATTTATACGTTATTTCATTAATGGATTTTCCCATAGATATTTCAGTTCTTTATCTTGAAAACCAGTATCATCTTTGTTTCTGAAAAGAAAATATAATTATGTGAATTTGTTAGTCCAGACGATGAAGAAGAGGAGGAGCAAACCTATCCTTTGGAATTTGTTGAAGATGTGGCATCTACCTCAGTCATTCCTAAATTACCACAGTGTCTGCAGGAGGAAGAAGAAAAGGAGAGTGACTCAGATTCAGAGGGTCCTGTTCAATATCGAGATGAAGAGGATGAAGATGAAAGCCATCAGAGTAAGAAAGGAAGGAATAGCAAAAGAGAAAATTCTCTTTTTTTTTTTAATTTTTTTAGTTGTCAATGGAATTTTATTTTATTTATTTATATGTGGTGCTGAGAATCAAACCCAGTGCCTCACACATGCTAGGTAAGCACTGTACCACGGAGCCACAACCCCAGCCCAAGAAAATTATTTTATGGATAAAGCTATTTGCAAATAAGATGAATGGAAACAAGTATCTTTTCTGTCAAATAATCTGATTAGCTATTATTGGAAGCCACTGTAAAGGACTCATCCTTGCTGTCATTCCTCAGTTACAATTAATCATGAACTGGACGCACACCTATAACCCTCCTACTTAGTAGAATGAAGCTGGAGGATCACAAGTTCAAGATCAGACTCAGAAATTTAGTGAGAGCCTGTCTCAAAAAAAAAAAAAAAATTTTAAAGGGTCTAGGGCTACTGGGTGCAGTGGTGCACGCCTATAATCTCAGCATCTAGGGACGCTGAGGCAGGAGGACCATTGAGTTCAAAGCCAGCAACTTAGCAAGGTCCTGAGCAACTTAGCGAGACTGTGTCTCTAAATATAAAGAAGGACTGGGAATGTGGCTCAGTGGGTGAGCACCCCTGGGTTCAATCCGCAGTACCAAACAAAAAAAGGTCTGGGGCTGGATGCAGTAGCATACACCTATAATCCCAGCAGCTCAGGGGAATCGCATGTTCAAAACCAGCCTCAGCAACTTAGTGAGACCCTGTTGCAAAATAAAAAATATAAAGGGGTGGGGATGCTGCTCGGTGGTTAAGCACCCCTGGTTTCAACCCCTGGTAAATTAGAGCACTGGCCTATCATGTGTAAGACACGGGATTCAATCACCAAAAAAAAAAAAAAAAAAAAAAGCCCTACCAGCCAGGCATAGTAACACATACCTATAAAACCAATGATTCAGGAGACAGGAGGATTGAGCCTCAGCAAAACAAACAAACAAACTGGGGATGAAGCTCAGTGGTAAAGCACTCCTGGGTTAAGCCCTCAGCACTAAAAAACAAAAGAGTGGGCTGGGGATGTGGCTTAAGTGGTAGCGCACTTGCCTAGCATGCGTGAGGCACTGGATTCGATTCTCAGCACCACATAAAAAAAAAAAAAATAAAGATATTGTGTCCACCTAGAACTAAAAAATTAATATTAAAAAAAAATAGAGTGCCTGAGAGGGAGCCAAGTAGATTGAGCCATTTGAGCTTTAGTTTGATTTTATTTTTTATTTTAAAACCATAACTATTCACCCAGGGAGGAGCTAGGGAATGGTGATAGGGAACAAGCAAGCATGCTCCAGGCCCTGGGTTCAGTTTTCAGCACCAATCAATCAATCAATAAGAAGCCTATTTAACTTGATAATACTAATAAAAAATACCAGATAGAGAAAAACTGGCACCTGGGGTTCAGTTGAAGAGATAGTTTTCTTCAGTAAACTGAACTTACTGTCATTGGGCAAAGAAAAATTTTAAAATGTGTTCATGCCTATAAATCATTGTGAAATATGGAAACCTGATTTCTAAAATTAGCAAAGCAGCTTTAAAAACAGACTAGGGGGCTGGAGTTAGGCTCAGTGGTAGAACACTTGCCTAACATGTGTGAAACACTGGGTTCGATTCTCAGCACAGCGTATAAATAAATGAATTAGCTAGACACATCGGCATATACCTGTTTTCCTCTACCTGGGAAGTTGAGGTGGGAAGACTGCTTGAGCCCAAGAGTTTGAGATCAGCCTGAGCAATGTAGCAAAGCCTCATTTCAAAAAAAAGAAAAATTGAACATGGTGATACATGCTTATAATTCCAGCTATGTGGGAGACTGAAGCAGAAGGATCCCAAATTCGAGGCCAGCTGGGGCAACCTAGTGAAATCTTGTCTTGAAATGAAAAGGGTTGGGGATATGGCTCAGTGGTGGAGTATTTGGCTAGCATGCACAAGGTCCTAGGTTCAGTCTTCAGGACTGGGGGGAAAAAATTGTAGGATGGTGTTAGTGTGAAAGACACTGAGATTTTAATTGAAATGACTGTCCTATGCTTAGATTTCCTCTCCTCTAGCAGTTTTTATTTATTTGTTTGTTTGTTTATTCATTTTTAGTTGTAGTTGGACACAATATTTTATTTATTTTTATGTGGTGCTGAGGATCGAATCCAGGGCCTCATACATGCTAGGCAAGCGCTCTACCTGAGCCACAGCCACAACCCCAGCCCCTCTGGCAGTTTTTATTAAGGAGAAAAATAGTGCTAATAAAAGAGACAAGGTATCTTTTGCCATCTAGATCCATCTGGCTGAAAAGATTTTTGCATGTCTTCACTTTTCCTCTCCTCTGTGTTTTCCCTGGATCATTTGAGGCCAAGTAAGAAGTTGGGAGTTACATTGATTCAGACTCCTCCCCAGATCCCCATGATGTTGAGCCTCTTTTTTTTTTTTTGGGGTAGTTGAAGATCAACAGCATTTTATTTATTTTTATGTGCTGCTGAGGATCGAATCCAGTGCCTCTCACATACTAGGCAAGTGGTCTGCCATAGCCACAGCCCCACATTGAACCTTTGTTTCAAGCTTCTACACTTTTTTTTTTTTTAAAGAAAAGCAACTTATGTGAATGAAAATGCTTTTTTTTTTTAAAAGAGAAAGTGAGAGAGAGAGAATCCTAATATTTATTTTTTAGTTTTTCGGCGGACACAACATCTTTGTTTGCATGTGGTGCCGAGGATCGAACCTGGGCCGCACGCATGCCAGGCGAGCGCGCTACCGCTTGAGCCACATCCCCAGCCCAACTTCTACACTTTTTTATCTCCTCATTTATAGGTGCTCTGGCCAACAAAGTAAAGAGGAAGGATACACTGGCAATGAAGTTGAACCATAGATCCAGTGAACCAGAGTTGAACTTGAATTCTTGGCCTCGTAAAAGCAAGGAAGAATGGAATGAAATACGGCACCAGATTGGGAACACACTGATCCGGTAGGCCTTTGCCTAAACTAGTTGGATTTTTGTTTTTTGTATTGAGGATTGAATCAAAGGGCTCTTAACCACTGACCCATATCCCCAGCCATTTTTATATTTTATTTAAAGACAGGGTCTCACTGAGTTGCTTAGGGCCTCGCTGAGTTGCTGAGGCTAGGTTTGAATTTATAATCTTCCTGCCTTAACCTCCTGAGCCACTGGGATTACAGATGTGCACCACCACACCCAGCCTTCGATATAATTTTTTTAAATTTTTTTTTAGTTGTAGATGGATACAATATCTTTATTTTTATTTATTTATTTTTAAGTGGTGCTGAGGGTCGAACTAGGGGCTCATGCATGTGAAGCAAGCACTCCACCACCGAGCTACAACCCCAGCCCCTTTGATATAAATTTTAAAAATACATATTATTAAATGGGAGTTACATAATTTCTATTTCACATGTTCCAAGTAACTGCCTCCTTTCAAAAAAAATTTTTTTTAGTTGTAGATGGACATAATATCTTATTTTTGTTTGTTTATTTTTATGCGGTGCTAGGAGGCAAGGGCTCTACCACTGAGCTACAACCCCAGCTCTAAAAAAAAAAAAAATTATAAAAATAAAAAAGAGGGCTGGGGTTATGGCTCAGTGGTAGAGTGCTTGCCTAGCATGTGCACCACATAAACATAAATAAATAAAATAAAGGTATTGTATCCAACTATAACTAAAATATTAACAAAAAAGGAAAAGACAAAATCTACATATTAGACACAGTTGGATAGCCTCTAAGAATTTGGAAATTTTAAGGAACCAGATAGCACTAACTATGAGATAACATATATGGTTTTGCCAAAGTTGTTAAGAGAAGTCTGAGTGGTTCCCAGAATAGCAACTCTTTTTCCATTTTTTATTTAGCTGCTGAACCATGAAATGCAAACCTAATTAATCACACGCACATTTTTCATCATTTCTATTTCACATGTTCCAAATGTTAGTGTGTTTTTTAAGTCAACTAGAACCAAAAACAAAATGCATACCCGCTTCCTGCATATGCAAAACTCGAGTTCAGACAAATAGATGGGTGTTTGCCTGGCACAGATGTTTCTCCCTGTAGAGAGAGGATAAGAAGGTGGACTCTCTCCATAAAATAATTAGCTAAGGATATCCATTAATAAAATTGTATTCTCTTCTACCTTAAACATCTTGATTATACTGTATGTGCCTCATCTAGAGACAAGTTTGGCCCTTGGTCTTCCAATAGATGTTTTTTTGGATCCTGAAATCATTCTCTGAGATGTATTTTTTTAAGCATAATGGCCAGTCTGACTGCTGTTGAAATTAAGGGTGATTAGGCTGGGTGTGGTGGCACACACCTGTAATCCTAGTGACTTGGGAGGCTAAGGCAGGAGGATTGCAAGTTTGAGACCAGCCTCAGGAACTAAATAAGGCCCTAAGCAAAAGAAATTAAGGGTGATTAGAGAGAAGGGAAATAGAAAGCTTTTCTTTCTCTGACAGTGTCCATAACACAAATCACCAATCTGAAAGTGATTTGGATAGATGGGCTTCTGGGTGTAGTACCAGAAATTCTTCATAGGGAAAGGATGGTAGACTTGGCCCTTTACATTTAAGGTACAGCAATTTAATATCTGTACTTATTCATTCATTTTATTTTGAAGAAAAAAGAAATTCAAATTACAAAAATGTTGTTGTATGCCCTTCACCTAGAAGTGTTAACATTTCCATATTTGCCTTATTGATTATTGTGCTCACTCTTGCTTTATACACATAACATTCTTTTTTTTCCCCTGAGCCATTTGAGAATAAATTGCAGACAACAGAATGCTTTACTTTGGCATGTTATTTCCTATGAAGAAGGACATTGTCTTATATATCCACAGAATACTTATTAAATTCAAAAAATTTAATACCAATACATTCATAGTACATCATTAATCATCCTAATAATACCTTTTTGGGGGGGTGGGGGGGCAGTACCAGGGATTGAACTCAGGGGCACTCCACCACTGAGCCACATCCCCAGCCCTATTTTGTATTTTATGTAGAGTCAGGGTTTCACTGAGTTGCTTAGCCCCTCACTTTTGCTGAGGCTGGCTTTGAACTTGCAATCCTCTTGCCTCAGCCTCTGAAGCCACTGGGATTATAGGTATGTGCCACCATGCATGGCTACTAATAGCTTTAATAGCATTTATCTAATCTACCATATTGTGTTATATTTAGGTGTCATATCTTTTTGGTGTCCTTTAATCTGAAACAATTCCTAAGCCATTTCATTTGTGTATTTTAGAGTGCCCTAAATTTGAATTTGTCTTATTTTTTCCTTATGATGAGATTCTGGTTATTCATTTTCTGCTATTCTAATTTATTTATTGTTGTCTTCCTTCTATCATTCCTATAATTTCAGCAATTCGGGATGCTGAGGCCAGAGTATCACAAATTCAATGTCAGCCTCAACTACTTTGTGAGATCCTCAACAGCTTAGTGAGACCCAGTCTCAAAATAAAACATTGGGGCTATAGCTCAGTGGTAAAATAGCCCCAGGTTCAATCCTAGTACCAAAAAATAAACAAATAAATAGAATGGGGCTGGGGGGCAGATAATAGCTCAGTGGCAGAGCACTTACTTAAGCATGCTTAAGGCCCTGAGTTCTCTCCCAGCATCAGTAATGATAATGATGGTGATATGATGATGGTGGTGGTGGTGGTTTGTTTAAGTTCAGGCTCTAAACAAGCAGATCTCAGGTTGGATTTGGACCATTGGGGCTATAAATAATTACAATATTTTGTATTCTTTCCCAGTGATTTTTGTTTGTTTTGTGGTGCTAGGGATTGAATCAGGGTCTCACACACGTTAGGCAAGCATTTTGCAACTGAGTTACATTCCTTTCTCTTTGCTAGTGTTTTTGTGTGCATATTTTACATGGCACTTCTATTACTTTTTTATTATAAAGATTTTCCCTATTTCCATATAGTCTTTGTAATTATTACTAATAGTCACCATATGAGTCCATTGAATCAATATAGTATAATTAATTGAACCATAACCCTATTATTAGACATTAATTTTTTTCTTTTTTTGTGTGTGTGTGACTCTGATTAAGTCAGTTGTTTTCTACTTTAGCATTCATCTTTTAGGTTTGAATCACCTGTAGGCTTGAAATTAAAAAACAAGTTTTTGAGCTCAATGTCTGGAGGTGTTTGCTTTGTGATGGGGTCTAGTCATCGGCTGGTTGTGGGATCACTTTAAGAACTAACTACTCTACCTAGTACTAATCATTTGGATTATAGTGCTGGCATCTTTATTCCAATTTTTGGCGGGGAGGGGGATACCAGGGATTGAATTTGGGGTTTCACTGAGTTGCTTAGTGCCTCGTGGTTGCTGAGGCTGCCTTTGAACTTGCAGTTCTCCTGCCTCAGCCTCCTGAGCTGCTGGGATTACAGGTGTACGCCACCATGCCCGGTGCTTCTCCTCAGTTTTTGTCAGAAAACTTAAATTAGTCAATATACACAGTCACAGATATAGTCCTTCCTTCTAAATAGTAAAGTCATCTGGCAAAGTCCTGGTAAAGTCATCTCTAGTGTGCCTTCATCTGTCCATATAAAGGATGGCATTGTTATTGTTATCCAGTTTTAGACTGGGCCTGCTTTCATGGAAAGCTGTTTCACTTGGAATAGCATAAGTTAAACAGTAGGACCTTGTTAACCTAACTAGCCACAGAAAAGAGGTAACTGCCCAGATACCATGTCCCTTCAACTTTTGTAGGAGTGACAAATAACTAATTTCTTATTAGTTCATCCCTTGATTTTTACTAATAACTAATCAGAAGTTCATAGAAATAGAACTGGGGTTGTTTCTTAGTGGTAGAGCACTTGTCTAGCATGGGTTCAGTCCTCAGGCACTGGGTTCAGTCCTCAGCACCATTATAAAAATAAAAGTATTGTGTCTATTTACAATGAAAAATATTTTAAAAAGCCAGGTATGGTGGAGTATGCCTATAATCCCAGCAGACTGAGGCAGGAGGATCAAGTTCAAAGCCAGCCTCAAGAAAAACAAGATGCTAAGCAACTCATTGAGACCCTGTCTCTCTCTTTTTTTTTTTTTTTTTTTTAACATTGAGAGTTAATATTTATTTTTTTAGTTTTCGGCAGACACAACATCTTTGTTTGTATGTGGTTCTGAGGATCGAATCCGGGCCGCATGCATGCCAGGCAAGCACGCTACCACTTGAGCCATATCCCCAGCCCCGAGACCCTGTCTCTTAATAAAATACAAAATAGGGCTGGGGGTGTGACTCAGTGGTTAAATATCCCTGGTACAAACAAACAAAAAAACTCAGAGAAGCTTGGTGTGAAAGCACATACTTGTAATCATAGCAATGCAGGAGAATTGCAGATTTAAAGCCAGCCTCAGCAAAAGTGAGGTGCTAAGCAACTCAGTGAGACCCTGTCTCTACATAAAATACAAAATAGGGATGGAGATGTGGCTCAGTGGTTAAATGCCCTGAGTTCAGGAAAGGATTTTTCATATCATGTATTTTATGAATGTCTCTTATCTATAATATGAAGATTTTCAAAACTGAATAAGAAGACAATAAAAAAGGTCCAGGTCAGCATGCCTGAAGTCCTGGGTTCAATCCCCAACACTGGAAAAAAAAATGGCATAAGATTTTAACAGACACATCACCAAAGAAGATATATAGAAGGCAAATAAGCATATGAAAAGAGGCTCAACATTATTACTCATTAAGGAAATGCAAGTTAAAACCACATAATCTGAATAAGACATACAAATGGCAAACAGGTATATGAAAAAATGTTCAACATCACTATTCATCAGAATTGCAAATCAAAACCACAAGAGAGATCACCTCTCACCTGTTAGGCTGGCTATTCTCTAAGAAACAAAAGACGAGTGTTGGCAAGGATATGGAGAAATTAGAACCCTTATAAACTGTTGATCGGAATGCAAATTCATGCATCCCATGTGGAAAACAGTATGGAGTTTTCTCAAAAAATTAAAAATAGCCTAGTTTATGCAAAGCCCTGGAATCAGTCCCCAGCAACCAAAAAAAAAGGTTAAAAATTGAACTTCCATATTATCCAGCAATCCATATTCTGGGTATTTATTTGAAAAAATTAGAATCATGATCTTGGAGAGAAATCAGCATTGCAATCCATGTTCATTGTGGCAGTATTCTTATTTATTTGTTTGTTTATTTATTTATTGGTAGCAGTATTCTTAATAGCTGAAATATGGAGAAAACTTAAATGTTCACTGATGGGGGAGAATGGAGTAAGAAAATATAGTGTACACAGTGGAACATTCTTCAGCCTTAGAAAGAAAACAACATTGGATATACGTGGATAAACCCTGAGAACATTATGCTCAGCAAAATAAGCCAATCATAGGGTTAGAAGTATGGCTCAGTGTAGAGGGTTTGCCTAGCATGCATCAGGCCCAGCACTGCAAGACAAAAAAACCAGTCACAGAAGGAGAAATGTTCTATGACCCCACTTCTTTGCGGAATTTAAAATTGTCATAGAAGAAAAAATAAAACGGTCATAGAAGCAGAGAGCAGAATAGTGTTGCCAGGTGCTCAGTGGAAGTGTATAAAATAGCTGGTTACTAGTCAATATAAAGTTTTATTTATGGATGATGAATAATCTCTAAAGAACTACTGAACAACATTGTGTTTATAATTTTAAGTCTCTTAGGAGGCCCCATGGGGATGGTAATACATCCTTATAATCCCATTGACTCTGGAGACAGGCCAGTATGAGCAACTTAGTGAGATCACGTCTCAAAATAGAAAAAAAAAATTAAAAAGGGCTGGGGATGTAGCTCAGTGTTAGAGCACTCCTGGGGTTTAATCCCCAATATAACCAGCAACCACTCTGTTAAGGGGTTGGATCACATATTAAACACTCTTACCAGCATCACTTCTCTTATATTTATAATTATTATTAAGTAAAAAAGGGTTACTTCATTTAACACAAGCACCATGACACCATGACAGTCAGTCTCATAACCCAGATGGCTAAGAAGTGACTAATGGATGAATAATACCCACGACAAAGAGCATGATTCATGTTCCAGGTGGGAGAGAGTGGGACAGTTCAAGATTTTAAAAGTGCGTGCAATTTAAAATTTATTGATTGTTTATTTCTAAATATAACTATGTTTATTTATTTTTGGACCATGGTTGACCTTGGGTAACTGAATTCCTGAAAAGCAAAAGCATGGATAAGAGAATACTACTGTAAAATAACAATTTAAATTAAAAAACAAAAAATGAGATACCACTACAAATCCACTAGGATTGCTAAAATTAAACAATTCAATAAAAGACTGGCAATACCAAGAATTATGGAGAATAAGGAGCAACTGAATTCTTACCTACTAGTCGTAGGAATGTAAAGTAGTAGAAGTACTTCAGAAAAATAGTTTGGCAGTTTCTTTAAAAATTAAACATAAAAGCTGGGCATCGTGGCACACAGCTGTAATCCCAGCACTTTGGGAGGCTGAGGTAGGAGGATTGCAAGTTCAAAGCCAGCTTCAGCAATTTACTGAGGCCCTAAGCAACTTAGTAAGAGCCTGTCTCAAAATAAAAAAGAAAAGGGGTTAGGGATATGGCTCAGTGGTTAAGTGCCCCTGGGTTTAATCCTCAGTACTAAAAAATGATTTTATTTATATATATATAATATAAATTGTGTAGAGAATGGGTCTAGGAGAGTTGAATAATTAGCAGGTAGAGCCAGACATGATGGTGCATGCCTGTAATCCCAGCAGCTCCAGAGGTTGAGGCAGGATTTCAAGTTCAAAGCCAATCTCAGCAATTTAGGAAGGCTCAAAATAAAAAGGACTGGGGATGTGATTTATTGGTTAAGAGCCCCTGGTTCAATCCCTGGTACAAAAAAAAAACAAGTAGCTGAAATGCTGTCTGATAAATATTGAGATTAAAGTTAAAAAATGAATAGCTTTCTGAATTCAGAAATGACAGAAATGGGTGGGGACTGTGGCTCTGTGGTAGCACACTCGCCTGGCTTGTGTGAGGCACTGCATATAAATAAATAAAGGTCTATCAACAACTAAAAAATATTTAAAAGAAAAAGAAATGACAAGTTGTCATTGGTTAGTAACATCATCAGAACTATGAAAAACCTTATCAAATACTTCACAGAGAAGACAAATTAAAATCATAGAATTAACGAGAGCTGGGGATGGATACAGAAGACCCTGAGTTCAATCCCCAGCATAACTAAAAATATAATAAAATCATATAATGACAGAATATTACCTAGGAGGAGACCATCTTAAATTTCTGTGTCTCCTAAACCACTGCTTAAAAATACAAACAGCAGCTGGTCATAGTGATTCATGCTTATAGTACAGCTACTTGAGAGGCTAAAGCAGAAGGTTTACTTGAGCCCAGGACAACATTATGAGATCCCATCTCAATAAAACAAACAACAACAAATACACATACACATGCACATATATATTATATAATAAAGATTACCAGGCTGAGGTTGTGGCTCAGCACAGGCCTGGCATGTGTGAGGCATTGGGTTCAATCCCCAGCACTACCCCCTCCCCCCCAAAAAGTCATATGATATCTGTAATATTAATACTTTCAAGTTTGTCTTTTCTTCCCCCCCCCCCTTTAATGCTAGGGATTGAACCCAGGGCCTCACCTATACCAGGCAAGTGCTATCCACTAAGCTACATCTCTAGCTCTATATTAGTACTTTCTTTTTTTAATTTTTATTATTTCATTTTTTATTTTTTTGTACCAGGGATTGAACTCAAGGGTGTTTAACTACTGAGCCACATCCCTAGTCGGGGTCTTGCTGATTTCTTAGGGCCTTATTGACTTGCTGAGGCTGGTTTTGAACTTGTGATCTGGTCTCAGCGGCCCGAGCCACTGCATGTGCCATGGGCCCGACTTAGTACTTTCAATGTGGAAATTGTTTCATAAATAATCGGATAAGAAAATGAAATATATCCATTTGAAAATTTATTGATTTTTTTTTTTTTTAACTTGCTTAGGGGCTAATATAAACTATGGCCAGAAAATCATTGTAAAGAAGAGCTTTAAGTGAGACAATAAGTATTCCCATTTATCTCCCTTTTAGGAGACTGAGTCAAAGACCAACACCAGAAGAACTAGAACAACGAAATATACTGCAACGTAAGTCCAGCTATGGAAATAAAATTATGCAGATATTCTTTTATATGTCTATTATTTTAATGTACATAAAAGATAAAAGAAGTATTTGCTAAAAGGGCCAAGAAGACAGTGTTTCAGTCTGGGAAAAATATTTTTCCCCTGTGGGAACAGAGTTCCCCCAAGCTTCCTTTGGAAAAAGCTACATGGCATTGTTTAGTATATTATCATACTCTAAAAATTTTTGCTTTAATGTTTTTACATTTTCCTCAAATTGCTTTGGGCATTTGACAGTGTATAAGAGATGTGACCCAACTTTTCTCTGTCTTCATGGAAGGAACTACTGTAGTAACTGTGCATGTGAATGAGACGTTCTTGTGCTAGTAGAATCAGAGGGCTTGGAATCTGATGCAAGTCCCTAGAATTGCAATTTTCCTGCTGCTTTCAGTCATTAAGACTGTCTTTACCTCCATAGCCCCTAAGTAAGACCATGTATTTAATTTGTTGTCTATGTATATAATTAACTTCCTGAAATAGCATTCTAATTTAATACAGATGTGATTTGTCTTTCCAAAGTTTAGAAAAATCTCATTACTGAAGCCTTGAAGCAGTTCAGGCTTCCCTAGGATTGCTTGTTGGGATGCTCAGTCTGATCATTCTCATAATACTTTTTAGGTATACACAATTTAGTCACTTAGTGAATTTAAAGTGTGGGAGGCTGGGCTGGGGTTGTGGCTCAGTGAGTGCTCGCCTAGCACATTCAAGGCCCTGGGTTCGATCTTCAGCACCACATAAAAATAAATAAAATGGAGGTGTTGTGTCCACCTACAAATAGATAGATAGATAGATAGATAAATAAAGTGTGGGAGGCTTTATAAACATATTATCTGAAACTTGGTGTGATCTCTTTTGTCCATTCTTAGCAGTTACTCTTGAGCAAAAATATGAAAATTTTTTTTTAAATGGCTCTTAGTGGGCTGGGGCTATAGCTGAGTAGCCGAGCAATTGCCTAGCACATGTGAGGCCCTGGGTTCAATCCTTAGCACCACATAAAAATAAACAAATAAAATAAAGGCATGCTGGCATCTACAACTACAAAAATACAAATTGGGCTGGGATTGTGGCTCAGCTGTAGAGCACTTGCCTAGCATGGGCTGGACCCAGGTTCAATCCTCAGCACCACATAAAAATAAAGGCATTGTGTTGTGTCCATCTACACCTAAAAAAAAAAAAATTACATTTTTTTTAGGTGCATAGTAAATATTCTGGCTTTGCAAACCATAGAATAATGGAGAATATTTTAGGTAGATATAAAACTGTTAAAAAATGTGAAGACTAGGGCTGAGGATGTAGCTCAGTAGTAGAATGCTTGCCTAGCAAACTCAGAGCCCTGGGTTTGAATTCCAGCATGATCAAAAAAAAGTAGAGACTTTTCTCTCTTTCTCTCTTCTCTCTCTTCCCTTCTCTTCTCTTCTCTCTCTCTCCCCGCCCCCCCACCCATCCCCTCTCCCTCCCTCTCTCCAGGGATTAAGCTTGAGCAGGAGTATTGCAAGTTCAAAGCCAGCCTTAGCAATTTACTGAGGCCCTAAGCAACTTAGCAAGGCCCTGTCTCAAAATTTAAAAAGTAAAAAGGGGTTGTGAATATGGCTCACTGGTTTAATGCCCCTGGATTCCTTGGTACCAAAATAAAAGAAAAAAAAATTGTCTTGGTTAGTTGGGTGCAGGGGCACACACCTATAATCCCAACTTCTAGGGAGGCTAAAATAAGAGGGTAGCACCTATAATCCCTATCTGAAAATGAAAAGTGCTAGGGATGTAGCTTAGTAGTAGAGCACTTATCTAGCATTTGTGAGACTCTGGGTTTGGTTTTCGGTACCACAAGAAAGAAAGAGTGAGATAGATAGATCTGTGGTATAATTACCAAAATGTTTGATAAGCAAATTGCCATTTTGAAGTAATATTCATTCTTTGTTTCTGACTGTCGAATGTAGCTAAAAATGAAGCTGATCGTCAGGCAGAGAAACGAGAGATTAAACGTCGGCTCACTAGAAAGGTACAGCTTCCTGTGTGGTTGATTTCAATCTGCCTATTGACTTTGTCTTGGATTTGAATGACTTATTTGTGGAAATAATGAATTTGCTATATATGTAGAAAATAATACATAATTTTTCTTTGATTTTTAATGTTTAAAACAGACCTTTACAAGGAGGAGTTTGATAATTTTTACCTTTTTGGACTTGGGATTTTGATGTATACTCTATAAAAAGTGGTGCAGTTTTGTTTTGTGTTTTGTTGTTGTTGTATATGTGTGGGAATTTTGGTTTGTGATGCTGGTAATAAAACCCAGGGCGTTGCACCTGCTACGAAAGTGCTCTAACACTGAGGTACATACCCCCCAACCCCTTAAAACTTGTTGCTGTGTAGAGACAATAACAGGAGGAGAGTGTAGCATTCAGTTTTACAAAGCAAACTAATTTTTTGTTGTTGTTGTTTGTTTTTTGTGGTACTAGAGATTGAACCCTGGGGTGCGCAACCACTGAGCTACATCTCCAGCCATTTTTATATTTTATTTTGAGATAGGACTTGCTAAATTGTCCAAGGTGGCCTGGAACTTTGTTTGGGGTACCAGGGATTAACCACTAAGTCACATTCCCCAGAACTTTTTTTTTTTTTTTTTAATTTTAAGATGGGTCTCACTCACAAAGTTGCCTCAGACTTCCAAGGTGCTGTTATAACAGGCATGCACCACCATGCCTGGCAAATACTACTTAAAATTTGTAAGAATCCCCAGAAGAGCAAGGGATCTAGATATTCATTTCTGGAATTATCCTATTTCATCCTTTCTCCTGGAATGGAGGAATTATCTTTGATAATTAGAGGCCATCTTCAGATTGAGCAGGTTACCTGCAATCTTAAATCAGTTTGTTAAGGAATCCTCTACTTTGTGTATTGTTGATGCTGAAATGAAATGCACAAGAGCCTTGCTACTCAAAATGTGGTCCATGGAGTGTGGCACGGTGGCACACACCTACAATCCCAGCGGCTTGGGAGGCTGAGGCAGGAGGATCACAAGTTCAAAGCCAGCCACAGCAACTTAGTGAGGACTTAAGCAAATCAGCGAGAACCTGCCTCTAAATAAATATAAAAAAGGCTAGGAGGCTGGGGTAGTGGCTTATTGGTAGAGCGCTTGCCTAGCATGCTTGGGGCACTGGGTTCAATCCCCTACACCACCTAAAAATACATAAATAAAGATATTGTGTCCATCTGCAACTAAATAAATAAATAAACAGATAAAAAAGACTAGGGATGTGGCTCAGTGGTTGAGTGCCCTTGGGTTCAACCCCCATACCAAAAAAACAAAAATGTGATCTGTGGACCAGCATCATTATTATCACCTGGGGTTTTCTAAGAGATGCTTAATGTCAGGCTCTACCCAAGACTCAATTAATAAGAGACTCCATTTTATTTATTTATTTATTTATTCTAAAATGTTTTTGGTATTGGGGATTGAAGTCACGGCCTCAAGTATGCTAAGCTTTACCACTGAACTGTACTTTCAGCCTAGAATCTACATTTTAACCAGATCCCTGGGGGGATTTGTATGTATGTTGATGTTTGAGAAGCACAGATTCTAGCAGTGTTTCTCAATCTTAGCCGTGCAATGAAATTACTTAAAAAGAAAAAATTCTGGGGATGATACCCAAGAATTAATAATGGTGAAAGCTCCCCAGGTGATTCCAGTATTAAACAAAGTTTAGAGGCAATTTGAATGCATAAGTGATTGCTAATTCCTGGCATAGAGAACTAAAAGATTCCATTTCTTTCAGCTCAGTCAAAGGCCAACTGTGGCTGAACTACTTGCCAGGAAGATTCTGAGGTTTAATGAATACGTGGAAGTAACAGATGCTCAAGATTATGACCGGCGAGCTGACAAACCTTGGACCAAGCTGACTCCTGCTGACAAGGTAACTGTAAAACATGTAACATATTTTCTTTCATATTTGAGAGCATGCTCTCTTTTTTCTTTACTTGAAGGATGCCAGGTACTAAATAAAATAAGGAACCATAAAGCTTCTAGTTTTGATATAATATTAAACTTCAAATCAAGATATAAAATCACAGGGTATACAACCAAAATCTTATACTAATGACTCCACCACCAGCATTGATAGAAGAGGAGGAAATCCCTGCTGTATCACAAAGTGAAAAAAACTAGAAGGAAACAAAATGTTTTAAATTTTGTTTTATTTATTTGTGTGTGTGTGTGTGTGTGTGTGTGTGTGATTGAATCCAGAGCCTGATGCATTAAAACACATTTGTTGAATGGATTTGGAGTGGTATAGTTCAGTAATTACACACATTTATCGCAAGGTTATCTCTTAGTTGCCCAGGTTGATCTGGATCTTTTAGTCTTCCTGCCTCGGCCTTCTAAGTAGCTGGTATTACAGGCTTGCACCACTGCATCTGGCACACATATTAACTTCTACAGTAGGAAAGGCATTTTTACATGCTGTGAAAAATATAAAACTAAAATCTCTCTTCAGGGTTTTCAATATTTGGATTTATCTTGTCATTTTAGGTTTATTGTGAGATGAATTGTGTCAGAAAATGATGTATGTTAGGTTCAGAGCTTGGCTTAATGTGATGTATGTTAGGTTCAGAGCTTGGCTTAATGTGTGGACCTGGATTTATTTTCTTCCCTCTGTGTTGCCTGTCAGGGACTCAGTGACTCTCAAAGTTAAGCACAATAGGGAGTAGATGGCAAATCATAGTGCTGTACTACAGCAGACAGAAAATGCTAAAATCTTTTTTATTTCTACCCTACAGGCTGCTATTAGAAAAGAATTAAATGAATTTAAAAGCTCAGAGATGGAGGTTCATGAAGAGAGCAAACATTTCACACGGTAAGAGCCAAAAGACCAAAAAACTATAAGCTAAGTAAAATTTACCCCAACAAACAAACATACCAGAGCTGTTTAGGTTGGAGAACTCTAGACTAAGGATGTAGATCAGGGCTAGAGCGCTTGCCTAGTATGCACAACACCCAGCACTATCCCCTGCACCACAAAAAAAAAAAGAGAGAGAATTCTAACATCAGGAGGCTGAGGCAAGAGGATCACGAGTTCAAAGCCAGCCTCAGCAACTTAGCAAGGCCCTAAGCAATTCTATAAGGCCCTCTCTCTAAATAAAATAACAAAAAAAGGGCCAGGGATGTGGCTTAATCCAGTACTGGGGGGGTGGAGGGAGCAGGGGTGTCGCATGTCACATGCAACTGAGGGGAATTAAGAGTGGAAAAAAAGGGGGGGGGGAGAGGGGTGAGAGGGAAAGGGAGGGGGCAGGGGATTAGCAAGCATGGTGGAATATGATGGACATCATTATACAAAGTACATGTATGAAGACTTGAATTGGGTGTCAACATACTTTATATACAAACAGAGATACGAAAAATTGTGCTCTATATGTGTAATAAGAATTGTAATGCATTCCACTGCTGTCGTATATTTAAAAATAATAATGAAATCAATAAAAAAAGAAAGAAAAAAATCATTTTAAAAAAAGTGGAAAAAAGACTTTTTTGGGGGGGCGGGGTGGTTATTGGCTGTTGAACGTAGGGGTCTTTACCACTGAGCTACATCTCAGCCCTTTCTATTTTTAATTTTGAGATGGGGTCTTGCTAATTGCTTAGAGCCTTGCTTAGTTGCTGAGGGTGGTCTTGAACTTGGGCTCCTCCTGCATTATAAGCATGCACCATCACACCCAGCTAAGAAACATTTAAAAAGAATATAACATTTCAGGGGCTGGGGTATAGCTCAGTTGGTAAGAGGGTTTGTCTCACAAGCCCAAGGCCCTGGGTTCAATCCCCAGCACCAAAAAAATAAAAAAGAATATGATATTTCATTACTACTGATAAGAAAAGTTATCTACATTATTTGGTAACCTTTCTTTTGAGCATCTATTTTAGCTACCATCCAAAGTACATGTATGAAGACTTGAATTGGGTATCAACATACTTTATATACAAACAGAGATATGAAAAATTATGCTCTATATGTGTAATAAGAATTGTAATGCATTCCACTGCTGTCGTATATTTAAAAATAATAATAATAAAATTAATAAAAAAAGAAAGAAAGAAAAAATCATTTTAAAAAAAGTGGAAAAAAGACTTTGGGGGGGTGGTTACTGGCTATTGAACCTAGGGGTCTTTACCACTGAGCTACATCCCAGCCCTTTCTATTTTTAATTTTGAGATGGAGTCTTGCTAATTGCTTAGAGCCTTGCTTAGTTGCTGAGGGTAGTCTTGAACTTGGGCTCCTCCTGCCTCAGCCTCCCCAGTTGCATTATAAGCATGCACCACCACACCCAGCTAAGAAACATTTTTTTTTTTTTAATTAGAATGTAACATTTCAGGGGCTGGGGTATAGTTCAGTTGGTAAGAGGGTTTGTCTCGCAAGCCCAAGGCCCTGGGTTCAATCCTCAGCACCAAAAAAATAAAAATAAAAAAGAATATGATATTTCATTACTACTGATATAAGAAAAGTTATCTACATTATTTGGTAACCTTTCTTTTGATCATCTGTTTTAGCTACCATCGTCCATAATGCTGAAGTTTGAGAAAGGAACTAAACAACTTCTCCAAAAACCAGGACTGCTTTGCTGCTTGTTTCCAGAGTGACATTATGGAGGGAACTTTAGCACTTCCCCCGCATAGCCAGAATTGCATCCTCTGGGATCTGGTTTTGGAGTGAACAGCACTCCTATGAATGTAGCCTTCCACTGGAATGGATTCTCATGTGCTGCCCCTGGGGGAAAAGCCAACACTTCATCAGTACTTTTGAACTTTTTAATATAGCAACATTCTTGAGGGGTTTTCCCTCACCAGCCACCAAATTTCTGAGCCACTGGCAGGTTCTGAGTTTTATTGACTTTTCCACACCCTTGCCCCAAAATTACTGCCTGTGCTAAGGCACAGTTTGCACCATTAGCCTTACCTGCCCTGCCCTAATTGTGAGACCCACTTGTATAGGCACTAAATTCCAGCCTTCAAAAATAATTGGTTGTGGGAAAATTTTCTAGAGGCCCCAGCCTTCTGGAAAAAGGGGTCCCCACTTCCAAAGGATGCCTTCATACCACACTGGGATGTCAATTGATAGCATTGCACTGTACCTCTTGTAACACAGCAATATAGTTCTCTTCAGGCACACGCGTCTGAGGGGAAGCTCAGGATCTGACATGTTCCTCCTTTTTGGCACTTGTCATCCTAATTTTTATTTTTAAATGATTTTAAAGAAGTAATGGGGACTTATGTTTTTCCTGTTCATTAAAGTCTGAGCTGCAACCAGAATGCAAGTTGGTCAAATGAGAAAGCGTGTATATTTTTTTGTATATAAAAACAAGAAAAGGCCTTAACATTAATGCCAACTTGGCAGAATGCTGACTGGTGGTTTAAATTTTATAGGCTGTTGTACTTTTATCGTACCAAATACTGTAAATCACTTCAACAAGTAGTAAAGCAGAGTTGTAGACATGCTGGGTGAGCACTTGTTTGGTTTCAGCCCCCATACTTCCAACCAGAATCACAGCAAGATCCTAAGGGATGTGGGGTGCTACATGGGAAAATGTCTTTGGAGAACCACAAAGGAGGGGCATGTTATGGCTCACTGCCCTTCTCTAAGTGCCTTTTGCCCTCTCCTTGCTGCACATTCCCTCTTCACTCTAACACTATTCTCCTGGCATTCTCTGGCAGCTTCACTCACTGTTCCTTTTCCACGCTGTAGCCAGCGTTTTTGGTGCCTAGGAAATGGCTTAGTCCCACCCCATTTTGTAATTGTAATATATGTTAGTATAATTTCTTAAAATAAAAAGTTTGGTTATCCTATTTCCTTCTCTTTTTTTGGTGGTGGTGACGGGGGGGATTCGGGATTGAACCCAGAGGTGCTTTACCCCTGAGCTACATCCCTAGCTCTTTTTATTTTTATTTTTTTTTATTGTGAGACAGGGTTTCACTAAGTTGCTTATGCCCTTGCTAAATTGCTGAAGCTTGTTTTGAACTTGGGATCCTCCTATTGCTGGGATTACAGGTATGCACCCCTGGGCCTGGTTCTTTTTCATTTAAATTAAATGGACATTTCATTTAAATGGACTGGGCTAGTTTAGTCTCAGTAACCACACTGAAATCATATGCAAGTTTATTTTATTTGCAGTGCTGGTGATTGAAACCAGGGCCTTGCAAATGACTGGCATGCACTCTACCACTGAGCTGTACTTTTTTTTTTTTTTTTTTTGCGGTACTGGGGATTGAATCCAGGACCTCATGTTGTATGCTAAGCAAGCGCTCTACCACTGAGCCTCATCCCACTTAGTATCTCCCTCTTTATTCCTATTCACACTGTAAGTGGAAGAAAGAGACAGTTTTTATTTAACTGATGAATGTGGACTTTTTTCTTCACTGTAATGTTTAGGAAATTGTAGCTGTTTTATAGGTTTCTTTCTGATCTCTTGTCATTTGTTCTTGATTTTTCGTTTGTTTCTTTGTTTTGGTGTACTAGAGATTGAACCCAAGAGTGCTTTACCGCTGAGCTACATGCCCAGCCCTTTTTTATTTTTTATTTATTTTTTGTGGTGCTGGGGATTGAACCCAGGGCCTTGTGCATGCGAGGCAAGCACTCTATCAACTAAGCTATACCCCTAGCCCCACTTTTTTATATTTTGAGACAGGGTCTCACAAAGTTGTTGAGGACCACATTAACTGCAGTCCTCCTGTCTCAAGCTCCTGAGTCACTGGGATTACAGGTGTGTGATACCATGCCCAGCATCTATCATTTTCTGTATGTAATTTTTGAGTAGATTTTTCTTCTTTCATGTTCACATCAGATTTGCTGAAGAATGAGACCATCAGGTCAATACAAAAAAGTCAAAGTGAATTTACAAGGTAGTATTTTCTCTCTGTGTAGGGATTGGGGTGGGAGTTGGAGTTCTCAATTACTGTCAAAGGTTTTATAAAGGCTATGGAACAATACTAGATCTACATCTCTTTGAAGTTCATTAACATTTGGAGTAATTGAGGTAAAATCATGAGAATTGTACTAAGTCTGTTAGAGGTCTGGGTATATGGTGGTCACAGATAAACTGCTAACTTGACTCTTAACCGTCCTGTCTTGTTGGTTGGGAACTGCTTGGCATGTGCCTGCATTCTCTGACTTGAAATGACATTTTCAAACCCTTCTTTGACTGCCTTTCTTTCCCTTAATGTGCCAAGCTTAAGACAAATTTGACTCCTGAGCTACTTGTCTGCCTTCTATGTGCCATCCAAGGATTCTGATTGATCTTTCATCTCATTTGTGTTCTTTAGAAACAAGATACTTTGGGTGTAAAATGTGTTCAATTGTTTATTTAGTTTTTATGTAAATAAAAATGGATTTGTGTTCCCTTTCTGTGTAAATGTGAAGTTCACAATCATAATGTAAAAGAAGAAATAAAAGCTGTATGTTGTACTTCAAGATGCTGCCCTGATGTACAGAATCTCCATGTAAAATAAATAATTGCATTGTATATCAGTCTTACCATCAACATTAATTATTAAAATATGTTAGAAGTTTAAAATGCCAAGCCTTCTGGAATGTGTTATTTATTTTTTATGCTCTATTCCAAAAGATGAAAGCCTGCTTAAAAATTATATCCAAGAGGCTGGGATTATAGCTTAGTGGTAGAGCACTTACCTAGCATGTGTTTGCCCTGAATTCAATCCCCAGCACCACAAAAATAACAGGTAAACAAAGCCAAAAAAAAAAAAAAAAAAATTTTTTTTTTTTTCAGTACTGGAGATTGAACCTAGGGGCACTTAAGCCACTGAGACACATTTCCAGCCCTTTTTTATTTAGAGACCAGGTCTCCCTATGTTACTTAAGGCCTCTATAAATTGCTGAGGTTGGCTTCAAACTCATCCTCCTGCCTCAGCCTCTAGAGCCACTGGGATTACAGGCATGTGCCACCGCACCTGGCAAACCCAAAATATTGCTAATTACCCTATGTGAGAAGTAGGTGATGGGGAAGAAATAACCATAAGGATGTCAAATGTAGCCAGAGGTGAGAGTCAGTCATGTTTGTGTCTGCACAAATCCAAAAAAACAGCCAATTGTGACAGCATTGCACTAGGCATCTGTCCTGTGTAGCCCACCCCTAGCCAGTTAGTAAGTGATATATTCATTTTACCAGTGAAGAAAAGATGGCCAAGAGCTATGCTATGGTACATGCCTGTAATCCCAGCCATTTCGGAGGCTAAGGCTTGAGGATCAGAAGTTCAAGGGTAGTCTTAACAACTTACGAAGACCCTATGTAAAAAATAAAAAGGGCTGGGGATTTGACTCACTGGTTAAGCGCCCCTGGGTTCAATCCCTAGTACCAAAAGAAAAACTAAGATGAAGTTGCTTCCTGAGGTCAAAGCAATTATGTAATCATTTTTGAAGACAAGCACTTGTATTCCAACTGATTGCCTTCATAAGGATTTACTAAATGTGGGCCACATATAATTGGACCTCCAGCTGACATCACAAGAGGACAACTGGTTCTTCCTGTACTCTTGGCAAACAGCCCAGTTTAATACAGGTGGCCTCAGCAATGACTCACTTTGTACTCCTCACTTCAGAGTCTAGCCTTGTTTAGCACATTATCCTTTATCAAGGAGTAAAGAAACAGAACTGCTCCCAGATTTTCCTTTTATTCACCATCAAGAGAGACCTCGAATTGCCACTGCATGTTTGAGGTTAAACTCCCTCCAAAAGACTATTTGGACCTTGAGATCTTGTCTGGAGGTTCTAGCAGGGAAGCACAGCTACCCTTGACCTAAAAACCATCCTTCTCTATCAGGGAAAGTCGTCCTTCACCCAGCACACATGGAGCTGTGAGGGTGGAATGGAACATCCACCTAGCCATCCAGATAAGCCAAATCAACCCTGGTGATCAATGTCGCAGCCAGATCGCCTTCACATCCTGAAAGACTACTTGGAAAGAGTACATTGCCCAGTAGTCACAGAAAAAGAGAATGAATTTTGGGTTTTTGCGGATTTAGATGACTACTCCAGAAGAGGGGGTTTTTGGAAAACCATAATCAGAAAGGGCAGGTCTAGTGGATACTGAATGGACAGGGAATCTTGTAAAAGACTGTACAACAAAGGAAAGCATAGCTGGACACTGTGGCACATGTGTGTATCCCAGCAACTCAGAAAACTGTGGCAGGAGAATGGCAAGTCAAGTCCAACCTCAGTAGCTTTGCAAGACCCTGTCTCAAAAAACAAACAAACAAAAAAAGACTGGAAATGTAGCTCAGTCGTAAATCACCCTGGGTTCAATTCCAGTACTAAAAATAAAAGAACTTTTTGTCTTCAGTGTATCCCTAAAGACAAAACAGCCTAAAACACTGCTTCAGGATTCTAATTCAATTCCAGATCCAGGAAGCATGAAGGGAAAAGCAGGAACCACCAACAACCTGGACCTCTTGCGCCATCTATTGCCTTGTGAGGATATTGCTTATTTCTTCCTCCAAATGCTGCCCCCCAAAGCAGTGTTCTGACAGGAACCAACAAAATTTCCCTGTATCTGTTTCTTAGGACACACCCCTTTATTTAATGTTTATCTTCTTCCTATCCTCTCCACCCCCCTCAAAAAAATAATCCCTTGAAACTCCTTTTTTTTTTAAGGAATTGTCTCCATACTTTTTTTAAAATTTTTTAGTTGAACACAATACCTTTATTTTATTTATTCATTTTTATGTGGTGCTGAGGGTTGAACCCAGCACCCTGCACGTGCCAGGCAAGTGCTCTACCGCTGAGCCGCAGACCCAGCCCCTGTCCACATACTTTTTAAATATATATATATATATATATATATATATATATATATATATATATATATATATTTCTTTGGTTGTAGTTGGACACAATACCTTTATTCCAAACATTTAGTTTTATGTGGTGTTGAGGATAGAACCCAGGGCCCTGCGCGTGCTAGGTGAGCAATCTACCACTGAGCCATAATCCCAGCCCCTGTCCACATACTTTTTAAAAAAATATTTTTTCTAGTTGATGGACCTTTATTTTTATTTATTTACATGCAGTGCTGAAACTCGAACCCAGTACCTCATACATGCTAAGCAAGCACTCTACCACTGAGCCACAACCCCATACCCTTTGAAACTTTTTAAATTATTACCCTATCTTCTGCTTTTCCTGCACTCCCTTCACATAATCTGCTCTAACATTAAACTTAAGTTTCTATGTAGTACAAGCAGTTGAGCTCAATTATTGACAAGTAGGGGGAAAAAAAGTGATGAATTCAGTATGAAGGTACATGTTTGTAATTCTACCCACTCAGGAGGCTGAGGTAGGTGGTTCTTAAATTTAAGGCCAGCCTCTGCCACTTAGACCCTGTTTCAATTTATAGGGCTGGAGGTTAGAGGGCTCAGTGGTAGAGAGCCACTGAGTTGAATCCCCTGTAACATAAAAAGAAGAAATAAAAGTGACAGAGAAATCAACTGAACAGGTTTCTTAGCATCAATTTATGACCTCTGGTCTATACACACTACTTTCCCTATCTAAAGTCATGTTTGTTCAACTCATTAAAATCTAAACAGAATCTGAACTAGAATGCCTTTCTATAAGGTCTAGTGATTTCTCAGTCACCTGTTACGTTCTGAAGCTTATTTTCAGTTCATCTACTGTCTACTCTGCAGTATTTGAGGGCTTGAGCCACATCCAAGTCTTGGCTTCTGAGTCAAACACTGACTTGTTTGTCCTCTGATCATGCTTTCTATGTCCTGTCATTTTCTTCCCTGACCACATTCCCCCAATCCTCCAACTCCAACCTCTGTACTAAGGATTGAATCCACTAACCTACATCAGGAGCCCTTTTTGTTTTTATTTTGAGACAAGTTCTTGCTACATTGCTAAGGCTGGACTCAAACTTTCCAGACTTCTGAGTAGCTGGGATTACTGGTGTATACCAGCTTCAGCTGCCTTTTTGGTTAAAATTCATGTAGAAATGCATGATCTCCTATTGTGAATGTTGTTTTGGTTTAAGTGAGGAAGAAAAGGCAGTCTAGTGCAGATATGTAGTTGGAAAAGATGTCAGCCATTTTTCAAGTAAATATTACTCCATGATAAAATGTAGCATTTTAATTCACAATTCAATCATATAAATTCTTTTTCTAGCATGAATTACTGTGCTTTTGTTTTGTTTAGGGGGTACTGGGGATTGAACTCAGGTGCACTCAACCACTGAGCCACATCCCCAGCCCTTTTTTTTTTTTGTATTTTATTTAGAGACAGGGTCTCACTCAGTTGCTTAGCACCTCGCTGTTGCTGAGGCTGGCTTTTGAACTCCATATCCTCCTGCCTCAGCCTCCAGAGCAGCTGGGATTACAGGTGTGTGCCACTGCACTCAGCTCAACCACTGAGTTTTTGTATGCAGGAAGTGTTTTATGCTTACTTTTCACCTGTCACACAAAATATTACAGATAGATATTCAATGTCTGAGAATTAAAAATAATTTTTACATTCTCATCAAGAACAATTAAAGGTGAAACTCACTTTTTTTTTTTGGGGGGGGGGGGTAGGGAGCATTGCACCCAGGAGCAATTTACCGCTGAACTATGACTCCAGTTCTTTTTTTAAATTTTGAGACAGGGTCTTATTAAATTGCTTAGGGCCTTACTAAATTGCTGAAGCTGTCCTTGAATTTGCGATCCTCCTACCTCAGTCTAGCTCACTGGGATTACAGGCTTGCCCTACCATGCCTGACCCTGTCTCTCATCTTAAAATCTGGGTAATCATACTAATGTTTTAGAATTGTTATGATAGCAAAATAATAAATGTATAGCACTCAGAGCAAAAGAAGAAATACCATCAACCTTTTTTAGTCAATATACTTGGATGTGATGGCTGTCAACTTATCTAACAATACACAAAATTCTATCATTTTTTTTTTTTTTTGCGGTGCTGGATATCAAACCCAGGACCTCATGCATAAAAAGCACTCTACCACTGATGTACACCCTCATCCCTGTAAATATGTATCTTCAGGATTCTCTACTTGTCTACACCTTTATATTAGTAGGGTTTTGTTTGTGTGTGGTATATGCATAAAAAATTTACCATATTAATCAGATTTTTTTGTTTTGTTTTTTTAGTTTTAGGTGGACACAATATCTTTATTTTATTTTTATGTGGTGTTGAGGATCGAACCCAGCCTCCCGCGCACGCCAGGCGAGCGCGCTACCGCTTGAGCCACATCCCCAGCCCCAGATGGGGTTTTTTTTGTTGTTGTTTGTTTCTTTGGGTTTTTGTCCCCCAACCCACCTCATAATAGGAATCAAATCCAAGCCCTTACCCTACCACTGAAATACACCTTCAACCTCCATTTTAACGAGTTTTTCAGTTCACTATCATTAATTACATACCCACTGTTGTGCATAGGAAGTATTTAATTTTAGCCAATTCATATAGAAGCAATTCTTTCCAGTATAAATCAAATGTTTCTTTCACATGCGAAAGGACAGATCCAATTCCTTGAGACTTCTTGTGTTTTTCTTTTCCTATTTTGCATAATTGTTCCTATTCGTTTATGTGCCAGTTTCTCTACAGACAGAACGAACCAACTGAAGTAAACTTTCGAGAAGTAAACTTTCTATTTGTTATGAAAGTTTCCAGCTACACACGCACAAACTTGTTTCTATAACTTACATTACCCAGCAAAATCCCGCGCGAGGGCTCTAGTATCGCGAGAAGCCTAAAATCCCGGTAGGACTGTAGTTTAACCTCAGTAGATCCCAGCAGCCTTAGCGAATTTCCAATGCTCTATATGCTAGTCGTTGCGCAGGCGCAATATGCCTACCTCGACTTCCGGTCTCTCCTGGGTATAAATACAGATGCTTTGGCGTAGTCGGTCTTTTGGAGCGACGCCACCGTTCAACGCTGTTTGTGTTTGGTAAGTGCTTTTACCCGCGTGGTTCCTCGGCCTGATCTGTTACTTTGGGTAGGCGTTCAACATTCCCTGAGGATCTTGTTGTTTAGAGGGATTACCTTTAGCGGCATCCACTCAAACTACATTTAGGCATGCGATGGGGCTGAGAAGGATGTGGGCCGCGCAGCCCCAGAAGCTTTTAAGGACTGCTATCCGGGTGTCGGAGATGACTAAGGCACAGCGTTAATTGCTGCCTGGTACATGATCCGGAAAAGAACTGCACATAAACGTTTCGTTCCATATCCGCGTTTTAAAAATTTTCCAAATTTCAGGCTGGGGTTGTGGCTCCACGGTGGAGCGCTTACCTAGGATGCGTGAGGCACAGGATTCGATCCCCAGCACCATATTTTTAAAAAGAGAACTAAAGGCATAAAAGGAAAAAATGTATTCAGGGCTAAGGTTGTGGCTCAGCGGTAGAGCGCTCGCCTAGCATGCAAGGCCCTGGTTTCGAAGTATGCAGGCTTCTTATAGCGCTACAATTTGTTTTTGTTATTGGGGCAGTTTAGAGATATTAAGTGTTTGATCGCTTAATTATGAGATGACTTACTGTTTTTTTTTTTTCCTTTGTGGGGCTGGGGATTGAACCCAGTGCCGCTATCAACTAGAAACTAATAATTGGTACAGTGTTTTGTAAGTTAAATTAATTACAGTGACAGTCCAACGTGGATACTCCCGGGAGGTCACTCTCCCCGGGCTCTGTCCAGGTGGCATAGGGGAGCATAGGGCTCTGCCCCATGATGTACAGTCCCTTTCCACAACGTTGGAGATGAAGCTGGGCTTTGTGTCTGCACCTGCATATTCCTACGACTTCTCAGAGTCTGTGGACTATGACTGAGGAGACAAACCATGCAGGAAACAAAGTATTTTGATTAGTCTCCTGTTTATGGTAGATCTGCTTTAACCTTTTATTGTATTGATAAGTGAATGCTTTATTTTGCAGATTGATGATTCCAAATACTTCTTGCTTGGGTAAGTAGCCGATGGATTTTTTTAACAATGTATGCTCATGTTTGTGAAGATTGCTAAGGTATCACATTTTATGTGTTTGAGGAGAGGGTTCTATTTAAAAGTGAAAAGACTTAAAATGGAGTTCAAAGACTAGTTTGGGATTCACTAAAAGCAGTTTCAATCTATCTACAGGTATGGTCAGAGGTGAGAAAAATTGAAGCACATAAGGATGTTTTGAGGATCAATGATATTTAGGACTGTTGGCAAACTCCACAGTACTCAAGCATTCCAACGTGGATAACCCGGGAGGTCACTCTCCCCGGGCTCTGTCCAGGTGGCATAGGGGAGCATAGGGCTCTGCCCCGTGATGTACAGTCTCTTTCCACAACGTTGGAGATGAAGCTGGGCTTTGTGTCTGCACCTGCATATTCCTACGACTTCTCAGAGTCTGTGGACTATGACTGAGGAGACAAACCATGCAGGAAACAATATCTAGCATACTAAAATTTTTTATTAGAGTAAGATCTTCAGGATTCTAATCTTGAGTTTATTTTCATTCAGGAGAAGAAGAGCAATATTCAACTTCAGCTGATAACTGGATTTGGGATCCTTTAATCAGACGTAAGAATGGTCATTATTATTAAGAGTTTGAAAATCATCTCAACAATTGTCTAGGAATGCAAATTCTGTTATCCCAGATTTAAACCTTGACTGCTGACATAGGCTACCCAGTTCACCAAGTACTCCTGGAAATTAAGGAATTTAAGAAAGCACGGGGTCTCTAGAGGGCCTGTGAAGTTAAAATTTGTCATGGTGACTAAGAATATTTGGCATTTTCCAAATTCCAAACAAGATCAGTCATGTTTTCTAACAAATGCACTGCAGAAGAACATGTTGATATGTCTTGAGCAAAATTCATTATGATTTCCGTTTTATACTGTTTGTAGTATATCTAACATCTGAGGCAAGTTAATGTGAATTGAAATAAAAAAAAAACTTGTGAATTGAAATAAGTGTGACTGCATGTTTCTGTGGTTCTTTTTCATGTAGCATTGTTGGGCTTCAGCCAAATTAAATGGTGCTGGTTAACTAAGTTAGATTTCACTGGGGTTAACTCAAAAGTAGTATAAGGTCACAAGAGCAAGTCCCAGGTTTGTCCATGTGTACAGCTAGTGTACTTGCTCTATGCTCCTTCCTGAGAGCTTGAAATTGTTGGCCTGCTTCATCATGTTAGAAAGTTAAGTCACAATGGAAGCCTGGTCAAGTCTCTGCACTGGTTGCCAGCAGTGTGGGAAGATTAAGTCCCTAACAGATGGACCAGAGGGAAACCATCTAGAAGGTAAGATTTAAGGTCACTGGGAACAGGTTTGGTTGTGTGAATTGTGTTTCTGTCAGCCATCCCGGAGTTCACAGGGAAGAGCTTTGAGGGTAGGTGCTAGTTACACATGGTTATGGAACTACCATAGCAGAAGTGATTTACCCCGCCCCCCTTAATTAAGATAATTTCACATAATTCAGTGGTGCAGTTAGTTTTCGGCGGACACAACATCTTTGTATGTGGTGCTGAGGATCGTACCCAGGCCGCACGCATGCCAAGCGAGCGCGCTACCGCTTGAGCCATATCCCTAGCCCGACATCCATGTTCTTTAAGCCCCACTGTTGTAAAGGTGAGACTGGCCTTGAATTTGAGATCCTCTTCCCTCCATCTTCTGAGTTGCTGGGATTACAGACATGCGCTACCATGCCAGCCCCACATTTCAACGTTTTTAATATGCTATAACACCTGTAATTCCAGTGGCTTGAGAAACAGCAGGATAACAAGTTTGAGGCCAGCCTCAGCAATGGGTAAGGCACTAAACAACTTAAGACCCTGTCTCAAAATATACAAAGGGGTGGGATGCAGGTCAGTGGTAAAACACCTCTGGGTTCAATCCCTGGTACCTAGTGACATTGAGGGGGGGGTATTTTGGGGTTTTGCAGTTTGGGGCGGACACAACATCTTTGTGGTGCTGAGGATCGAACCTGGGCCGCACGCATGCCAGGCGAGCGCGCTACCGCTTGAGCCACATCCCCAGACCAACAAGGCTGGTTTTGAACTCCTGCCTCAACTTCCCAAGCTTCTGGAATTACAGGTGTACACCACCATGCCCAGCTTGAAACCAGGATCTTGTATAACCTGGGCAAGTGCTCCACCACAGAACTACATCCCCAACCCATAATAACTTTGAATTCCATCACTCTTATCATCTCTGCACTTCTGGGTCAGGTTCAATTAATGGATAGTTTTTTTTTTTTTTTTTTTTGAAGTTTTTAATGTTTTTTATTTTTTATTTTTCTTTGGACACAACATCTTTATATTATTTTTATGTGGTACTGAGGATAGAACCCAGAGCCCCCTGCAAGCCAGGCGAGCGCGCTACCACTTGAGCCACATCCCCAGTCCCTGGATAGTTTTTTTTATGGTTCACATTCAATAAAATAGTGATAGGGTGTGAAAGAAATTAAAGCTGATGTTTGATTCAGAGATAGTTATGTGGGCCCAATAAGTCTTAATGGAAGTATGACTGAATTGGGCCTTAAAAGATGAAAAATTCTGTTGCTAGACACAATGGAGTAAACCTGTAATCCCAGTGGTGTAGGAGACTAAGGCAGGAGGATCACAAATTCAAAGGCAGCCTCAACAATTTAGCTAGGCCCTAAGCAACTTAGTGAGACTGTCTCAAAAAATTTTTTTAGGGGCTGGGGATGTGGCTCAAGCGGTAGCGTGCTCCTCTGGCATGCTTGTGGCCCGGGTACAATCCTCAGCACCACATACAAACAAAGATGTTGTGTCTGCCGGAAACTAAAAAAAATAAATGTATATATATTTAAAATTCTCTCACTCAAAAAATAAAAAAAAATTAAAGGGCTGGGGATGTGGCTCAATGGTTAAGTGACCCTGGGTTCAATCCCTGGTACAAAAAAAAAAAAGTAACAAGAAATCTCATTATGTACCAATAAAAAATGTGGAAAGAGGGCTGGGGATGTGGCTCAAGTGGTAGCGCGCTTGCCTGGCATGCTTGAGGCACTGGGTTCGATCCTTAGCACCATATAAAAATAAATAAGTGAAATAAAGGTACTGTGTCCAACTACAATTAAAAAATAATTTAAAAATGTGGAAAGAAAAATAGTAAAATGAACTATGAAACATTAAAATAAATACATATATATTATATATATGAATGAAGAATTCAGGCTGGAGTGGCGCCACATGCATGTAATCCCAGCTGCTCTGGAAGCTGACAAGAAGACTGCAAGTTTGAGTCCACCCTGGGCAATCTACTGAGACCTATCTCAATTTAAAAGAAGAAAAAAGGCTTAGGATGTAACTCAGTGCTAGAACACCCCAGGGTTCAATCCCCAGTACCACCAATAAATAAAATTATATGTATATACGTAAGTATACATATGTGTGTGCTTATATACATATGTACATACATATATACTTACTGGGTTTAATCTCCAATATGGCCAAATGTATATATGCGGGTGTGTATATACACATACTTGTATCAAGAATTCAGGTAGTCAGAGCCAAGCACAGTGGTACACGCCTGTAATCCCAGCAGCTCTGGAGGCTGAGGCAGGAGGATCCAGAGTTCAAAGCCAGCCTCAGCAATGGTGAGATGCTTACCAACTTAGTGAAACCCTGTCTCTAAACAAAAATACAAAAATAGGGCTGCAGATGTGGCTCAGTGGTTGAGTACCCCTGAGTTCAATCCCCAGTACCAAAAAATAATAATATATATATGCATGCATGCAGGAAGAAAGGCACCCTAGTAGAGGGAATAGCCCAGATAAAGGTGAGAGAGTGGAAATGAATAATGGGCACTTTCAGAGTAGTGTAGCAGGTGATAAAGAAATATGAAATTTACAGCTCAGGGCATTTGTAGCCTTGTGTTCCAAGCATAGCTCTAAAGAAGTACTTGTTGAGGGGCTGGGGATATAGCTCAGTTGGTAGAGTGCTTGCCTTGCATGCCCAAGGCCCTGGGTTCAAACTTCAATCCTCAGCACCAATGAATTAGAGGAGAGGCCAGGACAGTTTTAGACAAGAGGAGCAGAAACGGAAATACAGAGTGGGAAGAATTAAAAAAAAAAAAGAAAGAAAGAAAAGAAAAAACAAGGTTTAAACCTATACTTTTCAGAGAACCCTAATATTGATTGGAAGTTGGGGGAGGGAGTCTAAATCCATGGGAAAGTACTGAATTGTGTGGGGCACAGTGGAACATGCCTGTAGTCTCAGTGGCTTGAGAGGCTGAGGCAGGAGGATCACAAATTCAAAGCCAGCCTCAGCAACTTGAAGAGAACCTGTCTCTAAATAAAATTTAAAAGAGGAACTGGAGATGTGGCTCAGTCACAATGTGCCCTTGGGTTCAAGCCCTGGTACAAAAAAAAAAAAAAAAAGACATTGAGTTGCTGGGCATAACACATGCCTATAATCCCAGTAACTTGGGAGGCTGAGATAGGAAGATGGCAAGTTTAAAGCAGCCCAAGAAACTTACTAAGAAAAATGTTGGGTCTTCTGGATAGAGATGCAGGGTGGTAACTTGGGGTAGACATCAGAACCAGCCCAAATGGGCTGACATGTCAATTAAAAGGTGATAGCCCATGGCTAGGGATGTAGCTCAATGGTACAGAGGTTGCCTGATTCACATAAGGCCTTGAGTTTGATCCCCAGGATCACAAAAAATGTGATGGCCTATCTTTAAGAGCCAGGTCTCCTTCCACCAGTTTTGTGATGACCCTAGGGAACTTACTTAACCTCTTTGAATTTCATTTTCCAACTCATGAAGTTTTTTTTTTTTTTTTTTTTTAATATTTATTTTTTAGTTGTAGTTGTCAATACCTTTATTTTTTTATGTGGTGCTGAGAATCGAACCCAGGGCCTTGCACACGCTAGGCTAGTGCTCTACCACCGAGCCACAACCCCAGCCCCACTCATGAAGTTTTTTGAGGAACAAATGAGCCAATGCCCATGGACGTTTCTGTAGTTAACAAATGGCTTTACAAAATAGGTAATAACCCTTTTTACAATTAAAGCTAAGTGAATGAGAAGATCTTGAAGACAGAAGACAGAGAGATCAGAGATCCCAGGGTAAAAACTTGGAGAAATTTCACAGTATATCATCCAAAAAAGGAGTTCACGATGGAGGCAGAGGTAAACTTGAACAGGTAAGAGACTCTGAAGGCAGGGAAGTGTTTTGGGGTGGGCACTGCATAGTAGGAAAAATTCAGTTGGAAAATACTCATCAAAAATGTCCCTCTGGGGCCAGGAGCAGTGGCGCACTCCTGTAATCCCACCAGCTTGGGAGGCTGAGACAGGCGACTTGCAAGTTCAAAGCCAGCCTCAGCAATGGTGAGGCCCTAAGCAACTCAGTGAGACCCTGTCTCTAAACAAAATACAAAATAGGGCTGGGATTGGGATGTGGCTCAGTGGTCGAGTGCCCTTGAGTTCAATCCTTGGTACCAAAAGAAAAAAAAAAATGTTCATCTGGGGATGAGGGTGTAGCTCTGTGAGAGAAGTCATGTTGATCATGTTGTAGCCCCAAAAAAGTTTTTGGAGTTAATGTATAACACAGAAAATACTCTTCTTCAGTATTTTACTCTGATACTCTGACCTGAGAAATCCCAAGACACAAAGTGGCCTGAGAGGTCACCTCAGGGCACACCTGAAATCCTGAAGAACTTTGTTTGCAACCTAAAGAAAAAGGATGTGTTGCCAAGAAAGAATATTATGCTTGATGCTTCACATCTTCAACTCCCAAGCCCATTTCACACACCATCTTTTTTTCTGGTCTCCCTCCTTCTTCTTGCTCCCCTCTTCCTTGGCTCTTCTTTTCCACATTGTTCTCAAAACTGTTCATGTCAATGGGAGCCCAGATCCCTCCCCTAGTTCCCCATTGCCCCAGAACAGAGGCTGTACTACTACAAAGACACACAAGACCCACCATCCATCATCAGTCACTCCCACAGGGCATCCACTGCCCCCATCTATATGACAGTTTCGAACAACATCCCTGAGCTTTCCTGGCTGTTACTGCAAGTGTTGCTTCTCCCATAATGCCTTGTACTCCCAGACTTGGAAGGCCACTGCTGAGTCAAAGGGCTCTGTGCAAACTCTTGTCATAACCCTGTGTGGCTACTGAAAATGATTTCTCATCCTCCCCAGAGACAAAAGATCACTTTTTTCTCCGTACAGACCCTTACGCATCAGATTTTCCCAAACAAACCTGGATTCAAGTAGTCACTCCGGTCGCTCGGTTGTCAATCCACTTGTCCGAATTTGGGGCTTCCGAAATACACAACCCCTATAGCTAGGCCAGGTGAGGGAGCCTGGTCAAAGCTCCCTACTCAGGGAGCGAGCCACTCGCACTTTCTGGGGTGGCCGCCAGGGGCCGCCGGGCTCTTTGTTTTCCTTTCTGGCCAGGGTCGGGGCCGGAGGCCTGCAGAGCGCATGCTCCGGGGCAGTTCGCGGCTCGGCCGGTGATCACTGGAGTTCGTTGTAGCCGACCCGCACCAAGGTAGGTCTCCCGGAGACGTACGGAGAGTCCCGGGGGAGGGAAGCGCGTGGGGCGGCCCCGCGGAGCGCGGTGACCTGGGTCGTTGCTTGCTCGCGCCCGTCGGAGTCGCGCAATGCCGGCCCACGCGAAGCGGGTGGCAGCGAGACGCGGTGTGGGCGCGCGTGCTCCGGCCCCGCGGGCGGCTAACTGGGCCCCGCCTCACCCGAGCCGGGGCCGCGCAGCCCCTCCGCCGCGGCGCCAGAGCGGGCGGGAGATTCAAACGGCCCGGGTGCGGAAGACTGCTCGTGGCCGCTGAGACCTCGCGGGCCCCCGACGCGCCGACCCGCGTGCCTCGCGGCTGGGTGGCCGCCGGGCTGGGGCTGCGTCTCCGCTACAGGGAGAGTGATTTTGTCCGGCGTTCGTTTGGAGAATGCGGTTTGCACTACAGGGGGAACTCGGCCCCGGAAGGGTCTGCTTTAGAAGCCCGAGGTTGGGGTGGTGAGGCTCCGCTGCAAGGACAGGAACCTCAACGTCAACAGGCACCTCCTCAACTGTTGGCGCGTTAGAGAGGTGTGCCCAGAACTCCGCATCAGTTAAGTCTGTGAACAAATTATTTGCTGGCCATCCATTCTATGCCTCTCTTGAAGTGCTGGACAACAGTGGTGAAAAGGCCCATGTGGCCTTTACATCCCTGGGAGAGACTTTGTGATTGTCCACAGTTATGGTCCTGTGTGATCACAAAAGTATGCCCCTGGCGCCCAGAGCACTGCTGCTGGCAAGTCATTCATCAGAAAAATTAATTGAACTTCAACCACGTGTGACTTGTGTGCCCTAGCTTTAGTGGAACATATGGAGTGTTACAGGACCCCAAAGAGAGACCCACCAGCCCTGCTCAGGAGGGGCAGGGATAGCTTTCCAGGTGAGGTGACTCTTGACTGAGTTTTAATTGAACTGTGGAGGCCAAGTGAGGTGGTGTGGTCAGGGAATCCAGGCAGGGTACACAGAACATACAAAGACATAATGTATGGGTGAGTGTTGTGATCAAGACCACAGGTGATTTGAGGACTGAAGCAGCTTTGGTACAGCAGAGTCTTGGTGGGACTACTTAGAATACAGGACCAAGGAACACTGCTTGTGGTAGAGGAGGCAGGGAATGTTTCCCCAAAGAAGGGCATGAGAGTGGAAAGATGAATTAAGAGTTAATCATTAAGTTTCAGTTATAGACAACACAAGAACAGGAATCTGTTGCCATTGGGCTACCCACCCAATCCCCCTGAACCTTAGTTTCTTATATCTAAAATGTGTAAGTTGTATGTGATGAGGATTTCTAGTGTCCTAAAATTTCCATAAAACAGTGGCACTAACATCTGGTGAAAGCTGTGGTCCCTTTCCCCAGGGAAAAAGGATCAGGGAGGCCCAAGCACAGCTCTGTATATAAGAGGACCACAGAGAGGAAAACTTGGTGTGAAATATGCCAGCTCTGTGCCTGGCATAAGAACAACTCAGCAAATGTTTGTTGACATGGGAGCCCTCCTCCCTTTCCTCCTGGGGACCTTTCACACAAAGAGATTCTTCAGCCCCTGAGTCTGGCAGGCAAGTTCTGCTTCCTGGTGTGGAGGAGGGAGGAGACAGCTGCTATGGTCCCAGAGTGCTTGGTTTTCCATTGCTGAAACCAGGATGTGGTGGGAATTGTAGCAGGAACACCAGGATCCTGCTAGACTGTCTATACTGGTGTGCCTACCCACTTAAGTCAGCAAGTGAGGAAATTAAGGTGGGGGAGGCTCTGGCCCTGGGTGGGGAATGGTCAGAAGACCTGGATTTCCATCCTACCTCTGTGTGGTCTAGGGCACCTTTCCCTGAGCCTCATCTCCTTTATCTATAATAGTGGAGTAATAACTCTTACCTCAGGGCACTCTAGAAAAGGTTGGAGCATTATAGGTACCCATTAGTATACACTGACTCTGTATCTGACTTAACTATTTGTGACTGTGTTTCACTCTTCTCCTTAACTGTAAACTTGAAGATGGAAGGTAGAGCATAGAAAGTGGGAATGTGAACATTATGACAAAAGACAAATCCTTGTTCCCAGTCTAGACTCAGGTTAAGAAAACTTGCAGAGCTGGGTGCGGTAGCACACACTGTAATCCCAGTGACTCAGGAGGCTGAGGCAGAAGGATTGAAAGTTTGAGGCCAATATCAGTAATATAGCAAGATCCTAAGCAACTTAGATCAGATAAAACAAGGAGTGGGGGATATAGCTCAATAGTATAGTACCCCTGGGTTCAGTCCCCAGATTGAAAAAAAGAAGCAGAAAAAGAAAACACTCAGGGGCTGTCCGTGTAGTTCAGTAGAAAAACTCATGCTTAACTTGCTTAGGGGCCTGGGTTAGATACCCAGAACAGTGTAAGGGAGGTAATCTGTAGAAAGAACTGATTTGCACAGTTAAGGATATGCTGGTAGGTAACAGGCACAGGGCTTCACCTTTTAGAAGGGGCCCACTCCCCCGCAACCCTGCCTCTGGGGCTCATAGGCAACTCAGGTCTGTGAAACTAAAGCCTGTGTGCTTTCTACCACAGCAGGGAGCTGTACCCATTGTCTGGATCTGTCACCAGCCCACCTAGAAAGAAGCTCCAGCTGCCTCATTGTCTTCTCTCTGCTCTCAACCTCCTCTTTCTCAATTGACTTCTACTCTCTGTACCTTCTATTTAGCCAAGCTCATTGGGGGTCTGGGGAGGAATTCCTGGTGTGAAGTGTGCCAGCTCTGTGCCTGGCATAATTGCAACTCAGCAAATGTTGGTTTACATGAAAGCCCTCCTCCTTTCGCTCTTGGGGACATTCACACAAAGAGATTCTTCAGTTCCTGAGTCTAGCAAGCAAGACCCTGAGTCTAGAAGGCCTGGCCAGGCTGTGTTAGCCTCCTTCCTGTATCATGGTCTGCCTTGAGTTGACCCTTTCATTTTGTGTGGGGGAAGGGGTACTGGGTGTTGAAACCAAGGGGACTCTACCACTAAGCTATATCCCCACCTTTTTTTTTTTCTTCTTGTTCTTCGGCACTGGGGATGGAATGCAGGGCCTTGTGCCTGCTAGGGAAGTGCTCTACTACTAAGCTACATCCCCAGCTGCTTAGGGGTTTTGATAAATAATGCATAATTAGCACAGGAAAATGTTTGCCATGTCTAACAGGTAGTATTTGGCTGGGTTTTTCAGGATAGGAAGATGCCACCCAAGCGCATAGCTAAGAGAAGGTCAGCCCCAGAAGATGCCATCCCCAAAAGCAAGAAAGTAAAGGGTAAGTTGGCTGTGGCCTCTTCTTTCTGCTTGTGGGTGGCCTCTTAGAACCCAGGGAACCTGGGACTGGGTTCCTTCCTCCCTGAAAGATGAGAGGCTTGGATGTTCAGGGACCCCACACCCAGCTGGAGGGTCTCCTATAGCTCATTGAATCTCATCCTCAAGGAATTAAAAACTGGGCTGACAGCCCAATGTGGTGGTGCACGCCTGTGATTCCAGTGATTTGGGATGTTGAGGCAGGAGGATTGCAAGTTTAAGGCCAACCTAAAGCAATTTATTATACCCTCAGCAAGTTAGCAAGATCCTGTCTCAAAAAATAAAAAGGACTGGGGATATAGCTCAGTGGTAAAGTGCCCTTGGGTTAATCCTCAGTACACACATACACACACAATCAATCAGTCAATCTTAGAATTTTGCTCCAGGCAATGATGTATTTTGATTAGGACCACTGATTTCCATAGTAGGTTCAAGTCCTGCCACTTTCTAGATATGTAACCATAGGCAAGTTAAAACTTGACTGAGCTTGGGTTACCCACTTCATAAAATGGAGATGAGAACAGCACTGATCTCTCTGGGCTGTTGTTGTGAGGATTAAATGATTAAATGAGACAATGTCCTGGCAGCATTTGAGGGAGGAATCCCTGGTTTTCTTTTTTCTGAGATCCTAAAGTGGGGCAGGAACAGGAGAAAGCCACCCCCTGTCTGGGAAGAGGGTATGTGAACCCACACTCAGACAGTGTCTGTCTTTTGCAGACTCTCGTAACCAAGCAGTGAGGGCCACTGCCTCCCGCCGTGGTCCCAGCGCCCGCTCCTGCAAAGGTGCCTACAGGCTGAGCCCTCCTGACCAGAAAACCCACCCAGGTGGCTCCCTGCTCAGTGCACTCTCTGCGCAGCCCCCGTGGCCCTGGGGGCCATGGCCACGCGCCTGGAGGAGAGGCTGGACGCTATTGGCTGTCTGGGGCTGCCGAGCCCTCCATTGGCTAGCAGAGGGCCTTGTGCCGCCCACTGGTGGGCACAAACCTCACTGCAGATGGTTCTGTGGCCTGCCTCTTCCTCTTCAACTGCCAGTGTGCTGCCCCATAGGGTTAGAGTGGTCAGTTTTCCTCTGAAAATATATCCAGAAGTTGAAAATCACAGCCTGGGGATGGAGGAGGGTTAGGGTAGAGGCTGGTGTCTGCTCCAATCCATGTAGTCTCCCTTGGTTTTAGTGCAGACTGCTAAATTGCCTTATGACCCTGGGAAGATTGTTGAACCTCTAGGTTGCTCTCTTCCCTTTTCTATAACACAGGATCCTAAATATGGAAAATCTGCAGAGCAAGTCAAAGGTAGAGTAAGCAGTCAGTAAAGGGTGGACATTATCTGAGCCCCAGCTATTAGCACTGTGACTTCTGACAGACAACCTAGGCTAATCAGGAAAACTATCTTGTGTCCTCATGGTCCTCTTCCCCTCCTCACCAAGATTCATTTCACAGAATGGGGTCTCCTTGTTTCTATTTCCTTACTGTCACATTAATAATGTGCTCAGCTTTTAATCTTCACAGAAACTCTCTGAGATGATGAGGAAACTTAGTCTCAAGAATATCATACTAATGACTTATTACAGAGCAGGGGCTTAAACCCAGGTTCAAGATTGATTCCTGATGCCAGAGTCCATGAAATGACCTCCCTCTCTCCTATCATCCTGCCCACTCAGGGGCTATCTTCTCCACCCCTCAGTCTCACACAGGTCCCACAACACAGAACCAGGCTTGGTGCTGACACTGGGCCAGGGCGACGTGGGCCAGCTGGGCCTAGGTGAGAATGTTATGGAGAGGAAGAAGCCTGCCCTGGTGCCCATTCCAGAGGATGTTGTGCAGGTTGAGGCTGGGGGCATGCACACCGTGTGTCTAAGCAAAAGTGGCCAGGTAGGCTGGGGGGTTGGGCAGTGCCTGGGGTTGGGCGGGGGATGGGCTAGGGTTGGGACAGGAGCTTTAAGCCATATACATTTCACTGTGGAGATGGAGCTGGCTAGCCAAGCAAGGAATGGCCTAAATGAGAGTGGATTGAGACCAGATCTTGCACTAATGGGGGCTTCCTGGGCATAGGTCTACTCCTTCGGCTGCAATGATGAAGGTGCCCTGGGAAGGGACACATCTGTGGAGGGCTCAGACATGGTCCCGGGGAAAGTGGACCTGCAAGAGAAGGTGATACAAGTGTCAGCAGGAGATAGCCACACAGCAGCTCTCACCGAAGATGGCCGTGTTTTCCTGTGGGGTTCATTCCGGGTAAGACTGGGTCTAGAAGACTGCATGGAAGTGAGGGTATAACTCAGTGGAAGAGAGCTTATCTAGCAAGCATGAGGTCCTGGGTTTGATCCCCAGCAACAAACAAACAAACAAAAAAGACTGGCTAGGTGTGGTGGTGCATGCCTATAATCCCAGAGGCTCAGAAGGCTGAGATAGGAAGATTAAAAGTTCAGAGCCAGCCTCAGCAATTTAGTGAGTCCCTAAACAACTTAGCAAGACCCTGTCTCAAAAAATAAAAGGGCTGGCTATATTGCTCAGTGACTAAGCACCCCTGGGTTCAGTCTCTGGTACCAAAAAAGTTATCCAACCTCCTTTCCACCATTGTACTTGGGTTGAAAAAGGCAGGGCTGGGGCCCAGATCCAAATCTCTGGCTTCTTCTGGGCCTGTCCACAGTTCTAGCTCTTTCCTTGAATCTGATGTTATGAAGTGCATGTCCTGAGAAAGGGGTGGGTCAAAGATGCCTTTGGGTTGAAGCTGGTATAGGAAACTGCTCTTGTCATCCCCTACCTGAACCTCTCTCTTCCCTTCCCAGCCCTCTTCCCTACTTTCCAGAGGCTTTGGGGGAATGAGGCAGGAATTGTCATATCACAGTGTTTCCAAGACAAGGAAGTGTAGTTTAAAAAACAGTTTCAGCATTAAGATTGGTACCTTGGTATTTATTTTGAAATCTCATGAAAAAATAAGGAATCCGATGAGTGTTTCCTCATCGAGGTTATTTTAAAATTTTTATAGAGGATTTCTTAAGAGTAATTAGAATTATATATTGAACACCCAGCTACTTGACACCAAGTTTCAACAGTTATCAACTTTTTAGCCAGACATATTTATTTCTACTCACCTATTCCTTCGTTATTATAATGCAAATCCCAGATCATGTATGATTTCATTCATAAATATTTCAGGATGTGACCTGGCTCCTGTCTGCCTCTTTATCCCTTCTGCTACTACTTACTACACTCCACCAGATAGCTCTGTGGCCTCCTAAAAGCCTGAATGTGGCTGCTACAGGGCAGGCAGGACTAGCTGATAAGTGCTCTCTTCTTCCCTTCTAGGACAATAATGGCGTGATTGGGTTGTTGGAGCCCATGAAGAAGAGCATGGTGCCTTTGCAAGTGCAGCTGGACATACCAGTGGTAAAGGTAGCCTCAGGTGGGTCTAGGAGTACTCACTGTAGGCAGGAGCTAGAGGACCTACTTCTGGGGCTGGATCAGCCTTGGTCCTAACAGATAAGCCATGCATCCTCCCCCTTCCTCTCATCTTCAGGAAATGACCACTTGGTGATGCTGACAACTGATGGTGACCTCTACACCTTGGGCTGCGGGGAGCAGGGCCAGCTAGGCCGAGTACCTGAGTTATTTTCCAACCGTGGTGGTCGGCAGGGCCTCGGTAAGTAGTTTCAGTACATCTAGTGGGGTAACTTGGCAAACCAACCCCTGTGGTGACTAAAAGCAGGAGGGAATCTTGAGCTTCAGACTTGCATCAAATAGACTTGAAGTGTTAAGATCTCACACTTTAAAAACTGGGTTGGGGATATAGCTCAGTTGGTAGAGTACTTGCCTTGCATACACATAGACCCTGGGTTCAATCTCCAGTGCAACCCCCCCCCCCCCGAAAATAAATAAATAATAAAAACTCAAACTTGAGTGAGGTGTGGTGGCACACACCTATATTTCTAACTACTTTGGAGGCTGAGGCAGGAAGATCACAAGTTCAAAGCCAGTCTTGGCAATTTGGCAAGACCCTATTTCAAAGTTTTTTTTAAAAAATAGGGCTGGGGGGGGCTGGCGTTGTGGCTCAGTGGTAGAGCACTTGCCTAGCATGTGCAAGGCCCTGGGTTCCATCTGCAGCACCATTTAAAAATAGAGAAAATATTTTTTTTAAAAATGGGGCTGAGGGCTGGAGTTGTGGCTCAATGGTAGAGCACTTGCCTGGCATGTGTGAGGCCCTGGGTTCAATCTTCAGCACTGCATATAAATAAATAAATAAAATGAAAGATCCATTTACAACTAAAAAAAATATTTACAAAAAAAAAAAATGGGGCCAGGGGCTGGGGTTGTAGCTCAGTGGAAGAGTGTTTGCCTCGCACGCGTGAGGCCCTGGGTTCAATCCCCAGCACCACATAAAAATAAATAAGATATTGTGTCCATCTACAACTAAAAAAAATATTTTAAAAAAAATGGGGTTGGGTATATAGTTTGGTGGTAGGTAGAGCACCTGCATATCTGCTTATCATGTGCAAGGCCCTGGGTTCATTCCCCAATATTGACCAAAAAGGGTGGGTGGGGTTCAAATTTTGGAGACTGATCGCTACCCTGGGTATGGGGGGATTTTTTTGTTTTTGGTGCTAGGGATTGAACCCAGGGTTGTTTGTACTTTACCACTAAGCTACATCTCGAGCCCTTTTTGTAAAATTTTTGAGACAGGGTCTCACTAAGTTGCTTAGGGTCTTGGTAAGTTGCTCAGGTTGGTCTTGAACTTGCAGGCCTCTTACCTCAGCCTCCTGAGTTGCTGAGATTACAGGTGAGTGCCGCCATGCCCAGCTACCATGAGTTTGAATCCTGTTCTGTCATCTACTAGCTATGGGACCTGCGCCGTATAGTTTCCTTATTTCTAAACCTGTCTTTAACCTTACTTCATTGTGTTGTGTGAAGATAGATAAGTTAATTAGAAAAATATCTGGCACATCGTAAGTTCCACATAAACATTACCTCTAATACTGTGGGAATCTGAGCATAGCACTTACACTGGCTTTAGTATCCTCTTCTGTAAAATAAGGTTTAGAGTTCCTGCTTAGCCTCCTCCCAACGGTTTTCAAAACATAAGAGAAACAGGCCCAGGATCAGAGAAGAAAAAGGCCATGTGCTTCTGTCACTGACCCTGGCTGCTTTACCTACAGAACGACTCTTGGTCCCCAAGTGTGTGATGCTGAAATCTAGGGGAGCCCCGGGCCATGTGAGGTTCCAGGATGCCTTCTGTGGTGCCTATTTCACTTTTGCCATCTCCCAAGACGGCCACATATATGGCTTTGGTCTTTCCAACTACCATCAACTTGGTGAGTCTGAATGCAGCATAGCATAGGGGTGGCCCAATGACCTGGTTCCAGTCCTGGCTCTGTCACTTATTCACTGTGCACCCTTTGTAGAGTTCCTTAATTCCCCAGAGCCACAGTTATGTCTGCAAAGTGAGAATATTCATATCCTGGTGAGGGTGGCCTTGCTATGGGATGGGATTGATAAAACATCTCCTGAAACACCTTTACCCCTGATGGCAGGAACACCAGGCACAGAATCTTGCTTCATACCTCAGAACTTGACATGCTTCAAGAATTCCACCAAATCCTGGGTGTGCTTCTCTGGTGGCCAGCACCATACAGTCTGTCTGGATTCAGAAGGTAGGACCTCCAAGTTCTCTATGTTAGAGACAGACTAGGCCTAGCCAGACCAGGGCCTGTTCTACAGTTTGGGCCAGACATGGGTCCATAAAGGTCACCCTTGTCCTCCAGAGTCCTGGTGCTTCCAAATACAAGTTCATTGGAGGCCTATTTGGAGATTCTCCTAGGACTCACCCAAAATGGGGACACTACATACTTCCTTCTGACCATGCTGAGAGTGGGGACAGGCTCCTGAGGATATGAGGACTCACCTGGCCTGCTGCCCGTTTTGTCCAGAGGATGTCCTCTGCTACTGCTTATCTCTCTCCCTCTTCTCACAGGAAAAGCATACAGCCTGGGCCGGGCTGAATATGGGCGGCTTGGCCTTGGGGAGGGTGCTGAGGAGAAGAGCATACCCACCCTCATCTCCAGGCTGCCCACCGTCGTCTCAGTGGCCTGTGGGGCCTCTGTGGGGTATGCCGTGACCAAGGATGGTGAGTGGGGCTCCCCACACATCGTCTGGTTGGGGCCTGTGGGTTGTGATTCTTATACTCTCTAGCAGGCTGTCTACCATCATGCTGGAATTGAGATGTAAAAATTGGTCTTTGCTCCTGACCCTCAGAAACTCTCTGATTTGATAAATATAAATGAGTAAACAGATTATTTGAGACTGGGTCTGACTGTGTTGCCCATGGTAGTCTGAAACTCCTGGGCCCAAATGATCCCCCACCTCAGCCTCCTGAGTGCAAGAACTTCAGGCACATGTGCATGCCACATTACCTGCTGGCTAGAAGTGATTAGTTCTGCAGAGGAGAAAAACAAAGAGGAGATATCATTGAGACCCAGAGTCCCAGCTTCCCAGGGAGTTATACTTAAGAATCTTAGGGGAAAACAGGCTGAGTAGTCAGGGTCCTGGCCAGCATAGGAGAGGAGGATGTCAACAAGTGACTGCCAAAGCCTAAAGGGGTGAGGGGGCACAGTAATGGAGAGCTGCTAGAAGGCTGGCTGGCAAGCCGGGTGTGGTGGTGCACGCCTGTAATCCTAAAAGGCTGAGGCAGGAGGATCACAAGTTAGAGGCCAGCCTCAGCAAATTAGTGTAGCCCTAAGCAATTTAGCCAGGGTCTTGTCTCAAAAAATAAAAAGGGCTGGGGATGTGGCTCTGTGGTAAAGGGCCCCTGGGTTCAATCCCTAATACCCCAAAAAAGAAAAACGAAGTCAGCAGAAATGCTTGATCAGACTGGGAAGACCTCTGAGGAAGTGAGGGCTTGCACTGTACCCCAAAGGTTTTATTCTTCAAGGAAAGTACAGGAAGGCATTCCCAGCTGGGTAATTTCCATAACAGTCTCAATGACAATTAGTCCTGAGAATGAAGGGTGGATGCAGGGATTTAGGAAGGAGCCAGTCATTTAGGACCTGGGAGCAGGGAGAAGTCTTTACATTATCTCCTTGACTTCTCCCAACTTCCCTGAACTCCCAGAGACTGGACCTTATCTGGCTGCTGTTGGTCAAGGCCAGAATTCACCCTCATGTCCCAGGTTTTGCAGTGTGGAAAGGTGTAGCCAGAAATCCTGGAGACAGCTGCCTCCATTTCTTTCCCCCTACAGGTCGTGTTTTTGCCTGGGGTATGGGCACCAACTATCAGCTGGGTACAGGGCAGGATGAGGACGCCTGGAGCCCTGTGGAGATGACTGGCAAACAGCTGGAGAACCGCATGGTGTTGTCTGTGTCCAGCGGAGGCCAGCATACAGTCCTGTTAGTCAAGGACAAGGAGCAGAGCTGATGAAGCCTCTGAGGGCCTGGCTCCTTCCCCTGCCCTCCCTTATAGAACAGGGAAGCAGAGACAACTACAGATTCCAGCAGGCCTCTCCCCAGCCCTGAGCACTGTCGTCTCCTGCCATTTTTCCATCAGCAGAGCAGAATCCTTTTCTCTCTTTCCTCCTCTTTTCTGGAATCATCCTGGGACCTGCAGGATGAAAGGGGAGGGAGATGGGAGGGTCTGTCAGAAGGAACATTGCTCATCCCAGACTATGTAGTCAGACCTTTCCTTCTACTTCCCTACCCTCCTGTGGTCCTGGCTGGCCCTGACTTTGCCTACAAAAAAAAAACAAAACTTCTTCCTCTGGAGGTGTGGTACCTGCACTTTGAGAAGTTGGGCTTTATCAAGCCCCATTCTGGTCTTGTGTTTCTAACAGTCCCCAGGCAAACAGATGGTACATTCATCATACCCAGTTGTCATGGAGCCATGTCTGGGGGAATTTGGAGGAAAGACAAGGCTACAGGACCTGTGTGCAACCCCAAGCCAAATATTTGGCTCTAAACAGGTGTCCGAATGAGCCACTTGATGAAGAAAAAGCCAAAAGCTATTCTCCCAGAAGCACAAAGCATACTCTTGTCTCTCAGGCATTGCCTGTGGATTCTCCCATTTGTTGGGCCGCACCTGCAACCAAGGACATGAAAGCTGGGCTGGGCTGGGCAGGGCTGGGCAAAGCATGGGGTAGATGAAAGGTTTTATGAACAGCAATATTGGGAGGAAGAGAGGGGAAGGAGTTGGAAGGGCAAAGGCTGGTCCTCAGAAAAGGAAGCAGCAACTTGTACAGTGGCTGTGAAAATAGTTTTTGATTTTTTTTTTAATTATAAAATATTTTGGAGGGGAGAGTGGAAATCTTGTAACACTTTGAATAAATTTAAAGTTTTATAAAACAGGTCACTTGTTTTCAATACACACCCTATTCTTTTAAGGGACTACCTGCCATGTGCCAGGTACTGTTGGGAAGGGCAAAATAAGCCCAGGCCTGTGAACTTGGTGTCAAGGTTATAGCTTAAAGGATGTCAAGATCTCCCAAGGTTTCCCGTGTGCTTGCCCGGGGCAATTAGAATCTATCAAAAAGAAGAAAAGAGTTGTTTGGGTGTTTGTTTCAGGAATCACTGGAGGGTTTTTTGTTTGGTTTGGTTTTTGTTTTTTATGATGCTGCAGAACTGAGAAATGGGATAAATCTTTGAATTCTCTAATCCCAAGTCTTTTTTTTTTTTTCTTTTTCTTTTTTTTTTTTTTTTAATTAAATGAAGTTATATAATGGATGGAGAGAGACTATGTTTTTTAGAGAGAATTTTTTTTTTTAATATTTATTTTTTAGTTTTCGGCGGACACAACATCTTTGTTTGCATGTGATGCTGAGGATCGAACCCGGGCCACACGCATGCCAGGCGAGCGCGCTACCGCTTGAGCCACATCTCCAGCCTTTTTTCTTACTTTTTGACTAGTGTTATTTATTTTGTCATAAGTAAGCCACATCTCATGTTAACTTGAGATTAATTCAGTAATAGCAGTCAATTTAGAACTTTGTTTTAGAATATTTTGCCTTAAATATGTTTATTCTTTTACCCTCAACATTTTCTGTATATTATATGAGCCTAACAGATCAATAATACACATTTTTCCCACTCTCCATGAGTAATGTCTTTTTTTTTTTTAACCTTGATTTTATTTATTTATTTTTATGTGGTGCTGAGAATCCAACCCAGGGCCTTACACGTGCTAAGTGAGTGCTCTACCACTGAGCCATAACCCTTGCCTGAGTAGTCGTAATTCTGTAACAAAGTAATAAGAACTTATTTCCATTATTTAAGGTAGGGAAAATTGGACTATATAACACCTTTACTCTTAATTTTAGCTTCTTTAGATGTAGATAAAAAAACAACATAGTGCCCACATTTAAGAAATAAACCTGAAGAAAAAATGTCTAACAAGGTCTGTGATATCCAGAGAATTTATTTGTGTGACTTCCATGGTCTCCTTAGAGTCACTGTGGTTCATCTGGTTGGTGTTCATGAACGCTTCTACATATGATTATGAAGTTTAGTTCTTTCTCCCCTACTAACTAATATATTAAAATATTGTGAAGTCTGGAAGATCAGAGGTATCAACATTTGATATATGACAAATCACCAAATTTTTACTGGGTTAAAAGAAGACATTCTACATGACTATAAGGGAGCATTTTGGACTGGGTTTAGCTGAGCAATGCCTATGTTGAAGACTTTTGAGTATAGTACATCTCAAAATGCTTACAGAGTTACCTGTATTGTTTTCAATAGTTGATGTATTTATTTAAACATGGTACAGTATCTTAAGATAATTTGTGTATATTAAAGAAAATTTTCATAAGCATTTGAGCAACCAAATCAGAACTGATTTCCTCAATAATAGTGGTCACCATATAGGTGTTCCTATTTACATTTAAATCAATTTTTAAAATTTAAAATAATGTTTTTTCAGTTGTACAAACCATTGATTATCAAGTACTTGATAAATCACATGTGGCTTGCGCCTATGGTATTATGAACAGAACATTTCTATCATGGCAGAAAGTTAACAATGGACACTGGCTTGTTATGGACAGTCTATATTAGGAAGGTTATACTACCAAACAGATTCTTGGATGTTTGGTTTGGGTTTTGAGTTTTGGTTCTGGGGATTGATCACAGTTGCCAGGGGCAATTAGAATCTATCATACTTTTATTTTTTGAGAGGGACTTGCTCAGTTGCTGAGGTTGGCCTTAAACTTGTGATCCTCCTGCCTCAGCTTCCTGAGTCACTGGAATTACAGGCATGCACCACTGCCCTTGGCGAGATTTTTGGATATTGATGATTCTTAGAAAAAAATGAATATGAGGGCTGGGGCTATAGCTCAGTGGCAGAGCGCTTGCCTTGCACGTGTGGGGTACTGGGTTCGATCCTCAGCACCACATAAAAATAAACAAAGGCATGCTGTCTATAACTACAAAAACAAATTTTAAAAGAAAAAAATGAATATGAGCTGGGTACATACTAGGCAAGCACTCAACCACTGAAATAGGTTCTCACCAAGTTGCCTGGAGTGAACTTGACCTTGCCAGTTTTCCTGCCTCAGCCTTCAGAGTAAGTGGATTATGGGTGTGCACCACCACACCCAGCTTCAATACCGCATTCTTTTATTTTTTTCCCTTGTTTGTATTAGTGAATTGTACATAGTGGGATTTGTTATGTATTTTTACGTGCATATAATATAATTTGACCAATATCATTCTCCAGTATATCTCCTTTCCCTTCCCTCCTCCTTCCCTCTGGTCCATTTCCTCTCTTGATCTCTCTTTAATTTTTGAGATTCTCCCCCCACCCTCATACACATACCTTTCTTCTATCTTTTCCTCTCTAGCTTTCACATATGAGAGAAAACATAGGGTCCTTTCTGAGTTTCGCTTATATCTCTTAATGTTCTCAAATTCCCCCCATTTCCTTTTTTTTTTTTTTTTTTGAGGGGGCAGGTACTGAAGATTGAACCCCAAAGCACTTTACCACTGAGCTATATCCCCAGGCTTTTCTTAAATTTTGAGATAGGGTCTTGCTGAGTTACTTAGGGCCTCCCAAATTTGCTGAGACTGGCCTTGAACTTGCAATCCTTCTGTCTCAGCCTCCTGAATTGGTGGAGAAATACCACGCAACCCCTGCCCTTTTTTTTTTTTCCTGAGACAGGGTCTCTTTTAGTTGCTTAGTCTGAGGCTGGCTTTGAACATGCCATCCTCTCACCTCAGTGACTGAGATTATATGAATATATCACTTCACCCATTCCTAAAAACATGAAATCGTTTGTTTAATCCTCACAACTCTTCAAGGTAGGAATTGCTAGCCCTCAAGGAAACAGTCACAAAGTATTGACTGGAATGACTTGCTTGAGGTCCAGAAGCCACCATGTGTGCAGAATGGGCTGGACTCTAAATCAACCTCCACCTAATCCAAAACCTCTTTCTCTTTCTCATATTGTATCCAAGAATTAAGGTCTCTAAGTGCTTTGCATGCCGGACACATAGTAGATACTTTCTCTGTAAACCATTGTGATTATTGTACTTTTTTTTTGTTCTCTAAGTAATTATTGCCTTTTTTCCCCAGTGTTGAGGATCAAGTCCAAGGCTTCACACATATATGCAAGGCAAGCACTCTACCACTGAGTTACAACCCTAGTCTTGCTTGTTTTCTGGGTGTTTATTTTTATTTTACTTGTGTAAATACCATTAGTTCAGTTCCAATATACCAGAAGTATCATCTGCTTTTGTGTATTCAAACACATCAAGTACTTCCAATTTTGTTTACTTTTTCTTTCTCCAACCTGGATTGGTTACCCCAAAACAAATGTGATCATAGTATAACATTGTTCAACTACAAGAAATATTTGCAAAGTCATAATGTAAATGTTAATAGTGCTTTAACAAAAATTAGAAGATGGAGAATTGTGTACAGGGACCAAACTACAAATGAAAAGACAGTAGCATAGTATGTTACTTAGAAATATGCAGATAGATTCAGGAAAAACATTTGGAAATAGTCACTTTAAGGGAGTGGAAGTTGGGAGCAAGGTAGGTAGTGTTTTGCTTAGGTCATAAATTCATCAAATATTTCTGAGTGCTTATCATGCCCCAGATAATGTAGGAATTAATTAGAAAACAAAACGGACAAAGTCCTGCCTCAGAAAGCTTTTTTTTTTTTTTTTTTGATACTGAAGATTGAACCCAGGGGCACTCTACCACTGAGCCACATCCCTAGCCCTTTTTATATTTTATTTAGAGACAAGGTCTCCCTAAGTTGCTGAGGCTGGCTTTGGACTTGCAGTCCTCCTGCTGTACCCTCCTGAGCCACTGGGATTATAGGCATGTGCCACTACACCCAGCAGAAAGTTTATATTCTTAAACTTTTTTTTTTGGGGGGGGGGGATTTAATTGGATTTAATTGTGGATGTGAACATATTACATCGGGTACAAGTATGACATCTCTGGGAAAGCAGAAGTGGGACACACATCACCTGCTGGGGAGCCAAGTGCTCCCAGGGAACAGGTTAATGCTGTGTGTGAAGTATCACTGGTGTCAGGGCTGCAGGCCACAGCTAGGTGGGTAGTGTGTGGAGGAGCACAGCATCCCCTCCAGCTCAACAAGGAGAGAAGAGCACTCCTCCTATTCCTATCATGCCATTCACCAAGGGCTGGGGGAGCCTGGCCTCTTGGCAGTCATGCCCAGTCCTTGCCCCTTGCTTAGTCTGGTCAGGGTGTGGGTGCTGCTTTTTGAAAAGGCAGTACAGCATGAGGTGGACCACATGGGTGGTCTCATCAGCACTCTTCCCCAGCATCTTTGTTAACTGCTCCAAGTCTCTCTGGATGTGCTGCTGCAGGAATCCTTTCGGGTCACTCAGTGGAGGCTTGATGATGTTTATCACAGCCTATACTTCAGGAGCAGCTTCAGCACCACAGAGCAGATGACAGGAGTGTTATCCCTGGCATCATCAAATGGCGAAAGAGACTTGATGTGTTTCCGGTGTCGGTGGGGAGCATCTCTCATGAGCTTCTGCACAACAAGTAGAGACAGAAGCCCATCAATCACACTCTTCTGAGGAGAAGTATTGTTTTTTAAGAACATAGTAGAAACCAGTTCCATGAAGAAACTATTGCACATCTGCTGGAATTGGGTGTGTTTCCCAATGGCCACCCTGTGCTCTTGGGAAACTGTCACAGAGAACTCCTCTGGCAGGCCAGTTAAACAGTAGGGGCAGGTCATCTGCCTAGAGATGAGCCAGATCTTGATGCAAGGCAGGCAGTACACATGGTCACAGGGCAAACACACAGGATCCTGAGCATCTCCCAGGCAGAAGGGGCATGGCCGCACTCCAAACCTGGCCAGACTCTTGCTGGCTTGCTCCTTGCACTCATAGAGTGGTCATCATAGCTACAAAAGGCCTGTGGGTCTTGAGATCGGAGTTCTCTTCATATTCTTAACCTTTTTTAAAAAACATTTAGTTGTAAATGGATACAATACCTTTATTTTATTTTTATGTGATGCTGAGGATTGAACCCAATGCCTCACACAAGCATTGTATCACTGACCACAACCCCAGCCCACATTCTTACCTTTATAAAAAATAAACCCAGCAACCTGGGGGGCTGAGGAAAAAAGAGTGCAAGTTCAAGGCCAGCCTCAGCAATTTAATGAGACCTTCAGCTAAATAGCAAAACCTATGTCAAAGTTTAAATAAATAATAGGGCTGGGGATGTAACTCAGCAGTGAAGTGTGCCTGGGTTTAATCCCCAGTTTAAAAATATGCATTTAAAAATCGTCTATGTGTAAAATAAAAATTTTAAATAGTAAGTAAAGAGAACATCATAGTGACTGGCAAATAGTGCAAAAGAATAAATATCAGTTATAATTTGAAGATCTTCAACTGCTGTTCTCAAAGATTTGCTGGATGCCAAACAGTGGACCCATAGCTTTCACAGATTCTCATTTTTTCCTCACAACGTTGAGACAAGTACTGTTGTTAAACACACAAGGCTCAGAGACTAAGTAACTTGCCAAAAGTAAGCAAGACGTGGGCCAGAAATTATGCACCTGAAGCTTCTAAGCACTACACTGTATTGCAGCGACAGGAGAATAAGGCTGGATATTTGGAAACTCAGTAGTTGGACCTTAGGTCATCAGATTGATGAGTTCTTGGCTTGAGGGCACATCCTAAGCTTGGGATGTATACACCTACACCGGTAAGGAAGGACTTTAAAAGTCCCTGAAACACAGGGGGTGAGCTTCATTGTGAGAGATGCCAATTTCCACCTAGAAGCTTCCTTTTCTCAACCTGCGTGATATTGAGGCCTGGGATACTTCCAGCCTAGGAGCTCTGGAAAATCAAACCATCAAGCTGAGCACAGTGAGGAATGCCTGAAATCCCAGCGGCTCAGGAGGCTGAGGCTGGAGGATCTCAAATTCAAAGCCAGCCTCAGCAACCCATCATTATTTACAACCATAATGCACCAATAAAAGTATGTAAAAAAAAAAAATAAATAAATAAATCCAGTCTTAGCAATTTAGTGAGGTCTTAAGCAATTTAGTGAGACTCAAAAAAAATTTTTTTAAAAAGGGCTGAGGATGTGGCTTAGTGCTTAAGTGCTTAATTATTATATTAATAATAATAATAATATATTATTATTATTATTCCCTAGAATAATAATAATAATTTTAAAAATCAAACTATCAAGATTATCTGGTCGTCTAAACCATGTTTACTGAGGGCTTTCTCCAAGCAGGTCACTGTTCTGGGAGGAATTAGTCGCTGGCGTTTTAGAGTAGGGTGGTGGGCCTCAAGAAAGCAGGACACGGCTGGGGTTGTGGCTCAGTGGTAGAGCGTTCTCCAAGAACGTGCAAGGCCCTGGGTTCAATCCTCAGCACCACATAAAAATAATAAAACCAAGGTATTGCGTCCAGCTAAAACTAAAAAGTAAAATTTAGGGGCTGGGGATGTGGCTCAAGCGGTAGCGCGCTCGCCTGGCATGTGTGCGGCCCGGGTTCGACCTCAGCACCACATACAAACAAAAGATGTGTCCGCCGGTAACTAAAAAATAAATATTAAAAAAAAAAAAAAAAGTAAAATTTAGAGGAAAAAAAAAAGAAAGCAGAGGGACAAGACTTAGAGACTGATTGAATTGTCCTTTCAACAACTCAATCAGTCTAGTCTCTAAGTCTTGTCCCTCTAATTCGGGTGTGACTGAAGAATCCTATTCGAGCTTCAACCAGAAACTCACGTTTCAAGGACTAGGAACCCTGGAGGGAGGATATGGCTGGAGCCAAGCAGCGGCTTGTGTAGGATCACACTTCTTGGAACCAAACTTAACGAAACCTGGCTCCCATAGAGGGTCCTTTCACTCTTTCAAACGCTTATATTTGCAATATTTTACAACAAGCACAGGTCAGTTTTTAAATTATTATTATTATTTTAAATAAATTGTTGTTGTTTTTAATATTTATTTTTTAGTTTTCAGCGGACACAACATCTTTTGTTTGTATGTGGTGCTGAGGATCGAACCCAGGCCGCACGCATGCCAGGCGAGCGCGCTACCACTTGAGCCACATCCCCAGCCCCAGTTTTTAAATTATATATGCACTTATACAGGTGTGTGGTCTTGTTTGTTTTTGTTTTTTTAACTACACAAAACCGAAAACAAACTCGCATCGCTCGCGGGCGGCGCCGCCAGTTGGCCACCCGCCTCCTCAGCAGTCTCTGTCCAGAGCTCCGTCCGCTGCGGTCCGGAAGCTCGGCCTCCGCCGGGGTCGCGGGGAAAACCCGGAACGGAACATCGAGTCGAGCCGGAGCTGCGGCGCGTGCGCGAAAGGCGCAGCAGGCGCGAGCTCCCGGGCGGTCCCCGAGGCGCGGATTGGCGCCCGCGCGCGCCCCGGAGGCCCGCGAGGTGCCCGCCCGGGTGCGGGATGGCGGCCAGCCTGTGGATGGGAGACGTGAGTGAGGACGGCCGCCCCGGCTCCGAGAAGGAGGAATCTCGGTGTCCCGAGGGAGGAGGATATAGGGGGAGGGGTTCCTGACATGGTGGAAGTGAACGGGAGGAGGGTTCCCTTTGATGACACCGAACCGGTTCCAGCGTCAGAGTGAAGGGGCTAAGTCCTGGGGGAGGGGGGAAGCCGTCCTGGGGCCCCTCCTGGGTACCTGGGAGGGAAAGGGAGGTTCTTTGGGGGAACAGAAGGAGCGGGACCCAAGGGTTGAAGCTTGGTTCTAGGCGTGCAGTGATGGGGCTCCTGACTCCTCGGGCAGTTTGAAGTGAAGGAGTCAAGAGTTGAGACCTGCAGAGGAGGGCCCCGTGCCCTGCATCAGCCTGCGGCTTGCAGGTAGGGGCCCTGTGCCTCGGGATGGGCAGCTGGACCCGGGCCTGAGCAGCGTCGCTCTTGTTTTTATGTAGCTGGAACCCTACATGGATGAGAACTTCATTTCTAGAGCCTTTGCCACCATGGGGGAGACCGTGATGAGCGTCAAAATTATCCGAAACCGCCTTACTGGGTACTTCTCTCTTCATCTTCCTAGTTTTGCAACTGTCATTCAGGGGAATGTAGACATCACAGAAAGGGCTCGTCACCACCTCTGATAGTAGTTTACAATGTTATAAAAACTAACATTTGGGGGCATATTGAGTGGAAGTATAACATATTGTTTAAGAACAGGATGCTGATGCCAGACTGGGTTTGAAAACTATTTCTGCCATGTGACCTTGAATAAGTATTTGTTTCCCATGTCTCATTCACAAGGTAATGAAATTGAGTGTGAAATATGAGAGTAATATTAGAATTTACCTCATAGGTGAGGACTAAATTAGTTAATTGATATTTCGCATTTAGAACAATGTCTGGCTTATGGTATAAGCTCAGTAAGTATGGATGGATTATGACTTGCTACATAATAAAGACTTTCATTCATTATCTGTTTAAAATCACAAATACCTCTGAGCTGAGTACTTTTATAAAAGAAGATCATTAATTGTGTTAAAGTGACATAGCTTTTTTTATTTGTGCATGTAGTACTGGGGGTGGAACCCAGGGCCTCTGGTATGTTAGGCAAGCTCTCTACCACTGAGCTACACTCCCAGCCCCTAATGTAGCTATTAAATGACAAAGTAGGGCTCAAATACAAGTCTGTCCTCAAAACTCTTGAGTGTCCCTTAACTCTTTTTTTCCCCCTTTTTTCTTTTACTCTCTCTCTCTCTTTTTGTTGTTTTTATTATACTGAGAATTGAACTCAGGGTCTCATACATGCTAGACAAGCACTGAGATACATCCCCAGCTCTTTTTTCTTATATTTTGATACAGGATCTTGCTAAATTGATGAGATTGGCTTTGAACTTGCAATCTTCCTGCTACAGCCTCCTGAATACCTGGGATCACAAGCATGTGCCACCTTACCAGTTGTCTCTTAATTCTTATGCTAGTCATTAAAAATATACATTTAGCCAAGCACAGTAATCCCAGTGACTTTAGAGGCTAAAGCAAGAGGTTCACAAGTTCAAACCCAGCTTCAGCAACTTAGCAAGGCCCTGTCTCAAAAATAAAAAGGGCTGGGGATGTGGCTTAGTGGTAAAGCATTTCTGGGTTCAAACCCCGTCCCCCCCCCCCAAAAAAAAAAAACCCACCCATGTATACACACACACACACACTCATATATATAATTTATAAAGATACTACTATAGGGCTGGGGCTATAGCTCAGTTGATAGAGTGCCTGCCTCCTATGCACAAGGCCCTGGGTTCATTCTCCAGCACGGCCAAAAAGGAAACCAAAAAAATTTGTTACCACAAGCTACAGTGGCACATGCCTATGATCCCAGTAACTGGGGAGGCTGAGGCAGGAGGATCAGAAATTCAAGGGCCTCTGCAATTCAGCAAGACCCTGTCTCAAAATAAAAGGATTGGGGATATACCTCAGAGGTAGAAAGTTCCTGGGTTCAATCCCCAGTACTACAAAACAAAAACATTACCCAAGGACACATTTTCTGACTGGGAGATCATGCTGGCCTGAACATTTCTGTTCCTGATTTTATAAACAGAAAACCCCAGATAATCAGCTACTGGTATGAAAGTTCATTCTGTAACACTTTCTGCTTTTTAAAAAATTTTCATAGATCCTCACATTTTAGCTTTTGTTTGCCACAAGATTTGAAACTATCTTTTCTTACCAGTAATTGCTAAACTGTTACTTATGGTGGTACCTGTGGACACATTTTATTTATATCCTGCCTCACTTGACAAAGGCTTTGAAATGGCTTAGAAAAATACTGTATAATAAATAAATGTAAATTTTAAAAATGAAGACCAGAAAAAATAAGGTAAAAATGTAACACCCAAGTAAAAACAATATGCAATAAAGCATAGTGCTGCTGCAGTAGCACAGGCCTTAAATCCAAGAATTCAAAGGCAGAGGGGAAATTCAAGGCCAGCCGTAGCAATTTAACAAGGCCCTCAGCAACATAGTGAGGCTCTAAGATGAAAATTTAAAGGGCTGGGGATGTGGCTCAGTGGTTAAGTGCCCCTGGGTTAAATTGTTAAATCCTTAGTGCAAAAAAAAAAAAAAAAAGAGAGAGAGAGAGAGAGATCTTCCCCTAAGACCTGGCAAGTCCTGGCCTACTTATTTCCCCAAGAGAAAGGATGACATGTATATTTTTATTACAAAAAAAATAGACCTTGGGGCTAGGCTGGGACTCAGCAGTAGTTCACTTGCCTGGAATATGTGAGGCACTGGGTTTGTTTCTCAGCACCACATATAAATAAATAAAATAAAAGTCTACCAACAATTAAAAAAAAAAAAAAAAAAAACCTTGAGCTGGGTGCAGTGGTGCACACCTGTAATCCCAGCAGCTTGGGAGTCTGAGGCAGGAGGATCTGGAGTTCAAAGCCAGCCTCAGCAATGTGCTAAACAACTCATTGAGACCCTGTCTCTAAATAAAATACAAAATAGAGCTAGGGATATGGCTCAGTGGTGGAGTGCCCCTGAGTTCAACCCACCCCCCAAAAAAAGACCTTGAAAAAGAATGTTCAGAGGAGCTATGTGACAACAGCCAAAAACTGAAAATAGCCCAGGTATCCATGAAAAAAGAAAAGTATGTATCAGAGCACTCAGTGATTGCCTTTGAATGGCTGGGTTATTGGTGATTTTATTTTCTTTGTACTTTTTTTTTTGGGGGGGGGTGTGGGTACCAGGAATTGAACTCAGGGGCACTCAACCACTGAACCACATCCCCAGCCCAATTTTTGTATTTTCTTAGAGATAGGGTCTCACTGAATTGCTTAGCGTTTTGTTGTTGCTGAGGCTGGCTTTGAACTCTCAACTCCTCTCTCAGTCTCCCCGAGCGCTGAAATTACAGGATACACCACCGTGCCAGCCAGGCAAGCACTCTTTCTTTTTTGTGCCAGGGATTAAACCCATGGGCACTTAACCATTCCTGAGCCACATCCCCAGCTGTTTTTCTTTTTTTTTCTTATTTTTTAAAATTTGTTCTAGTTAGTTATACATGACTCATTTTTAAATTTTGTTTAATGTTTTTACTATTTTTTTTTCAGTTGGTGATCGACCTTTTTTAGGGGTACCAGGATTGAATTTAGGGGCACTTGACCACTAAGCCACATCCCCAGCCCTAGTTTGTATTTTATTTAGAAACAGGGTCTTACTGAGTTGCTTAGGGCCTCACAGTTGCTGAGGCTGACTTTGAACTTCCCATCCTCCTGCCTCAGCTTCTGAGCCGCTGGGATTACAGGCATGCGCCTCTGTACCCTGCTCCATGATGGACCTTTTTATTTATTTATTTTTAATTATCCTTTTTTAAATATTTTTTTAGTTGTAGTTGGACACAATACCTTTATTTAATTTATTTACTTTTATGTGGTGCTGAGAATCCAACCCAGAGCCTTGCACATGCTAGGCAAGCACTCTACTGAGCCACAACCCCAGCCCTGGACCTTTTATTCATTTATTTATATGCTGTGCTGAGAATCGAACCCAGTGACTCAAACATGTGAGACAAGCACTCTTCCACTGAGCCCTAGCCCCAACTCCTTTTTAATTTTTTATTTAGAGACAGGGTCTCCCTGAGTTGCTTAGAGCCTCGAAAAATTGCTGAGACTGGCTATGAAACTCTCCATCCTCCTGCTTCAGGCTCCTGAGCCAGTGGGATTACAGGTATACTGTGCCTGGCCAAACACTCTTTAATTTTACTGTTTTTTTCGTGTTTTTGTTTTGTTTTGTGACACTTTACCATTGAGCTACATCCCCAGCACTTTTTATTCCATATTCCAAGACAGGATCTAGCTAAATTGCTGAGGCTGGCCTTGAACTTCTGATTCTCCTTCCTGAGAATTACTAGTCACTGGGATTACAGGCATGTACCACTGCATCTGGCCCTTTAACATTACTTTTTTTGTTGTTTGTTTAAGTACTGGGAATTGAATTCAGAGACACTCAACCTACATCCCCAGCCCTATTTTTTATTTAAAGTCAGTCAGGGTCTCACTAAGTTGCTAAGCGCCTCACAGTTGCTAAAGCTGGCTATGAACTCATGCTCCTCCTGACTCAGCTTCCCAGGCCGCCGGGTTAACATTAACTTTTTAAGGAAGTAAGGGTAGTTTTCTCATATCATGTTCTACATTTTGGATTCATTTACTTATGTAGTAATTTACCAGTTCTATCTTTAATATTTTTTGCAAACTAGATGTTAAATCTAAAGCTTGATTGAATTACATTAAATATTTTTGGCAAGAGTACTTTACCAATGATATAGTATATAAATAAATCTTTACCCAGTGAGTCTGGGACTCTCCAGATTAGCAGTCCTTATATTTAGGTTTGTAAGTTATTTCCTAACTGGAATATTGCGAACAACAGAAACTGGGTTCTGCCAGGCGCAGTGGCGCATGTCTATAATCCTAGCAGCTGGGGAGGCTGAAGCAGGAGGATCTCGATTTCAAAACCAGCTTCAGTAAAAAGTGAGGCTGTAAGCAACTCAGTGAGACCCTATCTCTAAATTAAATACAAAATAGGGCTGGAGATGTGGCTCAGTGGTTGAGTGCCCCTGAGTTTAATCCCCGATACCCAGAAAAAAAACAAAACAAAAAACTTGAGGTCTGGAGATGTGGCTTAAGCGGTATCGTGCTCGCCTGGCGTGCATACGGCCTGGGTTCGATCCTCAGCACCACATACAAAAAATAAATAAATAAATAAAGATGTTGGGTCTGCCAAAAACTAAAAAATAAATAATTCTCTCTCTCTCTCTCTCTCTCTCTCTCTCTTTAAAAAAAAAAAACAAAATACTTGAGTTCTGATTAGAAAATCATTTCTCTTTTCCTTCAGGCTAAGACTCATGGATATTTTGAACCCATTAAGTCCGAAGTTTTCAATTCTGTGACTATTTCAATGAAATTGACCTACATGCATTAAAATACGTCAGAATTCATAACATAGAGATTATTATGTGTTATTATATTGTTAATCATTGTATTCTGATTATTAAACAACTATTTATTTAATATATATAAAAAATAAGGTGTTTTTGTTTTGTTTTTTGGTGGTGCTGGGGATTGAACTCAGGGCCTTATGCATGCAAGGCAAGCACTCTACCAACTGAGCTATATTCCAGCCCCTAATATTTAAGTTTTTATAGGTGTTCCACTTCTGGACAGTGTAATAAAATGAGTTAACCATTCTCTCTCTCTGCTTTCTTTCCAGGATCCCAGCTGGCTACTGCTTTGTAGAATTTGCAGATTTGGCCACAGCTGAGAAGTGTTTGCATAAAATTAATGGGAAACCCCTTCCAGGAGCGACACCTGTAAGGACATTTAGATAATGATAATATTGCCATTTTCATTGTCATTGATTACCACCATCTATTGAAGCCCTACTGTATACTTACCTCGTTTTATTTAATCCCACAACAACCCTGTGTAGCAGGCATTGTTATCTTTGACATAAGAGGAAACTGAAGCTCAGGGAAGTAAATAACATACCCAGGGGAACACAGGTAGTGAGTGCAGAGCCAGGATTCAGACTGAAGATTGGTTGCTTCCAAAACCTTTGCCCTTTCCACTCTGCATCACTGCCTCCTATGACAGAAGACTTGAAACTCTAGGTCTTTTGCCTGAGAAACTAGAATAGGCTGGCAGCAGCAGGAACCCATTTCAAGAGAGTTGCATTCTGCTCTTCCCACAGTTACTTAGCTTACAGCTGCTGCACCAGCTGCCACACCTGGGCTCATAGAACCATGGAGCTGGCAGTGCCCTTAACGGTCATCCGTGCAACCCCCCTCATTTTATACAGGAGAAAAGGCTGAGGCTTAGAGAGGGGGAGATGTTTTGGCCAAGGTAACTTATTTAAGTTTTTTTCAAATATTGTTTGACTGTTGAAACACCTTTCTTTTGTTTTAGTTTGCTTGTTTTTAAATTTCTAGGCAAAACGTTTTAAACTGAACTATGCCACTTATGGGAAACAACCAGATAATAGGTAAGTACAGAGCAATCCCAATGTAGCTTCAAGGCCTACCACAGGGGTGAGATGTGGCAATGTGCCAATGATTGCCAGAAGGAGGATGGGGAACCAAATTTGGCTGCCTGCACTTTGCCCGCTCCTGAGGGAAGACACACTTCCACTTCCCATTGGTAGACCTTCCTAGGGTGCATCTTGTCACAGCCATGTCTTTTCCCTGCAGTGGTAGAACACTTGCCTAACATGCTGAAGGCCCTGGGTTTGATCCAGGAGGCAGGGGGTTTTTCTGTATCTGGTCCCTCCCCAGTCTTCTACTTTGTTACTGTCCACATTATTGAGGTTTATTCAGTAAGAATACACCTGTGATAGCAACATAAATTGATTGGCATTTCAGGTTGCTATTTGAAAGTTTTAAAACAATGTATTAAAAGCTTTAAAAAGCTTTGTACCCATTGATCCTGTATTCCTGCTTTTCACAGTTTATCCAAGAGTGTGTGCAAAGAGTAGCCTTGAAAGTGTTCATTGAGCTGGGTACAATGGTGCGTACCTATAATCCCAGCAGTTTGGGAGGCTGAGGCAGGAGGATCACAGGTTCAAAGCCAGCCTCAGCAACTTAGAAAGGCCTTGTCCCTAAATAAAATATTAAAAGAGGGGCTGGGGATGTGGCTGGGCTGGGGATGTGGCTCAAGCGGTAGCGCACTTGCCTGGCATGCGTGCAGCCTGGGTTCGATCCTCAGCACCACATACAAACAAAGATGTTGTGTTGTGTCTGCCAAAAACTAAAAAATAAATATTAAAATTCTCAAAAAAAAAATTAAAAAGAGGGGCTGGGGTTGTAGCTCAGTGGTAGAGCACTTGCCTAGCACATGTGAGGCACTGGGTTCAACCCTCAGCACCACATAAAAATAAATAAGGTATTTATATATACATACATATATGTATATATGTATATGTATGTATATTAAAAGGGGCTGAGGATGGGGCTAAGTGATTAAGTGCCCCTGGGTTCAATCTCCATTACCAAAACAAACAAAGTCATGTTGCGGAATATTGATTTATCAAGAGGTTGTCAATACATGCAGTTTTGTTGTTGTTGTTGCTATTGTTGTTGTTTTCTTGGTACTGGGGATTGAACCAGGGGCACTTGACCACTGAGTCATATCCCAGCCCTGTTTTGTATTTTATTTAGAGACAGGGTCTACTGAGTTGCTAAGCACCTTGCCATTGCTGAGGCTGGCTTTGAATTCACAATCCTCCTTCCTTAGCCTCCCGAGCCACTGGGATTACAGGTGTGCACCACCGTGACCAGCACAGTTTTTGGTAATTTTTGTTTTGTTTTTAGAGATAGAGTCTCACCATGTTTTCCAGGCTGGCCTCAAACTTCTGGGCTCATGTAATCTCCTGTCTCAGCTTTCTGAGTTCCTTGGGATGTAAGTGCATATCATTGCACTTAGTTGTTGGTGATATGTCAAAACTAAATGGGGTAGAAACAAAACAGGATAGGCTCGGTGTGGTGGTACGTGCCTATAAACCCAGCAACTCAGGAGGCTGAAGCAGGAAGATTGCAAGTTTGAGGCCAGCCTCAGCAATTTATGATCCCGAAGCAATTTATCAAGGCCCTATCTCAAAATAAAATGGGCTGGAGACAGTCACAGTCGCAAATTCCTGTAATCTCACAAAGGAGGATCACAAGTTCAAAGGCAGTCCCAGCAACTTAGCCTATATACCCTGTGTCAAAATAAAAAGAATGGGGATGTGGCTCAGTGGTTAAGCACCCTTGGGTTCAATCACCAATATGCAGGGGGAAAAAAAAAAGAGTACTGGGGATATAGCTCAGTAGTAAAGGACCCTTGGTTTTAATCCCCAGTACAAAAAAAAAAAAAAAAGAAGCCATAGAAAAAAGAAAAGTATTTATCAGAGCACTCATAGTGATTGCTTTTGAATGGCTGGGTTATTGGTGATTTTATTTTCTTTGTACTTTTTTTATGGGGGTGTGGGTACCGGGGATTGAACTCAGGGGGGCACTCAACCACTGAGCCACATCCCCAGCCCTATTTTTGTATTTTATTTAGAGATAGGGTCTCACCGAGTTGTTTAACACCTCGCTTTTGCTGAGGCTGTCTTTGAACTTGTGATCCTCCTGCCTCAGCCTCCCAAGCCATAGAGATTACAGGTGTGCACCATAGAGTGACCCTCAATCCCCACCCCCACAGTAGCTTGGATTACAAGTATGTACCACTACCCCCTGGCTTCTATTCCTTAACATTTGATTTTAAAATGTGGAATGCACACAGAATGTCCAGTTTCTTTCGAAAAAGTTTCTCTTTTGAGTTTTTCAGAGATGTACCTCTGACCTATTCCTCCATCTATATGTATATAGTACTTGAAAACTTGAAACTAGACAGGCCTGTGTAGTAATCGAGAAATTCAAGGCAGGGGGCTGTTTCCCTAATTCTTCTGCCAGAACTGTAATGAAAAAGATTAGAACCTGGGTAAGCCTAGAATGCATGAGACCCTGGGTTTGTTCCCCAGTCCTGGGGAACGTGGGTGGGGACATTGTTAAGTCCACCCATCAGATGTGTTTCCTAAGAGGCCCTGAAGAAGTTTATCAGGAATGTGCCAAAAGAGCTCTGCAAAGGAGGGCTTTTACTCTTTATCACTGATTCTTGTTCTCTCCTTAGCCCTGAGTACTCCCTCTTTGTGGGGGACCTAACCCCAGATGTGGATGATGGCATGCTGTATGAATTCTTCGTCAAAGTATACCCCTCCTGTCGGGGAGGCAAGGTGGTTTTGGACCAGACAGGCGTGTCTAAGTAAGGCTTTATCTGTAACTGATTCTGTTTTGAAATTCTCCTCTGGGGCAAGTGTTAGCATGTTGCTTCAGAGCAGAGGCTCTGGAGCCAAATTGGTTTGAATCCTAGCGCCAATACTGGCAAGGGACTATGAAGTAAAAGCAAGCCTCTCTGCCCCTATTTTCTTGTCTGTAAAGTGGGGCTAATAGTATCTCTTATAGAATTGTTATAAGGATAACTAATAAGGGATATAAGTAAGTCATATAGGAAATGCTCTGTAGATGTTTGCTGTTGTATTTATTATTTTTACTGAGCCTTTCAGTGTAGTTAGAAGTTTTCACTTCAGAAAGTGAAAAACAGCCAGGTGCAGTGTTACATGCCTATAATCCTGGCAATGAAGGAGACTGAGGCAGGAGGATCACAAGTTAAAAGCCAGCCTTAGCAACTGTGAGAGGCTCTAAGCAACTCAGCAAATCTGGTTCTAAATAAAAAATAAAAAGGACTGGGGGTATGATTCAGTGGTAAAGCACCCCTGGGTTAAATCTCTAGAAACCACCCCCCAAAAAAAATAATTAATTAATTTTAAAATGTAAAAAATGAATAGAAAGGGGAAAACTTCAAGAAAGGTTTTTTTTTTTTTTTTTTTTTTTTTTTTTAATGGCAGTGCTGCATATATGAGGCAAGCAGTCTACCACTGAGCCACACTCCAGCCCAAACAGGCTTATTGTTGATTAGCATAGTACTTACAAGCACAGGCTTTGGAAGTCTGACACATGTGGATTTGAATTATGCTTCTACTATGTATAACTTTGGCTACCTCTTCAGTAAAATGGTGGATACTATCTTATGTGATTGTTGGACAGATTGATGAGATTACTTAGGAAAAATACTCAATACAGTGCCTGGGAAATAATTAGTGATCAATAAATGTTACCTATCTCTAGTTCATTCCCCAACAAGAACATGAGCTCAGGAGAGCAGAAACCAAGTCTCTGTGACTGCTGCATCCACACAATACCAAACATACAAAGACTCTGGAAATATTTGTGGAGTGGACTTCCTCAACTGTTATTATTACTGCTACTACTATAATTATAGTGATAATAATTTATTATTTTCCAGTAGATTAGGAAGGATGCTCTTATCTGGGAAGGAGTCCCACAGGTGAAGGTATTAAGGATGGTCAACTGATGGGCTGGGGATGTGGTTCAAGCGGTAGTGCGCTTGCCTGGCATGCGTGCGGCCCAGGTTCGATTCTCAGTAACACATACAAACAAAGATGTTGTGTCCGCCAAAAACTAAAAAAATAAATATTAAAAAAAAAAACAAAAAACAATGGTCAACTGAAAGTAGGAATTCCTGCAGATTTCAAGGTTGTCCAGTGCTTGAATCTGGCACTATTCTGTGGATACCTCCACTACTGGGACTTGTCCTTTCCCAGATTGATGAATTCTTTTCCTCAATCATGCCTACCTCTAACTCTTCCCTCTTTTCTATGCCTCCGTTCTTAAAACTTCATCACATTTGTGACCTAAAGAGTGTATTGGGTTTTTTTCCCCTGCAGGGGTTATGGTTTTGTGAAATTCACAGATGAACTGGAACAGAAACGAGCCCTGACGGAGTGCCAGGGAGCAGTAGGACTGGGGTCAAAACCTGTGCGGCTGAGTGTGGCAATTCCTAAAGCGTGAGTCCGGTAGGGAGGGCTGAGGGCCCTAGACTCATCCCTCCCACATTCCTTATCTGTTTGCCGACAGTCAGGTATGGGACTCCCACTTGGGCTGGAGGCTGCAAGAAGGCTGACTTTAAGTCATGATTACCAAACATCTGCCTTTGGGCAGGTGGGTGCTGGGTATTAGAGATGAACTACTATAACCTCAACCCTTCAGAGGTTGAAGACAGGTATAACTGGGGGAAGCAGATATATTCAGATGTTTCTGGTAGCAATACTGTAAAAGCTGGCTATACTTGTCCAATGTTCCTTTTCTTCGATCAGTGGTGCTGCTATTGAGAATTTATAAGAATTGAGCAGAAGGAAAAAAGTTGCTTCCAGTGTGAGCTATATTTATGTTAATGAAACCTGCAAACCTCCTATGAATGTCCCTTGCTGTGGATATGGCTAAGAATGAATTCTAAACCCCTTATAGAATTTTATATATGTCACTATTAGATTTGTCATGGTAGGTAGAAAACCTTTTCTGCCTTTTCTAGGTAGAAAATCCTTTCCTAACAAGTCCCAGAAGTTTTTTTATTTGTTTGTTGGTACTAGGGATTGAACTCAGGGACACTCACTCACTGAGCCACATCCCCAGCCCTATTGTGTATTTTATTTAGAGACAGGGTCTCTCACTGAGTTGTTTAGTGCCTTGCTTTTTGCTGAGGTTTGCTTGGAACTCGTAATCCTCCTGCATCAGCCTCCCGAGAGATTGGGATTACAGGCTTGCACCACTGCCCAGCTCAAGGAGATTGCTTGAGCAGATGTAAGACAGCCTTTCTCTGATGAGCATCTTTCACTATTTAACCAAGGTAACGATTCTCAACTGGGGGCAGTTTTACCCCTAAAGGGATATTGGCAACATATACAGATACTTTGGTTACCTCAATTAGAATGGCATCTAGTGTGTAGCAGCTAGGATTGCTGCTAAACATCCTACAATAACTGTGTGTTATTATTATTTTATTTTTTATTTTTTTGGTAGGGATTGAACTGAGTTGCCTAAGGCCTTGCTAAGTTGCTGAGGCTGGCTTTATTTATTTATTTTTTAAAATATTTATTTTTCAATTGTAGTTGGACACAATACCTTTATTTTATTTATTTATTTTTATGTTGTGCTGAGGATCCAACCCAGGGCCCCGCACATGCTAGGTGAGCACTCTACCTCTGAGCTACAACCCCAGCCCCTGAGGCTGGCTTTAACTAACTTGAGATTTTTTTTGCCTCAGTCTCCAAAACTGCTGGGAATAACTGTTTTTTTAAAGTGATTTGGGAATTCTTTGTGTTTTAACTATGTTTAATACATTGAATGATACCAGGTATGGTGGCACATGCCTGTAATCCCATTTGTTTGGAAGGCTGACATAGGAGGATCGCAAGTTCAAAGGCAGCCTCAGCAACTCAGCGAGGCCTTAAGTTACTCAATGAGACCCTGTCTCTAAGTAAAATATTTTTAAAAAGGGGCTGGGGAATGTGGCTCAGTAGTAAAGCACCTCTGGATTCAATCCCTGGTACCTCAACCCCCCAAAAAAATAATAATACATTAAATGAAGATCAACCTGAGTGATTTTTTTGTTGTTGTTGTAGATGGACACAATATCTTTATTTATTTATTTTTATGTGGTGCTGAGGATCAAACCCAGGGCCTCACATGTGCAAGGCAGGCGTTCTACCACTGAGCTACAGCCCCAGCCCCAACCTGAGTGATTTCCCCAGGGTACTCTATGTAGTTATATCCCTAACCCCCCCCCTTTTTTTTTTTTTTTTGAGTCAGGGTCTTACTAAGTGTCTTATGGTCTTCCTATCTTGGCCTCCCAAATAGCTGGAATTAAAGGCATGTGCCACCACACCAGCTAGCAAAATCTTTAAAAGAGAAAAATTTCCTCTTAATTACATTACTCCAAAATTATTATAATTTCAGCCAGGTGTGGTAGTGCATTCCTGTAATACCAGTGACCTGGGAACCTCAGACAGGAAGATCAGAAGTCTGTCAGGATCAGTCTGGGCTACTTAATGAAACCCTGTCTCAAAATGAAAAATAAAGGCGGTGGTACACACCTGTAATCCCAGCAATTCAGGAGGCTGAGGCAGAAGGATCACAAGTTCAAAGCCAGCCTCAGCAGCTTAGCGAGGTCCTGAAAAACTTAGCAAGACCCTCCCTCAAAATAAAAAGAGCTGGGAATGTGGCCTAGTCGCTAAGCACCCCAGATTTAATCCCCAGTACCAAAAAAAGAGGGCTACGGGATAGAGTTGTGGCTGAGCTCAACACCACATAAAAATAAATAAATAAACGAAATAAAGATATTGTACCACAAAAAAAATTTTTTAAATAACTATAAAACTTCTTTATATGATTTTTACAAGACTCAGTTTACATAGCATAGATTTTCTTTTTTTTCCTTTTTTGGCGGTGCTGTGACCCAGAGCCTCACACATGCTAGGTAAGCATCCCACTACTGAGCCACATACCCAGCCCCTTTATTTTTTTATTTTGAGAAAGGATATCACTAAATTACACAGACTGACCTTAAACTTGTTATTCTCCTGAGTAGCTGGGATTACAGGTATGTGCTACTACATCTAGCTCAACCCTTCATTTTTTAAATTATAAGAGCGATGCAGGTATAATGGTGAAAAAAAAAAGTGTTCATTGGGTTTGTTTTCCAGTTTACTTAGTACATACACTTTTTCATATGGTTGTAAAATCATCATCATATATTTATGTGGTGAGCTGTGCTGGGTATTGAACCTAGAACCCCATATTGCTAAGCACACTCTGTATTGAATAACCCCAGACAATGATTTTGTTTGTTTGTTTGTTTGTTTTGTTTTGTTTAAGAAAGAGAGAGAGAGAATATCTTTTTTTGTAGATGGACACAACACAATGCCTTTATTTTTCTTTTTATGTGGTGCTGAGAATTGAACCTGGGTCCCGCCTGTGCTAGGTGAGCGTTCTACCACTGATCCACAATCCCAGCCCCAACAATAATTTTTTTTTTTTTTTTAAGAAGGAAATGGCTTGATCTTTATAATGATCCTATAAAGCAGTTTTTTTTTTTTTTTTAAAGAGAGAATTTTTAATATTTATTTTCGACGGACACAACATCCCTGTTTGTATGTGGTGCTGAGGATCGAACCCGGGCTGCACGCATGCCGGGCGAGCGCGCTACCGCTTGAGCCACATCCCCAGCCCCAACAATAATGTTTTAAAATAAAATGCAGGATAGAGTTGGGGATATAGCTCAGTGGTAGAGTGCTTGTCCTGCAGGTAGGAGACCCTGAGTTCCATCCCTATCACTACAAATATAAATAAATAATTAAACTTCAGGATATGTTTCCCCTCACCTCCCAGGACTGGTAATTGAACCCAGGGTCTTGGACATGGTAGATAAGCGCTTTACCACTGAGTTACATCCCCTTTTTTTGTTTGTTTTCTTCAACAGGGTCTCACTAAGTTGCCCAGCCTCCCAAGTAGCTGGGATTACAGGCATACACCTCTACACCAGACTTTGAATATTTTTTCATGGTACATTCTGTCCAGGAATTCTTCTGATGTATACCAGTTTGATATCTTATCATTTGTTCAGTCAGTATTTACCGAGTCCCTGCAACTACATAGGTCCAGTCCTAGACTTTGGAGATATAGCTATAAACAGGGGAAACAAAGAGGTTTTAATCTGTTCTATCTATTACTTGTTTGATATTGTTGTCAGTGATTGGTACCTGCCTAAGGGGAGGTGCCCTAAAACCCTGGGAATGAGGGTGACCAGAGTTTTTTTTGAGAATTTGACTATAACAGCTGTATGTAAAGAAACAGAACAGAAATGTCTTAATTGTCTGATGAAGACAAAATCAGATCCAGGCTAGGGAGACTGTACCTTCAATTTCCTTAACAAGTCAGAAGAGTGGCAGATATCCTTGAAATCATGAAAGGTGAATCAGAGATGAATAGCAGGAGTGTCCAACCTAATGCTGGGCAGGGAGCAGGAGTCTGCCAGTATACTTCATTGAACCATGTCTCTAGAGGGGAATTGCTTCAGGCTAGGTCTCAAGCAGTCAGACGTGGAGTCCACCTGACACCTCTGGCTAAGTCCTGCTGACCAAGCAGACATTGAACTCGCAAGGAATAGCATTTGTAGTTCCTATAATAGGGATTTATTTGTATAGTATTCAGCTTCTGCTTATGGCTTGGTTACCCATCTAGCTTGACTATAGAGAGAAAATGAGGACATCCATTATATGGAACCCTTATGAATCTCCTTACAAACCAACCAGTGGCATGATGTGGTTAGCTTCTGTCTCCTTCATGTTTGTTGGCACTTATAAGACACTCTGGGGCTGGAGTTGTAGCTCAGTGGTAGTGAACTTGCCTCCCAAGTGTGAGGCACTGGGCTCGATCCTAGCACCACATAAAAACAGTCCATATACAATTTAAAATTAAAAAAAAAAAAAGCAAAAGACACTCTGGAGCCCTTCAGAGAACAATGAATGGAAACACTGCCACATACTGAGCTTGAGTTATGTTGTTGTGATTCTTCTCATCTAGGATCACTGGTAAGAACCCTAGGATCACTGGTAAGAACCCAGACCTCTTTCATGTGCCTGTTCACATATGGTTTATATGTCACTGCAGGCAATAGATTCTTTGTGGTCTTGGCATTCTGACTTTGGTTAGTAGCAACTATGGCTACTATGCACTGAGAAGGAAAAAGCTTTACACCAACACTGGGCTTCAGCCCTGATTGATAAATGCAAGATGTAGAAGACAAGTTGTTGTGAGCTTGTCAGAGCAGGTGCTGTTTGTAATGGTGTAACATTAGAAGTGTAACTCTTAAAGAGTTAAATGTGGCTCCAGACTGAAGCATAGCCTTCAGAAATCACTCAGCTTTTTAGAGATTTGATATCCTCATCTATATAATGGGAATAATAAATAACAGCTCTATTTTAGGGCCGTGCAAGACTTAAATTAGGTGACCATAGATGAACAATGATTATTACAAAACCAGAGTAACTACTTAAATAGATGGCACAGTATCTGTGGATGTAGCTCACTGTAGAGCTCATGCTTAGCATATGCAAAGCCTTGAATTTGATCCCCAGCACACACACGCATACACACACCAAAAAAAAAAAAAAAGATCACCCTAATGAACCATAGTGATAAGACTACTGGAATACTGTTTGTTTTGTTTTGGTGTTTCATGGGAAATGTGGTGGCACATACCTATAATCCCAGTGGCTCAGGAGATTGAGGCAAGAGGATCTCCAGCTCAGAGCCAACCTCAACAACTTAATGAGGCCCTAAACAACTAATGAGACCCTGTCTTAAAATTAAAAAAAAAAACTCTGTAGTTTGAAATACTTCTTAGATCATCCTAAATCCAGATTCTCTAGCCATGTTACCTGACTTTTGTAGCTGGCAGAAAAAATAATAATAATAATAATAACCTCCCAAGATCTTGAGAAGGGAGAGAAAAATTGGTCTTGACTTTGATAAGGGAGACAAACCTAACCATTAGAAACTATCTTAAATACATGGGTTCTGGAGACAGACTGCCTGAATTTGAATCTCTTACTAGCTGTGTGACTATGGGCCAATTATTTAATCTCTATACTCAGTTCCTAATCTGAAAGTAGGAATAACTTATACTAATTGCACAGGGTTATTGTGAGGATTAAATGAGTTAATCTGCATAAAGCATTTAGAACAGTCCCTGGTCACATAGGAAATGTTACATAAATGTCTGCTTATATTTGTTTTTATTTCTTCATTTAAGGAGCCGTGTAAAGCCAGTGGAATATAGCCAGATGTATAGTTACAGCTATAACCAGTATTACCAACAGTACCAGAACTACTATGCCCAGTGGGGCTATGACCAGAACACAGGCAGCTACAGCTACAGTTACCCCCAATATGGCTACACCCAGAGCACCATGCAGGTAACTGATTTGGTAAAGCAGCCACTCTTGGGTTACTTTTCTCCTCTAGAAATGGGTCAATCTCCAGGATGGGATTAGTAACAGGGCTTAGCTTTCACAAAAAGTGGGAAAGCTAAAGTGACCCAATTTTTATTAAAAACAAGCCACTATGCCCACAGGCTAGGATTTCATCATGTTCATCTCTTCCCTTTCTGGTCTCTTGACAGACATATGAAGAAGTTGGAGATGATGCATTGGAAGGTAAGAAAGAGTTTATTCATTCATTCCTCTGTCAAGGGTTATCATGTGATTGCTTTATGGTTGGCATTGTGCTTGAGCTAGATTCTGAGGAATGCAAGGTAAAGTCTGCTCTGGAGGACTTTACATTCTTCTGAGAAAGCCAGACACATACATGATAATGGCAAAGCGTGAAGCCAGAGGTGTGAGTGCAGATCCCTTGGAAAATGTCCACACAATTCGGTAGTTTTTCAAATAGTCACAAAGTTGTGCATCCACTACTACTGGTTCCAGAACATTTTCTCATCCCTAAAAGAAACCCTGCAACCATTAGCAGTCACTCTGTATACCCCTCTTCCAGCCCCTGAAAACCACTCGTATACTTTTTGTCTGGACTTTCTTTGGGGCGGGGTTACTAGGGGTTGAACCTAGAAGTGCTATACCACTGAGCCACATCCCAACCCTTTTTATTATTTATCTTTTTTTGAGACAGGATTTTGCTAAATTTGTTAGGGCCTAAATTGCTGAGGCTAGCCTTGGATTTACAGTCCTCCTGCCTCAACCTTGAGAATAGCTGGGATTAGAGGTATGCACCACCACATCAAGCTTCTAGGAGTTTTAAATAAATAGAATCATATGTAATATATGATCCCTTTTGAATAGCATCTTTCACTTAGCATAGTGTTTTCAAGGGTCATTTGCATTGTAATCTTTCAGTACTTCATTTCTTTGGGGACCAAATAATATTCCATGCATTTTGTTTAGCCATTCATCAATTGATAGTCATTTGGGTTGTTTTCACCTTGGGCTGTTATGAGTAGTGCTATTATAAATATTCATGGATGAGCTTCGGTGTGAATAAAGACAAGTTTTCATTTATTTACTTATTTTTAGTTGTATATGGATTCAATGCCTGTATTTGTTTTTATGTGGTATTAGGATGGAACCCAGTTCCTCACACTTGCAAGGCAAGTGCTCTACCACTGAGCTACAACTCCAGCCAAGTTTTCATTTCTTTTAGGTACATATCTAGGAGTAGATTATTTGGTGAACTGTTTAACCAGTTATTTTGCCAAACTTCCATATTACCTGCCCCGTTTTATATTCCTTCCAACATGTTTGACATTCCAATTTCCCCACATCCTCATTGGCACTTGGTCTTTTTCATTCTAAGTGCCTGGGTTTGCAGGGTATCTCATTGTGTGTTTTTTTTTTTTTTTTAAGATTTTTTTTTTATACATTGATTTTATTTATTTATTTTTATGTGGTGCTGAGGATTGAACCCAGGGCCTCGCACCTACAAGGCGAGTGCTCTACCACTGAACCACAACCCCAGCCCATCATTGTGGTTTTGATTTGCTGATTACTAATAGTGTTGATCATCTTTTCATATGCTTTTATTGGTCATTTGTTTATCTTTGGAAAAATGTCTACTTAGCCTTTGCCCATTTTTTAATTGGTTTGTCTTTATTGTTGAGTTACTAGAGTTAGAGTCTTTATATCTTATTCTGGATAGTATTCTCTTGTCACATGTATGACTTGCAAATATTTTCTCCCATTTCATAGGTTATTTTTTCACTTTATTGACAGTCTTTTTTCCCCCACAGTATTGGGAATCAAACTCAAGGGTACTCTACCACTGAGGTACATCCTCAGCCCTTTTTTGGCAGGGTGCAGGTACTCCCTAAATTGCTGAGGTTGGCTGGCCTCAAACCTGCAATCCTGCTGCTTCAGCTTTCCAAGTAATGGGGATTATAGATGCATCTTGACCATAATTCTTTTTTTTTTTAATTTTTTTTTGTTGTTGTTGTTGTAGATGGACAGCATATCTTTGTTTATTTTTATGTGGTCCTGAGGATCGAACCCAGTGCCTCATATGTACAAGGCAAGCACTCTGCCACTAAGCTAATGCCCCAGCCCTTAGACCATAATTCTTTTATCAGACATTTGTCAGTTCTTTGAGATGGCACTTTGGACACAGCAACTGTGTATGTGGTGCTGGGGATCAGACCCCAGGCTTTTGCACATTGTGAGACAAGCACTTAACTACTGAGCTATACCCTTGGCCCAACTAAATGCTGTTGTTGTTTTGAGGTGGGTACTGGGGATTGAATTCTACCACTGAGCCACATCTCCAGGCCCCCCCCTTTTTTTCAGTTGTAGTTGGACACAATACCTTTATTTCATTTATTTATTATGTGTTGCTGATCCTCATACATGCTAGGTAGGCGCTCTACCACTGAGCCACAATCCCAGCCCTCCCCAACCCTATTTTAGAAACAGGGTCTCACTGAGTTGCTTAATACCTCACTGTTGGCTGAGCCTGGCTTTGAACGCGCAATCCTCCTGCCTCTCAGCCTCCCTAGCCACTGGGATTACAGGCATGCACCACTGCGCCTGGCCAACTCAGTGATTTTTAAAAATATTTATTTATTTTTAATATTTATTTTTGGGTTGAGGCACAACCCCAACCCAAAATTAGTGATTTTGACCAGATTTTTCAAGCCCAAATTTGAAATGAGGACCAGACCAGAAAATCCAGGGCATGATTACTAGATATAGGTGTATCTTTTTTTAAGTATTTGCATTTATTTTTTTAAAATGTTTATTTTTCAGTTGGACACAATGTCTTTCTTTATTTTACTTTATTTGGTGCTGAGGTTCGAACCCCGTGCCCCATGCATGCTAGGTAAGCGCTCTACCTCTGAGCCACAACCCCAGCCCCTAGTTGTAGCTTTTAATGAATATGCAAGAAAAAACAAACCCCATTATAGGTATTATATTCTCTTAAGAACATTATCATTTTCATCCTGGCGATCTTGCCCCTCCAAGAGGCCTAGGAGTAGGAAACTGGGTCCAGATCCCTTGTAGTTGTGCCTTAGTCTGCCCTGACCCCATCCTTGCTTTTCCCCCCAGACCCCATGCCACAGCTGGATGTGACTGAGGCCAACAAGGAGTTCATGGAACAGAGTGAGGAGCTGTACGATGCACTGATGGACTGCCACTGGCAGCCCCTGGACACAGTGTCTTCAGAGATCCCTGCCATGATGTAACCAGGACAACGGACAAGTCAGGATGGACTGACTTAAAAAAAGTGAAAACATTTGCTTTTGGAAATGATTTGTAAGATTTTAATGACTTTACTAAGATTATTACTACTTCTGCAACTCTGCTGCCTCTTACTTGGTAGTGAACTATGAGTGTGAAAACCAAGAGACCAACTGTTCAACAAGGCTCAAATATTTTGTTGAACTAGTCATTTGCCCAAGTAGTATGTTTACACTCAAACTCCTGGACAAAGGGCAGTTTGGGGTCAACAAGTGGATCATGAGATTCATTTACTAAACCCTGGTTTATAAGCCATTCTCAGGCATCTAAATTCCTTGGGTCAGAATTTGTGGAGTTTCTGCTGTGTCAGCAATATTCAAGGCTACCAGGTAAGCTAGGAAAGGTGACTCACTGAAGAGGAACTTATTGGTAGAAGTGATCCCAGCTTCTCTAGAGCCAAGGCAGGATTGTAAATTAAAAACCAGTCTAAGCAAAATTGCTATACTAAAAAATTAAGAGGGTGGGGGCACTGGGGTGATAGAGCCTCACACATGCAAGGCAAGCACTCTACCACTGAGCTACAACCCTAGCCCTAAAAAATAAAGCTGGGCGTGGAGCAAACACCTGTAATTCCCACAACTCTGGATTCTGAGGCAGGATTAAAAGTTGGAAGACCAGCCTCATCAAGTTTGTACTTGTCTCAAAGTGCAGGGGATATAGCTCAATGGCAAAGTGCCTGAGCAAAGTATGTTCAAAGACATTACTAATTGGGCATGGTGGCACTCACCTATATCCCATCAACTAGCTTAGTATGGTGGTGCACACCTGTGATCCCATCAACTGAGGCCAGAAGATTAAGAGAATCTAATACAGGGAGCCAGATACAGTGTAATCCCAGTGGCCTGAGAGACTAAGAATCATAATTTCCAAGCCAGCCTCAGCCACAGCTAAACAACTCAGTGAGGTGCTATCTCTAAATAAAATAGAGCTGGAGATGTTGCTCAGTGCCCCTGGGTTCAGTCATTACAGTGTCATGTGTCCCAAGCCCCCCTTCCCATTTCTTGGCCTTAATTGCCTAAACTAAGTAGGTATTCTATATGGTGGTTCACAAGAGGTAATATGATTAAAGTGACTTGGTGTGAGCCAGAATCCATGCCAGACTCATACCCATCCTTTATCAAGTATATCCAATACCAGACACTTCTGAAAGAAAGGTCTATGGTTTATAAAATCTCCATCTCTTCCAATTAATTTTATACCAGAGGAACTGGGGTGGTGTGTACAGTTGCTGCTTTAGGCAAAAAGGATCTAAACAAACAGTCTCAGGCCCAGCAAAAGAAAAAAAATGCAAATTAAAACAGTCAAAAAATGGATCAATCTTTTATGAAGGGATTGGATTATAATTCAGTTGCATATATGGGATATAAGTGAGGAATAAGCAGCAACCTGAGGGACAAACATTTCCAAAGCGCTTTATTGCTTACCAATAGCTACATATCACAGCATTTACAAAGAAAAAAATCTGCTTACAAAGCTACCGTTTTCTTCTTTAATAACTGGTCACATTTTTGTCTGCATCTTCTTTCCCATGGTGTTTTCCTGAAAAGGAAGCATAAGCCCATGTGTTACCACAGCCCTGGGTAATTCCCACCCAGGCACTTTCCTAAGAGCTGGTCTCAGTCCCATATCCGCATTTCTCATCCATAGATGTCCACTCAGATTAGGTTTCATCCTGGACCAGTGAGTGACCCTAAAAATATCTTAACTACTCCTTTCTAACCATTAGTCTACCTCCCACTCTCCCAGGGGTAGAGATGAGGTCACACAAAAAATTATGGCGTAAGCTCCAGTCACTACAGGGTATTTGCAGCTCAGTCCTTCTTACCCAAGGAGCAAAGCTGTTCCCTCTGCTGCTTCCAGTAGCTGTGCTTATGGCAAATTTACAGATAACTTGAGGGGCTGGGGCTCAGTGGTAGAGCACTTGTAGGGCATGTGAGGCCCTGGGTTAGATCCTCAGCATCACACTGACAATTAAATGGTTTTTAAATGCTAAAATTTCCATACAGACAACAGTAACATTTTTTTAAACACTTTTTAAGTAATATCTGTTACACTGCTTAAGGACAGGGTTTGCAATAGTATAGCACTGCCTGAAGCTAGAAGGAAGGTGTGATAAACTTCAGGTAGTAAATAACTCACCCAACTCTGTAGCCAATTATCACAGATGAAGACAACTTTCTGGTTACAAAGACCTTTAAAAAAAAGACACCCTCTATCAAGAGAGAAGAAAACACCCCTCAAATACAACATTATCCAGCAATTCCTAATCAAATGCACACAGCATCACACTCATCCTCTTATCCTCCATTCACACTCATCCATCCTCTTATCCTCCATTCACTCCATTCACTCCTGTTTGAAATTAGCCCATGTGTTAGAAAACAGACTAGAACACCATTAAGGCCAGCTTCAGTATTACTTTTCCTCCTTTTACGACCACCAAGACCAGTATTCAGATCCGATGGGAAAGGGAACCAGAGGGTCAAAATGTAACTTTACCATGGTAACTTTACCTTAATCTAAAGCACAACTCCAGAAACAAGCTGGTCTTTTCACTCTTCAATATCACACCTGGGGGCAACCTGCAGAATCAAAGCTTATTGTGAAGGCTCTAAATCAGTTGATCCAGTACAACTGCCTACATGGAAGTTGATGGAACACACCTGGACCTGGTGTAGCAGGCTTCCAACCCAGGTCCTGATGACTTTATAGGAAAGGTGAGTGGCAGCTGCAGGTATTGTGCTGACCTGAGCTGTCAAAGTCTCTCCAGTTGTTCTTGCATGCAGTTGGAGATCCCATGGCCACAACCAGCCACAGCCCTTGGAAACATGCTGTACTGTACCACCAGGGAGCTCCCCACGTAGCTCCAAAAGTAACTTACCAAGTCCTGAAGTTGTCGCATTTCATCACCATGACCCTCACTCGCCACCATCTTCATAGCATCTTGATCTGGCATGGCTAAGATGAAAGACAGCACAACTGTCCTGATTGATCTTAGCATTTCCTTCATCCAATCATAAAGGTCTGCCTGGCTTTTAATCCTGATACTGATGACTTAGCTTTTCAGGACAGAGACCAAACCACTGCCATTCTCTGTGCCACTGATCTTTCCAGGACAGGATCCCACACACTCCCAAATGCCCTTTCATTCTGGTTCCTGGGCTCAACTAGTTATTTTTCAAAACACCTCACCCTGATAACTCTACGTTCAATATTAATAAAGGTCTCCAGCTAACCCTAAGAAATATCAAGAACAATGAAGTTGTCTTTTCCCAAAATGTTGCAGATCAGTTACAGCAAACAGAACGGCGACCGTCAAGGAAAACTGCTGCTCTGGGCTCCTTTTTGACCACAGCAGCTATGTGGAAGCAGCTGCAGCTTCGATAAGGGCCAGGGGGCAATGGAGACCACAGAACCTCAAAGCCAAACCACACTTATCCTTCCTAATTCACCTAAATCCTGTGCATCATTGGCTACCAAAGGACACTAGTCATCCTGTAGGCCCTAAGGGCTGTACTGTGTACCAGTCTTTTGTATGTATTATATCAATCTCAAAGAATCATTTTAAAGGGTTGGAGATGCCGCTCGGTGGCAGAGTGCTTGCCTAGCATGTGGGTTCAATCCCAAGCACCACAGAGGGGGGGAAGGGCCACGGGGGGGGGGGGCAGGAAAAAGAGCGTCTGAACGACTCCAAAACCCTCCTCCTGAAAATCTTGTCCTTACATTCACACCAAGATACCTTCTAGAATTCTCCTAATAGTTAAAGTCAATTGTCCAAGGTCACGCAGCAGTTCTCAGGCTCACCGATTGGTGTTATTACCTAAATTAGGTGATCTGAGGCCCAAGACTTCAACCCCAAGTGCCTAATTACATACCCAACTCGTTTACAGCACCCGGCCGCCCGCTTGCCTCATCCACGGGTCAGGCGCCAGCTTACGGCTGCGCCAGCAAAGACGGGAAGAGGACACCGCCCCGCGGGTGCCGACCCGTCTCACTACGCAGGCGGCCGTCGTGGCCTGCAGCCCAGGCCAAGACGCCCGGCCAGGCACTCTACATCCCGCAGTCTCTAGAGGCAGCCCGAACGAGTGCGGGCCCATGGAAGCGAGCTAAGACGGCTAAGGGCACCGGCCTCGTGGTTCCAGGCCCAGACATCACCAGCAAGAGAGACAGGAGAAAGGACGCACGGGCGCCGGCAGCGGGCTTATATATGCCCAGTCTGCGACTGCGCCTGCGCTTCCTGAGCGCCGCGCGGGGCTGCTGGGATCTGTAGTCCGCGCGCCCAGGCGCAGCCCCACGCGCGTGGCTGGCAGTGTGTGGTTTCTGCCGGGCCGGAGTGGTTACTTCAGCTCGATTCCGGATCCTCGGATTGCCCACATCCAGTCCAGGGCCCTGGGCTTACAACTGAAGCTTACTGGTCTTGCCCTCCAAATTCAGTCTCTGGAGAGACCTTCGATTATCCCGCTGAGCTGTGAAAGGGCTTGACTCGGCGCGCCTTGGGATACCTGGAGTAGCAACTGAAAGGGTTTCCGCAAGGGAGCAGTGAGGTTTGGGAGTGGAGGTCTTGGGAGTGCTTCTCAAAGGAGGCGATTGAAGACTCACATTAATGCATTGTTTAAGGCTTGTCTCATCCGCTAACATATAACTTTGCTGAGTGCTTTCTGTTAACACTGAGCTCGGTTATCTCATCTAGTTTTCGTAACAACTCTGTGTGTAGGTATCATAGTTCTGCTCATTTTCTAAAGGAAATTGAGGAATGGCTCTCTAGTGAGTGATAAGTCAAGCCCAGAGATCACACAGTCACTACAGTATGTTTTTGTGCTATATTTTACCCATGGAATAAATGAGTAAGCGTCAACATAAAAATATTGGTATTTTTAATACCAATAGTAGTTGCCAAACAACTTAATCTGGTAATTTTTTACCTGACGTACACCTTAATAACTAGGTTAGCAGGGCGCGGTCCTGCGCCTGTAGTTTCAGCTATCTGGGGAGCTGGAGACCTACCTCTGCAACCGAAGAAGAGCTTAGTTCAAAAGAAAAAGAAAAAAAAAAAACAGTAGGTTCTACTAGTATTCTCATTTTTTGGAGAAAACAGATTCTGATTGGATTTGAAACTCATGACTTTCAAATGTGCATTTCCAGCTCCACTTCTCTCCCAAGCTCCAAACTTAACCCTCTGAATCTTCCTTGACATCACCTAGAGGTCTAATAGTCTTCTTAGAACACAACAGCTGCTCTTCCCCGTTTTGGCATGTCCTTGAAGAGACCCTCTACTCCAGTCTTTTTGTAATATTCCATGTTCAATTCGTCAGCAAATCCTATGTGCTGTGCCTTAAAAATGCATCAAGAATCTGACCGTTTCTTACTGCCTCCACAGATGCTACCACTGTCACTCAGCTGCTCACCTGAGTGGTAGCAGTAATTTCCCAACTAGTCTCTCAGATTCAACCATTGGCCCCTACCCCTTCCATATGGTCTCAACACACCAGCCAGGGTGTTAATAGCAAAGGTTTTTAGTTTGGGGGGCTGGGGGTGTAGCTCAGTGATGGTTTGTGTACTTAGCATGAATGAGGTCCTGGGTTCAATTCTCTGCAAACCCCACCCCCTGCAACACCACCCCAAAAAAGAAAAAAAAATCTACTTTGAGTTCATTTTTCTGTATGGTGGAAGGGAGGTAAGTCAGTGATGACTGACATCCCCAGCTCTTTATTTTTAGACAGGGTCTCATTAAGTTGCCAAGGGCCTCCCTAAACTGCTGAGGCTGGATGGAACTTACCATCCTCCATCCTCAGTCTCCAGAGTCACTAGGATTACAGGCATGCACTACAGTACCCAGCCCATGCCTAGTCTTTTGAGGAACCTCCATACTTATTTCCATAGTGCTGTACTAATTTACAATCCTACCAACAGTATAAAAATGTTCCTTTTTTCTCCATATCCTCTTCAGCATTTATTATTGATTGTATTCTTTGTTTTATTTTTGTGTGTGTATTTTGGGGGGTTACTGGGGATTGAACTCAGGGGTATTCAGCAACAGAGCCACATCCCCAGCCCTATTTTGTATTTTATTTAGAGACAGGGTCTCACTGAGTTGCTTAGCACCTCAATTTTGCTGAGGCTGGCTTTGAACTTGCGATCCTCTTGCCTCAATCTCTGGAGCCTCTGGGATTTCAGGCATGCACCACCACACCCAGGTGATACTTTAGCTTCCTGACTAGGCAGGGTCATTGCCCCTTGCCAGCCTGAAGCAGTCACTGAAGGATCTTCACCCCTCACCAACCCTTAAGATTAAGGGACCAAAGTCTAGGCTGAATGAGATAGGGATTTAGGATAAAAAGAGAGATATAGTGAGTCTTTTTTAAAACAAATTTTTCTTTATTTTATTGTTTATTTATATGCAGTGCTGAGAATCAAACCCAGAGCCTCACACATGCTAGGCAAATACTCTAACACTGAGCCCCAGCGGAAATAATGAGTCTTAAAGGAAATGCATTCAAGCCATGAGATGCAGAAAACACAGTTATAAATTTTGAGTGACATGCCGCCCTTGGTCAATGCCCTTGTAAAATGAGGAAAATGCCCAAACCCAGGGAAAACACGCCAAAAATTGTGCAGCTCCACCTCCAATCCAAAGTCTAACTACAGTGCTTCTATAAATATTCAACTCATCTCAACCTAAGGAGGGTCTTCTCGCTCCGGATAACCCGCATTCTCCCTTGAAAGCCTGTCTACTTCCTAAATAAACCTCTGTTTATGCTTTTGTCTGACTTGAGCTGAAATTCTTTTCCTTCACATATCCCAAGAACCCTGCTGGTCCTGAGTCAAATTTCCCCTCCCCTCTGGGAATTCCTTGGATTCTTCTCTGGAAATGTCTCTTCTCCAGGACAGAACTACAACCCAGATCTATCTGATGAGAATGTGCAGAACTTTTGCTATTGCAACACAAGGTGCCTCCAGAACCACCCTATAAGGTGGGTCCATGATTTGCCTTGCTTAGCAGAAAGAAAACAGGGTTCAGAGAAGGGAAATAGCTTGTCTCTTGGGTCACACAGTGATTCTAGGGCAGACTAGCTGATGTCTAGATTCTGCTGGCCCGTGCAATCATAGGCAGACACATGACCCCAACCCACAGCTGGAGGGTCTGGGAGAGGGAGGAAGTTCAAGATGCTGACAGTGAGTGCACTGTCACATGAGCTGACCAGAAAGGCTTCGGGGAGGCTGGGTTCAAGCAGCATTTCCAAGGTCAATTTCCTACAGCTCTGCCTTTGCCCAGCTGCTCTGGCCAGAATTACTTGGAAAACTGATAAAATGGCTTCCCACTGAGATGTTTAGAATCAGTCAGGAAAAACCTGGCTTTTCTCAGATCCCCAAACTCTCCAGTTAGAAACAGAAAGAGTAAACAAAGCTTTGGTCTTGAGTAAACTTGGCAGCTAGTCTGTCTTCCTTGCTGAGTGAGCCTAAATTAGATATTTAACTTCTCTGAGTCTGTTTTTTTCTTCCTCTGTAACAATGAGCAGAATAGTGCCACCTATTCACAGGTTGTGCAAAGAAAAACTATAATGACATGATGATTTCAATAGTTCCTCAAACCACCAATTTGCAAAAACAAACTGGTAAAACTCCTCACACTGGTACAAGCCTGTAATCCCAGCTGCTGCAGAGGCTGAGGCAGAAGGATCCTAAGGTCAAGGTCAGCCTCTACCAATTTAGAGAAACCATGTATCAAAAAGAAAGGCTGGGGATGTATCTTAGTGGTGGAGGGCCCCTGGGTACAATCCCCACTTTCCATCCCCATATACAAAGGGTTACTACATAAAGCACAAAGAAATGATCATCTGGCTTCATAAATGTCATCGGACCAGCTGTACCACTAGAGTTGCAGATGGCAGTGAAGGATATGGAAGACAGCAATCCCCAGGAAAAAAGAAAACAACCCCCAGGGAGAAAGAAGGACAATGGGTTCAGGGACAGAAGGAAAACAATGGGCTTTGGACTTTCACCATTTCCCAGCAACAAAGGTTTTGAACTTGGACAACTGTTCCCCCTGACTGCCCAACCTAGGAACTCTGCTGTGAGTCAAGTCTCACTTAAACCCTATTAAAAAAAAAAAATCAGACCCCCTCTCATAACCAGTTGCCATTTTCTCCCCTGAAAATGTGTCCCTCAGCTACTTGATAATAAAAAGCACCATTGATTCGTCAAGGTCTTTCCCTGTTTCGGTTACTTTTGCTTTCAGGCAGAGTTTGTTCAAATTCCCTCCGGGAGCCTGCTCTCCAGCACTGACCTGCATGGTAGAAGGAGGGGAACTGTTTAACATTGAACCTGAACCTTGAGCTGGATGCCCCAGGCAGGTCTAATAGGGCTCCAGGAAAGGGGCACCACAGTGATGTCCTCGGTCCAGAACCAGCAGGGCAGGGGGCTGGAGAGAGACACCACTCCAGTGAGTGGATCAATGAATGGATGTTCCAGCACCCTTGATCTCTCAGGCCAATGCTTGCTTGGCCAAGCTTTCCGTATTCCTCCTCCCCACTATCCAGCTTAATCTCTCTATCCAGTGGAGTAGGGATTATTAGCCCTATTTTACAGAAGTGAAAAAATTTTTAATTCTTTTTTAAAATTGTTTTTATTTTTTAGTTGCAGTTGGACACAATACCTTTATTTATTTATTTTTATGCCTTTATTTATTTATTTTTATGTGGTGCTGAGGGTGGAACCCAGAACCTCGCACCTGCTAGGCGAGCGCTCTACCGCTGAGCCACAACCCCAGCTGCAGAAGGGAAAACTTTTTACAGAAGAAATGACTTCCTTCATCCCAACTCCTTGGGGTCTGATCTTCTCTGTGTTGAAAATGTCCCATGGTCCCCCCCATCCTCTGTCTGCTGGTGACCCTTCGCTCAGGGCGGGAAGCAGCGATCGGCTGAAGGAGGAGGACCCGGCGGGCAGGGGCGGGGCCAGACAAATAGCCCCGAGGACCGCGTTTCGGTATTTGGCTATGGAGACCTGGGATTGCCGCTACCAGTTTCGGATCGCGCTGCTTGGAGAGGCAGCGGTGGGCAAGACGTCGCTGCTGCGACGTTACGTGGCGGGGGCGCCTGGGCTGGAGACCGAGTCCGAGCCGGAGCCCACCGTGGGCGTCGAGTTCTACAGCCGCGCGCTGCAGCTGACTGACGGGCCGAGGGTCAAGCTGCAGCTGTGGGACACCGCGGGACAGGAGCGCTTCAGGTGCGGCCGCTGGGGCGGTGGGCAGGGAGGCGCAACACGGAGGGGCCTCTGGTTTGGGGGGAGGGGGGAAGGGGCCCCTGGCCATGCAGATCCCCGACTTCATCCCTCCCTGGGTCTCTGCAGATCGCTCTGGCCAGACCCCTCCTCCCTCTATACTTCATTTTACAAATACCGCGTGTGGGCCAAGTCCCACAGCGTCGTTAGGTAAGCACTTTACCTCTGAGCCACATCCCCAGCCCCCAGTGCTAGAGGAACATTCAGTTTTTCGGGGATTTGCACCCCAGCTTTCAACTCGATGTATGACCTGGTTGCCAAAATTCCCATAGGCCAAAGGGGGAGGTGTCAGGGGAATGTCAAAGGAAGAGAGACTGGCGCCTGGCCTGATGGCACAGACCTGTAATCGTAGTTACTGGGGAAGCCAAGGCAGGAGGATTGCAAGTTTGTAGCTTTGGCAGTGTAGCAGGACCCTGTCTCAAAATAAAAAGTCCTGGGAACATAGCTTAGTGGTAGAGCAATCGCATAACACGCGAGAGGCCCTGAGTTCAATCCTCAGAACTGCAGAAAATAAAAAGAGAGAGAATATGAGAATTTATGTTGGCCCTGAAGGATGAGTAGGAATTTGTCCGGCAGAGAATGGAGAACAGGGAATCACCAAGGCTCCTCCAGGATTTGTAACTCAGACTTGCTTCCAGACTGGGGAGTGTCCGAGTGTTGGGAGAGAGACAGACGCTGACCTGTCAAGAAGCACAGGGCTGTGAATGAGCTAGAGTGGGGTGTGAGACATTCTGTGGGTCCTAGGGAGAAGGTCCAATCTCTGGGGATATCTTGGTGTCCTCAAGCTCTCCTAACTTACCGTTCCCCCTCCCCAGGTGCATCACCAGGTCCTTCTACAGGAATGTGGTGGGAGTTCTGCTGGTCTTTGATGTGACAAACAGGAAGTCCTTTGAACACATCCCAGACTGGCACCAGGAGGTCATGTCCACTCAGGGGCCCAACAAGGTGATCTTCCTGCTGGTTGGCCACAAGAGTGACCTGCAAAGCACTCGTTGTGTCTCTACCCAAGAGGCAGAGGAGCTGGCTGCCTCCCTGGGTATGGCCTTTGTGGAAACTTCAGTCAAAAACAACTGCAGTGTGGCTCTGGCCTTTGATGTCCTTACCACTGCTATCCAGCAAGCCCTGCAGCAGGGGGACATCAAACTGGAGGAGGACTGGGGGGGTGTCCGGCTCATTCACAGGGCCCAAATCCCTAGGTCCTCTAGCAGGAAACAGCACCCAGGCTCATGCCAGTGTTGACTTGGGAAAGAAGGTGTTAAAGTAGAGCAGACTTCAGATTCCCTGGTGGGACAGAGTGTTAGTATCTTTGGAGGGCAAATGAGGAGGGTTAATTTCAATGGAATCTTTTTTGTTGTTGTTGTTGTTACCAAGGATTGAACACAGGGGTGTATGGCCTCTGAGCCACATTTCCAGCCCTATTTTGTATTTTATTTGGAGACAGGGTCTCACTGAATTGTTCAGTGGCTTGCTTTTGCTGAGGCTGGCTTTGAACTCGCAATCTGATCCTCTTGCCTTAGCCTCCCAAGCCACTGGGATCACGGCGGTTCGCCACCATGCCTGGCTTCAACAGAATCTTAACAAGGTCATGCCTCCTGTATTTTGGGGGTTTAGCTCAACCCCTTTCTAGATTAAGGTTAAACCAATTATGCAATGTCCTTTCCTTAAGTCTCAGTTTCCTCATCTGTCAATAAGGCTTATAAGAGATGACCATGAAAGAAATTATAGGTGTGCTCACTCAGAGTCTGCCATTCTGAGAACTGAATGACAAAAGCTGTCATCCCCTCCAGTATCTTTCTTGGCTTAGGCTGTTTCTGGAAGCATTCCTGGGCTTAGCGTCTGGACGCTGCTGCTCTGGCAATGAGTGTGGGGAATTCCAGTACAAGACTGGCTTTTAGAGCCTCCTTAGGTCCTCAGGCCAGAAAGAGTTTGGGCATGGAATCAGATGTGGCCTCAATCTAGGGTTGCTGCCCAGTGTTCCCACAAGCCCAGGGTCTAAATGAGTGTGGGAGGCAGGGCTGAACATGAATGTGTAGCAAGCATGCTGAGCACACAGTGGACACTACAATGAGCCACCAAGGGCAGAGGGATCTATGCTCCCACCTACCACCCTACTCCTGCTGCTGGGAATACTTCGAGGTGACAGACATGATTTGAAATACTCTCTGGGAACTGTCCACCCCTAAAGGGCAGTCCATATCCAATTTCCACCTATGGGTGGGAGGATAAAGGCCTTGCCCTCTCTTCCCAACTCTGAAGATCAAACCCAGATTCATCCCTCTCTATCTAAAGACTTCATTGAGAACCTTATTGTGACAATATCACAGCCAAGTTCTCCCTCCTTCCCTTCCTTCCCCAACCAGGTAGGGACTTGAAGAATGCCCCATAATAAATGTCTGCCTTCTGAAGAATTTAATTTGCTAGGTGAGACTATTGTGGACTTCATGGAAGGAATGGTGCTTATGTTGGGCAGATCTCAGCAGGCATAGAGAGTATGTCACTGTGCCAGTGGGCATGAGCAGAGCATGGACAATTGCCACAGTAAAAAGACCATAACCACTTAACTCATTTTGTGAGTTGGGCCAATTACCTCACCTCAGCCTCGGTTTCCTCCTCAGTAACACGTGACTGATAATCCTTCCTTCCTTGAGTTCTTGGGAGTTTTTTTTTTATATATATTTTTTAGTTGTTGATGGACCTTTATTTTATTCATTTATATGCGGTGCTGAGAAAATTGAACTGAGTGCCTCACACATTTGAGGCAAATGCTCTACCACTGAGCCAGAGCCATAGCCCCAGCCCTCTTGGGAGGTTTTCAGTTAGGTTGTTTCTTAGCTTCCTCCCATGGAGGCTGGTCTAGGGTTGACCTCTCTGGGAATGTGGCCCTCCCTTTTTTAAAAAGAACCTCACTAGGCTGGAACAATGGTACAGGTTTGTAATCCCTACTACTGGGGTGGGGGGTGGGGGGTGGGGGGCGCTGAAGCAGCAAGTTTGAGGCCAGCCTCAGTAATTTAATGAAACTCTGTCTAAAAAAAAAAAAAAAAAAGGTAGGGTGCAGGGGTGTTCGCTCAGTGATAGAATAGTGTCCCTGGATTTTACCCCCAGTACCGCTGAATAAACAAATAATTAAAATAACCTCACTTATCCTTATAGTAACCTTCTAAGGTCTGTACAATTATCCCCATTTCACATATGGGGCCAAGAAAGGGAAAGTATTTGTTTTAGGGCATATTTTCATTCCTTCATCAAAATTTTTCTGAACAAGCATCTACTCTGTCAGAATCCCTGGAGATATAGCAGTGGCCAAAACCGAAAAGCCCTTTGGGGCTGGCATTCTAGTGGAAGAGAGAGAAAAAAAATACAAATAATGAACTAAACGATTTCCAGTTGTAAGTGCTGTGAAGATGTAACAAAAAGTTAAGCTGGGCACAATGGCGCACCTCTGATCCCAGTGGTTTGGGAGACTGAGGCAAGAGGATAGAGAGTTCAAAGCCAGCCTCAGCAAAATCAAGACACTAAACAACTCAGTAAGACCCTGTCTCTAAATAAAATACAAAAAAGGGTCAGTGATTGAGTGTCCTGAGTTCAATTCCCCAGTGCCAACAAAACAAAACAAAAAACTTTAAGACTCTTCACTTTTGCCTATAAGTGTCAGACAGGTAGCTAAAAGCAGGATTAAAGATTTTGCATCTCCGTCTCCATCTTACATCCATCCTCTTTGTTCTGAGTCATCTTGGATTGTAGGAACAAGGCCTGATTCAATAAACATCTTGTGATGAGTGGAAGCTACCTCCCATACTTAGACAAAGGCAACTTTCTTATCTGAGGGCCACCTGACCCATCCTGAGATAATGATGGATAGATCACACCTAATCAAGATCACCTGCTTTGGCAGCTGTGACAAGCCTCTGACTATGCAACCCCATATACACACCTTGTCTTTATTCCCCTATAAAACCTCAAAGTCTCTGACAGGGCTAAGTCCTGTATACTCTTGTCTTTTTGATGTAGTTATACTGATTAAAGTTCCTTTCATGCTTTTTTTTTTTTTTTTTTTAATATTTATTTTTTTGACAGACACAACATCCTTGTTTGTATGTGGTGCTGAGGATCGAACCCGGGCCGCACACATGCCAGGCGAGCGCGCTATCGCTTGAGCCACATCCCAGCCCTCCTTTCATGCTTTTTGCCATTACCTTTTATGTTTGTTTTTTGGGGTGAGTAACCAGATCTGATTTTTAAATCCCCAGAGTCAGATCTTATTTTTTTTTAAGCAGGAGGAGGAGCTGAGCCAAGAGATGGGAACAGAGGAAAAGAAAAATAACTACAGCCCTCTCTGACCAAGCGCTGCTTCCTTTTTTGGGGGGGTTGACCTGGGGGCTTTGCCGCTGAGCTACATACATAGCCCTTTTTATTTTTTGAGACAGGATCTAAGTTGCTGAGACTGGGCTCAAATTTGCCATCTTCCTGTCTCAGTCTCCTATGTCTGTATCTCATTCCCCTGCTAGACTGTCACTCTTCAAGGGCAGGGCTGTTTTTTTTTAATTCTCTTGGAGAGGCTGCCTTGGGCAGGGTAATACTGGGCTTTTCAATTTTTTTTTTTTTTTAAGAGAGAGAATTTTTAAAATATTTTTTAGTTTTCGGCAGACACAACATCTTTATTTGTATGTGGTGCTGAGGATCGAACCCAGCGCTGCGCGCATGCCAGGCAAGCATGCTACCGCTTGAGCCACATCCCCAGCCCTGGGCTTTTCAATTTTTTAAAAAAATAAAGATTGAGCTGGGGCTATAGCTCCGTGGTAAAGTGCTTGCCTTGCATGTGTGAGGCACTGGGTTTGATCCTCAGCACCAGATAAAAATAAAGCTACTGTGTGTTAATCTATAACTAAATAAATATTTTTTTATTTTTTTATTTATTTATTTTTTTTTTTTTAAATATTTATTTATTTATTTTTAGTTTTTCGGCAGACACAGCATCTTTGTTTGTATGTGGTGCTGAGGATCGAACCCGGGCCTCACGCATGCCAGGCGAGCGCGCTACCGCTTGAGCCACATCCCCAGCCCTAAATATTTTTTTAAATAAAATAAAATAAATAAAAGATTAAAGATAGTCCAGAGTATAAAATAAAGACTTCCTTCTACCTATACCTCAGCTTCAACAACTATCAGTGGGTATGGCCAGTCTTGTTTTTCATTTTTTTTTTTTAAATATTTTTAGTTGTAGATGGACACGATACCTTTATTTATTTATATGTGGTGCTGGGGATCAAATCCAGTGCCTCATGCATGCTAGGCAAGCGCTCTACCACGGAACCACAACCCCAGCCCACCAGTCTTGTTTTCAGGTTGTTCTGCAGTTCTGGGGGCTGAACCCAGGGGTGCTTTACATTCTCAGCACTTTTTTTATTGAACCAGGAACTTGTGCATATTAGGCAAGCATTCTACCAACTGAACTATATCCCTAGCCCCTCCCAGCACTTTTTGAGACACAGTCTCCCTAAATTGCCCAGACTGGCCTCAGACTTGGGATTCTCCTGCCTCAGTCTCCCAAGTCACTGGGATTAAAGGCATGCACTATGGAAGCCAGATTGTTTTATTATTTTTGGTTTTTGGCAATGTTAGGGTTGTAACCCTGGGCCTGGCACATGCTAGACAAGTGCTCTACCACTGAGCTACAACCCCAGCCCCTGGCCAATCTCATTTTATTATGCCCCCCAATTTATGATTTTCTTCCTGGGATCCAGCCCTGGCACAGAGCAGGTGCTGTCTGTGTTGACAGGTATAGGAGAACCTGCCTTGAGCTCCTGGCTGGGACACTTTACCCCAGCTGTGCTGGAAGACCTAGTGTTAGGAAAGGCAAGCTTTTCCTTGTTCAACCTCTGTTCCTACAGGTCTGGGGCTGTGACTCAGACCAGCAGAGAAGGAGATAGCCTAGCATATGGGGGCTGTGACCTCTGTAGTCTTTTAAGCCACCACCACAGGTCTGAGTCCTAGCCTGCCCACTGACTGCTCCATATCTCAGTGATCTTACTTATAAAATATGGGGCCACATTGGAAGGCCTCTGAGGGACTTTCCTAACTCCAGGTAATTTTAAGACCTTTAGTACAGATCTACCCTCCTCCTCCCAGTTTCATCCCATGCAGGTACCAGGATGGCTTCCTGGTCCCAGGTGGCTCCTTCTGTCTCAGAACTCATCCCATCCTTGTTGTAGCCAGCCCTTATCCTGCCTTAAAACCCTTTGACTGGGCTGGGGTTACAGCTTAGTGCCAGAGCGCTTGCCTAGCATGTGGGAGGCATTGGGTTTGCTCCTTAGCACCACATAAAAATAAATAAAGGTATTGTGTCAATTACAACAAAAACAAAACAACAAAAACAACCCTTGAACTAATTCTTCCTCAGGAGGACCCCTTAAGCCTTATTACTTGACCATTAGTCCAAACAACTGCAGCAACTTCCTGGCTGGCCCCCTCCTGCCTGCTTCCAATTCCACTTTCCACACCAATAGCTGTTTACCATGCAAACAGCAAAATCAGTCCTTAGCTAAAACTTACCTGGCTTTCCACTGCCTAGCACTGTTTTTCATTTTGGTACGGGGGATTGAGTCCAGGGGCATTTTATCATTGAGCTATATCCCCAATCCTTTTTATTTTTCATTCTGAGATGGGGTCTTGCTATGTTGCTTAGGGCCTTACTAACTTGCTAAAGCTGGCTTTTGAATTTGTGATCCTCCTGCCTCAGCCTCCTGAGCCACTGGGATTACAGGTGTGTGCCAAGGCAACCAGCCAAACTTCCTGTTAAAAGCAAGTTTTAAGCATCAGAATCCTCTTGTCTGATGGGATCTTTGTGGGAGCCCAACAGTTAAGAAAGATGTTGCTCAGTCTAAAGAGGAGTGGGAAGTCCAGAGTTGGCCTGCTGAGCCTCCCACACTACTCTCCCATTCCCTGCCACACACACATAGCCTAAAGCATGGGTACTGAACTGAGGGCTTCAGGTACACATGTGAGAAGCCGGAATGAAGCTGAGGTAAGATAGAAGAAATTTAAAAATAGGTAGAAAGGAGACATAAAGGAAGGACAAGGAAATAAGATTTTAATTCAGAAGTTCTGCATGCTTTTCCAGGCCTGTCACTTCCAATCTCTTGCAGACTTGTTATTCCCCAGATTCCTGATAAATCTGTACATTGTCTGTACGCTGTCAAGTAAGCCCCCAATACATAGATCTAACAAAGAGATTTCGAGGAACCTCTCGATCACATATAACAAAGACCACATCAGCCTAAAATCTAGAAACTGACCAACCACCAGACTGCTATCATTCCTACATACCTTTCTATACCCATCCCTCGCCAAATTTCCTTTAAAAGAAGACTAGAACCCCCAAAAGGCATCTCTCACTTGGCAATGGCCTGCATTCTCCCTTGAATGCATATTCTTTGCTTTACCCCCAAAGGCATCTCTCTGTTGACTCTCTAATGACAAAGTGACACTACCAAGCCTGAGGGCTGTCCACCCTAAGGCTCCCTTTCTGCTCATCTTTAGCTACTCTCTCCAAATCTTGCAAATTGAGCTTTAGCCACGTTGATACTTTTATTTATTTGGTACCAGGAATTGAACCCAGGGGCATTTAACCACTGAACCATATCCCCAGCCCTCTTTATTTTGAGACAGGGTCTCACTAAGTTGCTGAGGCTGGCTTTGAACCTGTGATCTTCCTGCCTCAGCCTCCTGAACCATTGAGGCATGTGCAGCCAGCAAGGATGCACTTCTATGACATGGGTATAAATATCATCCTGCTGGGGCCTCCAAGGCACTGCATGACTGGGCTCAACCTACCTCACTACACTGCCTCAGGGCTTATATATTTCCCTGGAAGAGATTCCAGCCCTTTCACCTGGATCCCTCAAATCTCAGCTCAAATATTTCTCTCCAATTGCTCAGCCCCCTCCCCCAGTCCTGTAGACCTTTCTTTTGCTGCTTTTGTCTGTCTCCAATGGCAGGAATGTTCACTGGGTATTTTATTCATCATTGTAGCCTCCTGTCTAGGTCAGGCATGAGCACAGCTTATAAACACTTTCTGAGAAAGTGGCCAGGTGGAGGGAGACGGGGAGGGAAAGGGAAAATATTGGGGAATGATACTGACCAAATTATACTGTTATATCATGTGCATGTACAAATACATATCAGTGAATCCCACTATTATGTAAAATTATAATGCACCAATAAAAATATAGGGAAAAAAACTTGCTGAATGAATGAAAAAACTCCTCGATGTGCAGATAGGACAATGAGATTGAGGTAGAGGAAGCCACTCATCTGTAACACAGCTGACTTAGGAAAAGAGGTCTTTTGACTACCTCAGTTCTTTCAAATTAAACTCCCCCAATTCCCTTGTCCCCTTCTGTCCTCAACACAGGACTTAAAAAACTAAAGCTGGATTCTTCTTGGGTGCTGAGGTCAGTGAGCTGCTCCTATTGTCAGAACTTTTGCTGGAGGCCTCTTGCTGTTTGATATTACCAACAGAACATCCTTTGAGAGTGTCGCCCGCCCAGTAGCTTCAGGAGAAAGTTAAGACCCTTTAACATCATCCTGGTGGCTGGCCTCAAGAGTAACCTGGTAGCTTAGAGTCAGGTAATGCTGGAGGAGGATGGAAAGCTGGCTGCCCCCTTGACCTCCGCCAAGAGCAATAGAAATATCAGCAGGGACTTTGAGTTGCTCACCCAAAAGACCTAGGAGCTGTGAAGAGAGGGGTTCTGGGGTCAAACTCAGAGTGTCGAGGAGTAAAGAGTAGGGTCCCATCTTAGGTTGAGTTTCCTAGACAGAAGACCAAAGCAGGGCAAGGTGGTGGACCCTGGGCAGAATGGCCACTTTCCCTGAAGCCCAAAGAACTCTCACAATCCACAAGGGCAATACTGGGCACACAGGACAGGATGATGCCATTGGAGGACATGACTCTGAGGTCTGGAAGGAGCCTAGTTTCCTCTACAACATGGTGAAAATCCCAAGATTGGATACCAGTAATTAAGGACAGACAGGATTTTCCCAAGGCTATTGCCATCCTTTCTCATGGCACAAGTGAACATAATTCTCTAGAAGTTCCAGAACAGGTCAAAAAGGGCTCTTAAGCACATTCACACTGCCAAAACCAGGATGCCTATTCATTGTATGGCTTGCTAGAATTCATCATGCCTGATGGCAGAGAAAGTGGATTCAAACCACTACTGATGGCATCTATCCTCCCTTAGAGTAAAACAATGGAAAATCCCTGAGCATTTCTCCAATGCAGAAACTGACACCAGTGCTGCCCTCTGCTGTTAAGAGCCTGGTCCAGTCCTGCTCTTCCCCCTGACTTCCTCTGGCATTTCAAAGGTTTGTAAGCCACACAACCTTGTGGCTTTCGATTAATAACTTCTTTATTCTGGAAAAGCAAATCAAATTCATATTCATATAAACACTGACATTACAAAGTACAGGGAAAGGGGGAAGGGAGGAGGAAACAAAACTCTCTACAAATCCTGCTAATACTGTCTCACCCAACAAGACCATAATGCTTTGTCCCATATTCAATCACTTATATAATAAACCACAAATAAAATCTTCTCTGGAAGATACACTGCTCCTCTTTGAGATGTCAGGGAAAAGGGACCGGAAGTAAGGGTAGGAGGCTTTATTCTTTTGGCAGATCCTCTCAGTCATTATAGATATTGCTGCACTGTTAATAAAAAATATATGCTTCTCTGTAAAGCATTTAAAAAAAAAAATTCCAAGGATGAGATGGCTGAAATCTCAGCTCAAGTATCTCCAAATACATTGTTGTCCATTCCCTGACCTTTCCGTGTGTTATTTCTTGGTTGTTTTCCGGATCAATGCCATTCTCTGAAAGGAGAGAGAAATAAGCAATTATACAGATTAGAGTCAGGAGCTTTAGGAATATGTATATGCAGTTAGTAGGCAGTATGGTCTACAGTATAGGCTAGAGCCCTTGGGGACTTGCAGTCACAGAGAAGCTCAGCAGCCTTCTTTTAACCAGACAGCAGAGTACAGGGACTGAGATAGGCCAGCAGGTCCATTTACCCACCAAAAGACTCAAACTGCTCGGGGTATCAGGATGGCAAAAAGGTTAAAAGTAGAAGAGACAGCTCTTGCCTTTTGGGGACATAAGGGATAGGTCAGCAAAACATATTTTCTAGGATTCCCTCACCCCAATGTCTTCTTTCTCTAATGATGGAGAAAATAGGAAAAGGGCCTCAGTTTCAAACCTGTTGCCACACAAAGAGAGTCAAAATTTCACCCGTGATGATGTGCAGTGAAGGGCAACTGAAGACTAACAACTTCTACCACAACCCACTGTGGACCCAGTCAGATCATGGGTTTCCATTTTTATTAACTTGCTTTTGCTCACTCTTTTTGACCAAGACGTTACCCCTTTATTATGTCATTTTTAAACTAAACAGAGATCTAGAGCCAGAGAGACCATCTGGAGAACTCCCTTCAGACCTTTGATGTATGGACCTTTGATTCAGGCTATTGGTGGCTTCCTGGGAGGGCTCCCTCCATGAACTCTGTAAACAACTACTCCAGAGACCCCAATGATGAAAAAGCAAGGGACATTCACCCAGGACTGCCCAGTGCCTATCAAACTTGGAAACATCTCACTCTTCATTTCTTTCTTTCTTTTTTTTTTTTTAAATTCTAACATGTTATATATGACAGCAGAATGCATTAAACATCTCATTTTTCAAATCAGAGTAGCCAGTTAAAGCAGAAAGGATAACAGCCTTTCAAAGGAGGCTGTATTGGAGGCCAATACTGCTACTGGACTGACCCGACTAATTCTTACACCAACATCTAGGTTCCTTGTTAAGAGGGGTAGAGAACAAAGGTTAAGCTGGGGATGTGGGCCAGAATGCTTGGCAGAGCAGCCTGAATACTCCATCTTAGCATGAGCATAGGATACTTCTGCTTCCTCTGACCTTTCTTTATTCAAGGGCATGTTCAAACCAGCAAGAAAAGGAAGATTTCATTAAGGAGATTTGGAGGGGGTGAGCTTGAACCAGGCACAGTGGTACCTGCCTGTAACCCCAGCTACTTGGAAGACTAAGACAGGAAGAGTACAAATTCGAATCTAGTCTCTCCAACTTAGTGAAATCCTGTCTCAAAATAAGAAAGGGCTGGGGATGTAGAGTGGCCCTAGATTATTCACTCCCCAGTACCAAGAGGAAAAAAAAAAAAAAAAGCTTGAAGTGAAGCCCATCAGAGTTGAGAGAAAAAATTGAGATTCCATATAGGAATAGCACAGCGCTAAGGAAATATCTGACTGTTGCTGCCTCTGGGCCTCTCTGACCTTTGGTCCAAAGAATGAAACCTGCTTTGTGGGGGAAGTGAGACCCCTAGAAGGTAGCCCGACACCATGCCCGGCTCCTCACCTGTTTATGAGCTTCTGTGGTGCAAGCTTTTTTGTAGGGCCGTATTTCTTCAGAACCAAATCCTGGGATCCACATGTTCCACTGGCGTTCTGAAAAGAAGAAGCAACAGAGTTAAGGGCACCAGGAAGGCAGCATCAGGAGTTCAATATGCCCCTCCCAGTATCAGGGAGGATAACTCTTGGCATCAACTATACTAACACTAACCCTATTAGGCTATTCTATGGAATACAAATGGGAAATCACACCTGGCTCCTTCAAGAGCTTTTTTTTTTTCCCTGTGGTCCTGGGAATTGAACCCAGGGGCACTCTACCACTGAGCTACATCCCCAACCTTTTTTATTTTGAGACAGGGTCTCACTGAATTGCTTAGGGCCTCCCTAAGTTGCTTAAGCTGGCTTTGAACTTGTGATCCTCCTGCTTCAGCCTCCTGAGCCACTGGGATGATATGCATGCTCCACTGTGCCAGGCCAAGCAATAGTTTCTTTTTTTTGGGGGGGGGGGGGCAAGGGTATCAGGGATTGAACTCAGGGGCACTTGACCACTGAGCCACATCCCCAGCCCTATTTTGTGTTTTATTTAGAGACAGGGTCTCACTGAGTTACTTAGCCCCTTGCTTTGTTGAGGCTAGCTTTGAACTCGTGATCCTCCTACCTCACCCTCCTGAGCCACTGAGATTACAGGCATGCACCAGTGCACGCAGCCGCAAGGATATTCTTTTTTTGACTTGTCTTTTTTTGGTACTAAAGATTGAAGCTGGATGCTTTCTTAATAAGCTATATCCTCAGTCCTTTTTTTATTTTTATTTTGAGATAGGGACTTGCTGAGTTGTTGATGCTAGCCTTAGGTAAAGTTTATTTGAATAGCAGAGATATAATGGCAACTATAATTGCTAAGCACTTATTTTGTGCCAGATCCTATACCAGATACTTCATATATATAATCTATAATTTCACAATCATCCTGTAAAGAAGATATTAGGATCCCTACTTTACAAATAAGGAAAAGGGGTTATCTAAGAGAAATCAAGTAGGAATGATAAAATGATTTAGCTAGAAGTGGCAAAATCTGGTTTCAGATCAAATGTCTACCCCCTTCCTATGGATAGATTTCTTTTTTCTATTTAGTGCTACTATTAAATGAATATATAAGTCCCAGGACCCAAAAGTCTGGTCTTGGCACAAAGGTTTCTCTGACTACGCTTTCCCTGACAGTCCTGAAGGTATAGTTATGTGGATACTTCAGAGAGAAATAAGACCACATACCTAGATGCAGCTGGACATCTTTCACCTCCAGAGTGCTGGACTTACGATGCCGGGCAAGCTGGCAGGCTGCTGTCACCACACTCTCAATAAAATCATCAGCAATCTGCAGCAGCATCTGGAGAAGGCAAAGTGAGTGACAGTAATGGTGATATTGGCAGGATAGGCTCCTGTTGCTGAGACAATAGTTTTCTGCCTGCATTTAAAAAAAAATTTTTTTTTAAAGATGTTGCTTTTGTTTTATTTTTTTATTTTATTTTAGAGAGAGAGAGAGAGAGAGAGAGAGAGAGAGAGAGAGAGAGAATTTTTTTAATCTTTATTTTTTAGTTTTTGGCGGACACAACATCTTTCTTTGTATGTGGTGCTGAGGATCAAACCGGGGCTGCATGCATGCCCAGGCGAGCGTGCTACCACTTGAGCCACATCCCCAGCCCCAAATTTTTTGTTGTTGTTGGGAGGGGTACTGGGGATTGAATTCAGGAATATTCATCCACTGAGCCACATTCCCAGCCCGATTTTCTATTTTATTTAGAGACAGGGTCTCACTGAGTTGAATAGCACCTTGCTGTTGCTGAGGCTGGCTTCGAACTCTAGATCCTCCTGTCTCAGCCTCCCAAGCTACTGGGATTACAGGCATGCGCCAACGTGTCCGGCTAATATTATTTTTAGATGTTGATGGACTTTTATTTTATTCAGTTATTTATATGTGGTGCTGAGAATTGAACCCAGTTCCTCGCGCTCTACCACTGAGCCACAACCCCAGCCATCTGCCTATATAATACGTAATATGGGGGCCGGGATTGTGGCTCAGCGGTAGATTGTTCACCTAGCATGTATGAGGTGCTGGGTTCAATTCTCAGTACCCCATAAAAATAAATAAGTAAAATAAAGGTATTGTGTCCAATTACAACTAATAAATAAATGAATAAATAAATACGTAATATGTGTGCGTGTGTGTGTGTGTGTGTGTGTTTGTGTATGTGTATATATTTCTTTTTCTTTTTTTGCTTTTGGTACTAGAAGTTGAATTTGGGGCACATTACCACTGAATAATATCCCCAATCCTTTTTTATTTTGAGACAGGGTCTCACTAAGTGCTAAGGGTAGCCTTGAACTTATGATCTTCCTGCCTCTGCCTCCCAAGTTGCTGGGATTACAGATATGAGCCAATGTGTCTAGTCTGAATTACATATTTCAATAGACTTTCTATTAGTAGGCCTGGAATCAGCATATGGGCTAAGGTGGGGATAAGAAATGAGGAGGACAACAGAAACATTACCCAGATCAAAAGTTAGGACAAGGGCTGGGGATGTGGCTCAAGCGGTAACGCGCTCGCCTGGCATGCACAGGGCACTGGGTTCGATCCTCAGCACCACATAAAATAAAATAAAATAAAATAAAATAAAGATGTTGTGTCCACCGAAAACTGAAAAATAAATATTAAAAAAAAAAGTTAGGACAAAATGAAGATAGATGAAAATGTTAAGACTCAGGAGAACCAACTTGCTTATGGCTATGTAACTAGAAAGCAGTGGAAACAGAATTTCACTTCATTATTCTGAGTCCAAATTCTAAGATCTTTTTACTTTACTTCACTGTTAATTATTCCTAGACCATGGGGGAAGCAAAATCAGAAGTCTGAAGATAAAAATTTACACGAAGGGGCTGGGGTGCTCAGTGGTGCCTAGCATGTGTGAGGTACTGGGTTTAATTCTCAGTACTGTATATCAACAAACAAATAAATAATGGCCCATCAACCATTAACACACACACACACATACACACACACACACACAAAATCTACATGAAGCAACTTAGAGAGGCCCTAAGCAAGTCAGTGAGAACCTAGGCAACTCAGCAAGACCCTGTCTCTAAATAAAATATTAAAAAGGGCTGGAGATGTGGCTCAGTGGTTAAGTGCCCCAGCGTTCAATTCCCGTACCAAAAAAAAAAAAAATCTACATGAAGCCGGGCAACTCAGGAAGCTAAGAAGATCGCAAATTCATGGTCAGCCTCAGTAACTTGGTGAGGTTAAAAGGTTTAGAACATAATCTAAGGAAAACCTTAGCAAGTAGAAGTACAACTATAAAGGGATGAAAAATTAGAAGAAAAAAAAAAGCCCAAAGAGGATCAATCCAACCACTTATTATTTCAGAAGAAAGATAAAAAAAATAGGAAATTATCAACAGTAGTATAAGAAACTGTAATCTTCCTACCCTGGCGATGGGAATGTAGAATTACGTACTACTTGGAAAATAAGTGGCAGTCTCTGGAAGGTTAAACACAGAGTTACCACATGATCCAATTATTTTACTGCTATTTTCAAGAGAAATGAAAACATGTATCTACACAAAAACTTGTACATATATTTTTTTTTAAAAAAAGGGGGGAAAAACTTGTACAAAAATGTACACAGGGGCTGAGGTTGTGGCTCAGTTGTAGAGCACTTGCCTAGCATGTGTGAGGTCTTGGGTTGGATCCTCAGCACCACATAAAAAGAATAAATATATTGTTGTGTCTATCTACAACTAAAAAAAGAAGGTACACAGCAACATTATTCATAGCAGCCAAAAAGTAGAAGTAATCCAAAATTCATTAACTATTGAATAATATTTATACAATAATATTTCATTGTATGTCTATATTAACAAAATGATATAGGCATTGATATAGACATAAATTTTTCATTTATTTCATGTAGGTTTTTTTTTTTTTTTTTTTTTTTTTTTAGTACTGGGGATTGAACCTAGGGACACTTTACCACTGAGCTAAATCCCCAGCTACTTTTTCTTTTTTTTTTTTGAGACAGGGTCTTACAAATTGCAGAGGCCGATCTTTTGTGAATGTGATATAGACATACATTGAAATATTACTGAGCCATAATAATATGGATGTACCAATATGTGTGGAATAACAGGGATCGAAGTACTGCTATCACATAAATTTTGAAAACATTAAAGTAAATGAAAAAAAAATTATAAAAGACCAAATATCATGTTTCCATGTATTTGCAATATTCAGAATAAGCAAATTCATGGAGGTAGAAAAGATCAATTGTTGCTTATGGGGAATGAGCACTAATGGGTATGGGATCTTTTTTGGGGTGATGAAAATATTCTAAAATTGCCAGGCATGGTGGCACACACCTGTAATCCCAGCAGCTTGGGAGGCTGACACAGGAGGATATTGAGTTCAAAGCCAGCCTCAGTATGTAATTATATCTCATATATATATGTGTTATAGTTGGGCACAATACCTTTATTTTATTTGCTTATTTTTATGTGGTGCTGAGGATCAAACCCAGTGCCTCGCATGTGCCAGGCAAGCACTCTACCGCTGAGCCACAACCCCAGCCCATGTGATTATTTCTCAATAAAGCCATTACAAGGACTGGATGTAGCCCAGTGGTAGAATTATTTTTTAACATGCAAGAGCCCTGGGTTCTATTCCCAGAACCACCAAACAAACAAGCAAACAAACAAAACATATAGCTATAAAGCTGTTACATCACACACACACACACACACACACACACACACACACAGGGCAAATATTATGCCTCTGCTTAAAAAAATAAAAACAACAATGGAATTTCATTCCAGAATCAAGAAATAAATAAATAGAAATAAAAGAAGCCTCCAAGAAAGCTGCGTATGATGGCGTACACCTGTAATTCCAGCAATTCAGGAGGTTAAGGTAGGAAGATCACAAGTTCAAGTCCAGCCATAGCATATTAGCAAAATCTTGTCTCAAAATAATAAATAAGGCCAGGTGCAGTGGTGCACACCTGTAATCCCAGTGGCTTGGGAGGCTGGGGCTGGAAGATCACCAGTTCAAAGCCAGACTCAGCAATTTAGCGAGGCACTAAGCAACTCAGTGACCCTCTAAATAAAATATAAAATAGGGCTGGGGATATGGCTCAGTGGTCAAGTGCCCCTGGGTTCAATCTCCAGGACTGGTGGCATATGCCTGTAATCTCAGCAGCTCAGAAGGCTGAGGCAGGAGGATCACGAATTCAAAGCTAGCCTCAGCAAAGGCCAGACACTAAGCAACTCAGTGAGACCCTGTCTCTAAATAAAATACAAAATAGGGCTGGGGATTTGGCTCAGTGATTGAGTGCCCCTGAGTTCAATCCCTGATACCCCCCAAAAAACCACAACAACAACAACCAAAAAAAAAAAAAAAGGGCTGGGAATATAATTCAGTGCTAATGTGCTCTGGGTCTAATCCCCAGTACAAAAAAAATAAAAAAGAAGGCTCTAAGGGGGCTGGGGATATAGCTCAGTTGATAGAGTGCTTGCCTCACATGCACATGCACAAGGCCCTGGGTTCAATCCCTAGCACCAAAAAACAAATAAACAAACAAAAAAGAAGGCTCTAAGAACCCAGCATATTACACAGTGCATGAAAGAAGGTATATACTAAGGCACATTATGTGAAAATACAGGTTGGAGGTAGAGTTCAGTGGTAGAGTGCTTGCCTAGCATATGGAAGGCCCTGAGTTCAATCCCCAGCACCTACACCTTCCCTGCAAAAAAAAGAACAGGAGAAAAATAAAATCCTAGTTGGAATCAAAATGCTCAATTGGTAGAGTGCTTGCCTTGCATGCACAAGGCCCTGAGTTCAATCCCCAGCACCACAATCAATCAATCAATCAATCAATCAATAAAAATAGCCTAAGATTTCTTTTTTTTTTTTTTTTTTTTTTTGGGAGGGGAAGGGGCGGGTACCAGGAACTGAACTCAGGGGCGCTCAACCATTGATCCACATCCCCAGCCCTATTTCATATTTTATTTAGAAACAGGGTCTCACTGAGTTGCTTAGTGCCTCGCTTTTGCTGAGGCTGGCTTTGAACTTGAAATCCTCCTGTCTCAGCTTCCTGTGCCGCTGGGATTATATGTGTGTGCCACCAAGCCCGGGCAAGATATTAACAATAACCCTGTAAGTAAATACTGTCACACTCAATCAACATAAGAGGAGTCCCTGAGTCTCAATTCTCTTTTTGATACTAGAGCTTGAACCCAGTGGTGCTTTACCACTGAGCTACATCCCTATTCCTTTTCATTTTTGAGACAGGGTCTTGCTAAATTGCTGAGACTGGCCTTGGACTTGTGATCCTCCTGCCTCAGCCTCCTGAATCACTGGAATTATAAGCATGTGTCACTCCTCCCAGCAGGGCTGAGTCTCAAAAAGCTTAAGCAACTTGTCCATAACTGCACAGCTGGTAAGAGGCGGAGCCAAGATTCAAATTCAGATTCATCTGACCCTAAAGTTTCTCTAATCACTATGTCATATCAGCCCTCAGGGGCACAGTCTCTGGAGAACCCAAACCCACCTTACCTCCTCCACATCTTCATCCAACTGCTCATTTGGATCCACTTCTCTTACTAAGTCCTGTAATTTCTTCTTGGTCAATACCTAAAGTTAATTGTGAGGAGATTCTTCAGTGAGTAAGGAAGCAAAATAACTTGTAATCCCATACTGAAGAAAGGCTGTCAGTTTGTTGGGTTTAGTTTCCTTTCCAATGAGTTCAGTATGGCCCACTGGTGGCACTGCTACCAAACTACACTTCCAAGACAGAGGTAGTCCAGGGAAAGACAGAAAGAGTAGTTTGGAAAAGAGGTCAGCATCCAATTGTCAGGCAGTTTATTTCAACCTTAACTCTTTTTCTTTTCCCATTATGCCTCACCTCTCTCTATATTAAAGCAATTTCTAGTTCTCTGAACACCACAAATTGCACCCCTTATACCATTACCTTTAGACATGCTCTTCCTCCCTTTTTCCTATATGCTCAGCTCACGGCACTCTATTTTTTCTCTTTTTGGTAGTGGGATCAAACCCAGAAGCACTTTACCACTTAGCTACACATCCAGCTCTTTTCAATTTTTTATTTTGAGACAGGAGCTCATCAAGTTTCCAAGGCTGGCCTTGCTTTCCATCCTCCTGACTCAAGCTTCCTGAGTCACTGGAATTACTGGAATGAGCCACTGCACCAGTTCAATGAGACTCTTTTCTGATGCCTTTCCTAGACAACACGGGTAAGCACAACCACTTGTAGTCTTTTCTATCCTCTGTGTACCCTTCTATCTTATGTATATTTATAAATTTGCCTGTAATCTGACTTAACAGGTTAAAAATTCTATGAGGGGAGAGAACTTGTATTATCTATAACTAAATATATTAAATATGTATAGCTACCATCCCTTTTTCATAAATAGTGTTATATTACATATATACACCATTAAAAAGTGATCAAGGTGGAAGCTGGGGATGTCTCTCAGTGGTACAATGTATGACTAGCATGTGTGAGGCCCGTGGGTTTAATCCCCAGCACTGTAGTAATAATAATAATAATAGAAGCAGCAACAATACATAAATACTGGTTAATGTTGTCTCAGATTTATCCATTCTTCTCCATTTTACCATTATTACTTAATTCAAGTCTTTTTTTTTAAAGACTTTTTTTAATATTTATTTTTCAGTTTTCAGTGGACACCTTTATTTTATTTTATGTGGTGCTGAGGATCGAACCCAACGCCCTGTGCATGCCAGGCGAGCACGTTAGCGCTTGAGCCACATCCCCAGCCCCAAGTCTTTTTTTAATATTTATTTTTTAGTTGTAATTGAACACAATATCTCTAATTTTATTTATTTATGTGGTGCTGAAAATCAAACCCAGGGCCTCTCACACGCGAGGTGAGTGCTCTACCGCTGAGCCATAACCCCAGCCCCTAATTCAAGTCTTTATCACGTCTTAATTTATTTCAAGTCTTAGAATTGATCTTCTTTCCACTTTATCCCTCTTTCCTACCCCTTTATTTCCTTACTGCCAAGTTAATCCTTCCTAAGGTATACTACTTCTATTATGTTAATGTTACTCTCTATTAAATATTAAATATCTGCAAAGATTGTCTATTACCTAAAAGGCCTACTATGTTCTGCTGTAGTCCTACTTTATAGTTTTATTTCTTGCTCTTTCCAACAGACCATATACTTAAAAAACATATTTGTTGCACCAGGCATGGTGGGACATGCCTGTATCTTTAGTTTTTTGTTTTGGTTTTTTTTTTTGTTTTAGGTGGATACATTAGTTTATTTTTTATTTTTATTTTTATTTTTTTTTTAAAATATTTATTTATTTATCTTTTTTTTTAGTTATTGGTGGACACCACATCTTTGTTTGTATGTGGTGCTGAGGATCGAACCTGGGCCGCACGCATGCCAGGCGAGCGCGCTACCGCTTGAGCCACATCCCCAGCCCCATTAGTTTATTTTTTATATGGTGCCGAGGATCGAACACAGTGCCTCACGCATGCTAGGCAAGCATTCTACCACTGAGCCACCACTCCAACAGGGACATGCCTATAATCCAAGCAACTCAGGAGGCTGACCCAGGAGGATCCCAAGTTGAAGCCAGTCTTAGCAACTAAGCAAGGCCCTTACAACTTAAGAGAGACTTTGTCTCAAAATGAAAAAAAATAAAAGGACTGGGGATAAGTGCTCAGTGGTAAAACACCTTGGGTTCAATCCCCAGTACCAAAAACACATGTTTATCTCCTTATTGTCTACCTAACTCTCCCCCATTTACCTTACTAGTCCCTCCACCCATTCCCTTGAAATGTCTCCTCATCCATTCTGCTCAGCCTATAAGATCCAAGCCAAGGCATTATACTTATTTCTTGTGGCTCTAGATAGTAGAATCAGGATCACAGCTAGAAAGGGAAACAGATTTTGAAATCACTGCAGAAATTAACAAAGGAAGCAGTTGGATGAACTAAAAGGAAGACTGGAGACAGAATACTTTTATTTTAGAAGTAAAAAACACATTTATTATTTTATTTAACAACTATATAACTAACACATATAAAACATCTGTCATATGCAAGGTGTCATGTTAGTATATGCATGAGTATGTATGTATGTACACATGCATACACACAAGCATATATAAGAGGCAGTAAAAAAGGATCTTGAACATGATAATTTGATAAAGAATCTTAGAGGGGCTGAAGCTGTAGCTCAGTGGCAGAGCACCTGCCTAGCATGTGTGAGGCACTGGGTTCGATCCTTAGCACCACATAAAAATAAACAATAAAAACAAAAAGGCATTCTGTCCATCTACAACTATTAAAAAAAAAAAAAAAAAGAATGTTAGAATTCCAAAGGCAGGAACAGACCTTCTTTTTCAACTAAGAAGAGGCAGCTCCTGAGATGGCCATTTCTCAAAGAATTCCTAGTTCAAATAATAAAAAGAGGTGACTATAGAAAGGAAAAAGTAAGGGGATGATACCTGATTGTTTTCAGGGCTAAGACGACCTCCTGTCCCAGGAGTGCCTGGAATTTTTACCACTGTAGTGCTATTAGCCATGGAGCCTTGTGGAGGGGTACTGGCTGGTTCCGGTTTTATGGATGAGAAATTGGAGAGGTTGATTAGTGCTGAGGGGCCAAACTGGTTCATAATCTGCCGAGCTTTGGACTTCAGCTCATAGAGCTTATCAAGATCCTGTTTCTTTTTGGAGCTGTGAGGACCAAGGCCAATCAACTGAAGAAGAAAAACATGAGAATTAGTGCTAGAAACACCTATAATAAAGAATAAGTTTTGAAAGTAAAATTATGTGAAATCTGTCAAGCTTTGAGGACTCTTCAGTATATCTGGGATGGTGACCATTTGATACCTACACATTAAAATGGAGAAAATGAAGAATGTTCATTGCTCTCACCTGATATTTAGAAACCATCTCTTCTCCAAAAGCTAAATGAAATAGTCCACAAAATTGAAATAAGGAAGAAAGTAAGTGAAATGAGGAATCTTATATAAAAACACATTAGATTAAGCAAGACATTTGAGGACTTTGAACAAATAAAATACTTGATGAAGTACTACATGCATTATTATTTAAGTATCAAATAATGTTAAATTCAAACAAGTCATGTCACAATCACATACTTTTTAAAACTTAGTCACCAAGTTCAAGAAAACAGATTAGTTTTTTTTTGGCATTTCAAAACATGCTTGAGCCCATTCAGGGCTATGTCAAATAAACACAATTTTTAGAACTTTTCAAAGTAAATTCTTCTTTATCATAAAAAGCAAATTTTCTCAATGTTAGCAATGCTAAGTACATGCAGAAATCCTAGCCCGAAGCAGCCAAAATTCCTAAATCTTAGAGCCATAGCGTTGACTCTGTGGACATCAGCTTTGGTGTCATCAGGATCAGAAGCACATTCATCAAGTTCTGCCCATAGTGGCCTCAAGGAGCTTACTTACAGCTATCTGAGTGTCTAGATCTTTAATTACATCAGCAACAGCTGTGAGCCCGGTGAAATGAGAGGCAGCCATTTTCAAAAGCTACCTGTAAATGAACAACTAGCATCAAGCACCACCCTTGCCACAGAAGCACTACTGTAGCATGACCTGGTACATCTTCAGCAATCAGGATCCAGGCAAACTATCTCCTTGTCCCTATTATGTGGCAAGAAAAAAATCCCCCTCTCCTTCAAAAACAACTTTAAAAATTAATTAATAATGAATATTTTGAAAACTAATGAGAGTACATGCCTGTAATCTGGGACTCAGGAGGCTGTGGCAGGAAAATTGCAAATTCAAGGCCAGTCTGAGCAACTTAGATAGACCCTGTCTCAAAACAGAAAATTTGAAAAAGGGCTGGAGAGGAAATTAGTAGTAAAGCACCCCTGGGTTCAACTTCCCAGTACTAAATAAAATAAAACAGGGGCCAGGGATGTATCTCAGTTGGCAGCATGCTTGTCTAGCATGTAGGAGGCCCTGGGTTTAATCTCTAATGCCATTAAACAAATAATAAATAATAAATAATAAAAAGGCGAGGGATGTAGCATAGTGGTAGAGTACCCGAGTTTAATCCCCAATACAGTAAAATAAAAACAAAAATTAATGATGGTGACAGGCACGGTAGGACACACCTGTAGTCCCAGCATTCTAGAAGCTGAGGTGGAAGAATCACTTGTCTGGAGTTCAAAACCCGCCTGGACAACATAGCAAGACTTTGTCTCAGTGGGGAGGGGGAATATGTATATATATACATATGTGTGAGGGTGTGTATATACATATATGTACATATATATATATATATATATATAATTGAATAAATGATGCAGCTAGCTGGGACTGTAGCTCAGTGGCAGAGCACATGTTTAGCCACTGGGTTCAATCTCTAGGACCATTAAAGAGAGAAAGAGAGGGCTGGGGTTGTGGCTCAGTGGTAGAGTGCTCGCCTAGCATGCATGAGGCACTGGGTTCGATCCTCAGCACCACATAAAGATAAAAAAAAAAAAAAAGATATTGTGTCCACCTAAAACTAAAAAATAAATGTTAAAAAAGAGAGAGAGAAAGAGAGAGAGGAAAAAAAACTGAAAAATTAATATGGGCACAGTGATACGTGCCTGTAATTCTTGCAACGCAGAAGATTGCAAGTTTGAGGCCAGCCTCAACAACTTAGCGAGATCCTGTCTCATAACAAAAAAATAAAGGTACAGGGATGTAGCTCACTGATAAAGTACCTCTAGTTCAATCCCCAGTATCAAAATTAAAAAAAAAAAAAAAAAGAAGCAGCAGCAAAATTGTGTGATCTGAACCTGCAGGAACCATGTAACAGCTTTCAGGATCTGGGAAAGCTTAGCAACCTGAATGTGTGTCTATTCTACTCCTGTCCTTATTGCTGAGTTCCTCCCCAACATACTATCTAACTTTCTAATATGAGAAAGCAACGTTTGTACATGTTCTTCTGGTTTACTCTAAATAAAAGCAACTAACTGTGCATTGGTTAAATTTAGAGGTCTCTATAAAGGGCTACAAGGCAAAATCTAGGAAAACTGGAAAAGTATATACCAGTTATTTTTTTATTCTAAGGGCTTCCAAAATGCTAAGCAAACCAGGCATGGTGGTGCATGCCTATAATCCCAGAAGCTTGGGAGGCTGAGGCAGGAGGACTGCAAGTTCAAAGCCAGCCTCATCAGCAACTTACAGATGTTCTAAGCAATTTAGTAAAACCCAGTCTCAAAATGAAAATTAAAAAGGTCTGGGGCTGGGCTGTGTCTTGGCTTAGCGGTTGTGCACTTGCCTGGCATATGCGAGGCACTGGGTTCGAGTCTCAGCACCTCATATCAATAAATAAAATAAAGATCTATCAACAACTAAAAAATAAAAAATAAAAATAAAGGGCTGGGCTACAGCTCAGTGGTTAAGTGCCCTTGAGTTCAATCCCTATTTCCAAAGACAGAAGGAAGGAAAATGCCAAGCACACATCTACCACTGAGTTATATATCCAGCCCCATATTGTTTTGACTCCACAGATCCATTTTTAATAATTTATATTACATTGAACTTGTATATGAATAGAATAGTACTATACTTACTATACAGTACATATAAGAAATATCTATCAGGGCTGGAGTTATGGCTCAGTGGTAGAGCGCTTGCCTAGCATGTGTGAGGCACTGGGTTCAAACCTCAGCACCACATAAAAATAAACAAACAAACAAAAATTTTTTTAAAGAAAAAAAATATCTATCAAAGTGATAGATATAGTTAAGGTTGGGGATATAACTCAGATGGTGGAGTGCTTGCTTTGCATGCACATGGCCCTGGATTCAATCCCACCAAAAAAAAAAAAAAAAAAAGTGATATAGTTAAATAAATTAGGGTATAACTACATAATGGAAGAATGAGATAGTCAGATATGGTGTATACCTGTAATCACAGCTACCTGGGAGGCTGAGGTGGAAATATCACAAGTTCAAGGCCAGCCCTGGTGATTTAGTCAGATCCTGTCTCAAAAAATAAAATTTTTTTAAAAATAAAGGAAAGGCTGGGCATGTTGCTCTATGGTGGAGCACTTACCTAGCATGCACCAAGACCTGGGTTCAATCCCCATTACCAAACCAAACCAAACAAAAAATAAACAAAAACCAAAAAAATGGGCTGGGGTTGTGGCTCAGTGGTGGAGCGCTTGCCTAGCATGCAGGAGGCGCTGGGTTCGATCCTCAGCACCATATAAATGTAAAATAAAGATATTGTGTCCACCTAAAACTTAAGAATAAATATTTTTAAAAATTAAATTTAAAAAGGGTTCAGGGTGTAGCTCAGTGATAGAGCACCTCAGTACTAGGGGGACCTAAGGATGGAGAATAAGGCAAATGAAAGTATAATGCTACATGAAAGAAACTTTTTTTTTTTTTTTAGTTTCCAGCAGACACAACATCTTTGTTTGTATGTGGGCTGAGGATCGAATCCAGGCCGCACGCATGCCAGGCGAGCGCGCTACCGCTTGAGTCACATCCCCAGCCCCAAGAAACCATTTTAAAAAGACCATATGGGCTGTGGTGTGGCTCAGCGACAGAGTGCTCACCTAGCACGTTCAAAGCCCTGAGTTCGATCCTCAGCACCACAAATAAATAAATAAATAAAGGTATTGTGTCCAATGACAACTAAAAAATAAATATTAAAAAAGACCATATATTATGCAATTCCATTTACAAGAAATGTCAAAAACAGGCAAATCTATAGTGAAGTAAAGTAGACTAGTGGCTACCTATGGCTAGGAGGTATGGGAGAGTAATAGGAAATGACTGCTACTGGGCATAGGGGTTTCTTTTGGGGAAGATAAAAATAATCCAGAATTAGATCATGACAACATTTGTACACCACTGAATGTACCAAAAAAGCCCTAAATTGTACACTTTTCAATTGGTGAACTGTACGATATGTGAATTATATATAAATAAAGCTGTTAAAAAAAACAAACAAGGACAATCATAAAATCATCTCCAAGATACACCATTCAGTGGAGTAATAGGTACAGAATACTAAGAATACTTTAGTATCATTTATTAAAATTCCACATAGGGGCTGGGAGTTTAGAGCAATGGTAGAGTACTTGCCTAGCATGCTCAAGGCCCTGGGTTCAATCCCCAGTACTGAAAAAAAAAGAAAGAAAAAGAAAAGAAAAGGAAGAAAACTAACAACCCAACTTTTAAAAAAGGAGCTGGGAAGCCAGGCAAGGTGGCACAGCCTGTAATACCAGTGGCTTGGGAGGCTGAGGCAGGAGGATCACAAATTCAAAGCCAGCCTCAGCAACTTAGTGAGGATAAAAGCAACTCAGTAAGACCATCTCAAAATAAAGTAAATAAATAAAAAGGGCTGGGCTCAGGCTGGAGTTGAAGCTCAAGGTAAAGCACTTGCCTAGTATGTGTGAGGTACTGGGTTTGATTCTCAGCACCACATATAAGTAAATAAATAAATAAAAGTCCATTGACAACTAAAAAAAAAATTTTTTTAAATAAAATAAAAGGTCTGGGCTAGGGCTGGGGATATAGCTCAGTTGGTAGAGTACTTCGATCGCATGCACAAGGCCCTGGGTTCAATCCCCAGCACAACAACAACAAAAAGGGCTGGGTTGGGGATGTATTTTAGTAGTCATCCCTATATTCAATCCCCAGTACCAAAAATAAACAAATAAATAAAAAGGGGGCTGAGGATCTAACTAAGCAGGACAGTGGTTGCTTAAC